GCCACTCGCTAGGCGCGGAAACTCGAAACATTTCCGATTTCACCTCAGAGCCAAAGGTTTCCATCATGTTAAGCATTTTTGCGCGCGAGAAAGCCCAGACGTTTGTGTGCCGTGGAAGCCGCACATGCGCTATCCTGACTGAAAATGGATTTCGCCGACCAACGTTTTTGACATATGTTTGCTTGCGCCGCCTTCTTTCTCGCGTTGCGCAGTTTCCAAACTGCTATAAAAGGAGATGAATTGCGTGCGACTTGATTTCTCCAGTCCAGATGCTTCTTCATTGCAGAGGGTGTTTGTGCTTGTAAGTGAAAACTATTTAGGAACTCCATGCTAAAGAGGAATCAGCTCGCTTGAGTAGGCCATCTTGGCTAATCTTAGCCTGGAAGACTGGACCTAGGTAATTATCGATTCTGTAATCATAGTACAGGAATATGCCGGCCGCACAGATGGTTGCCGTGGGAGAGTGTGGAAGCTGGATGATATTGTTAGGCTTTGAAGATATTTCTATTCACTGTGAGGAAAACAACAATGTGTTTCTCAGGCTCCCACTGAAACCCGTGTATATGAGCACATTGAAGTCGCAGGGCGTATCGGGTATGATGATCAGTCGGGTAATCCATCCTCTATAACTACAAGTAGGCTTGTTGATCTGTTTCCTGTCTAAGACACCAATCTGTTTAGAATATTTAGTTTGCTACTATTCCTTTATCATAATTCACTTCGCCGTCTCCTAATACATTGATTCTTCAATAACTATCAGAGATCATACCAATATATCCATGGCTCGTTCCATCTTCGAAAACAAGGGCGAATCTGAAGGAAATGCGAACAATGAGGATTTTTATTTCTTCCCTTCAAGCCTCAACAAGCTAGTTCGTGTGTAATTCTTACTGATACTCACATATTTGTAGGTAATACCAGTTGATGTTCAATCAATCATACACATCATGCCTAGACTATCCGTTCAGATGCCAGGCAATTGGGCAATATGAATACCATGAAACGAATTGGCACAATCAATCATCACGTATTTTGTGGTAGCACGCATTTTGCGGTAGCACAAAGCTAATCGCGAGGAATAGAAGTCTTGAATTCAAAACACTAACCCTATCATATATCAAAAGCGCGGACTTACTCCAATCATGAAGTAGTCGGCGTAGTTCTTGAGTAAACCCTGGTTGGGCTACTCATTTCGGAGTAGCCTAATCAGCTCAGTAGTCGTCTCCACGACTCACGACCTCCTTTACGGTAGGTCTGAGCAAGACAGTCTGGCGGGCTTTGTCAGTCGGGCTGTGCGCAGAATCAATTCATCTTAGCCGAGAAGTCACTTACATGCTCAAATTGGGCCGTGTAGGAGCCTTTCTTGTCCACCAAAGGTGGATAGTCTTCGACGATCCCAGACTTGACGAGGTGGTTGAGCTGCCGATATGTTAGCGAGAGTGCGCATCAGAGGAGAACGTGATTGGTTGCCTACACCGAGGAGGTATTTCTCCTGCCCGATCCTGTCCAGATAACGTCGGCAAAAGGGAAGAGTGCCAAAATTCTTCTTGATGGCGTTCAAGACAGACTTGGCGGAAGACAAGCGCAGCTGCACGTTGGGTGCGTCGCCAGACAGGGCGTAGTGGGAGACTTCGCCCTGATCATAGACGCGGCCATTACCAGTGCTACCAAACGGCTCGATGGCGAACACGTCGCCTTCCTCCATCTTGGTGTCATCATCAGTCAAGATGGATGGCACTGCCTTGGAGCCATGGATGCTGTAGTGCAGGATGTTGTGGCCGGTGATGTTACGAATAGGCTTGATGGGGTAAACCTTGCCATCAAGCTCCAGCTCGTAGCTTTCCATGGCCTCTTGGATGTAGCCGCCGAGTTCTCCAAGGCGGACATCGATCCCTGCCTCTCGGATGCCTGTGTTCGAGGCATCCTTGACGGCGTTGAGGAGGTTGTCGTATTTGGGGTCAAACGACATGGTGAAGGCGCTATCGACAATGCGCCCATTGACATGGACGCCAATGTCCACCTTCATGACGCTGCTCTGCTGCAAAACAGTCTTGTCGCCCGCGTTCGGGCTAAAGTGCGCCGCTATTTCATCGAGGTTCAGACCGAGCGGGAAACCCATGCCCGCGACGATGGCGTCGCCCTCGGTCAGCCCATCGTGGCCGACGAGGCGGCGGACACTGTCCTCGATGCCGTTGGCGATTTCGGTGAGCGTCTGCCCCGGCTTGATATTCTTCTGCGCCCACTGACGGACCTGGCGATGCGTTTCAGCTGCCTGGCGGAAGTCGGCGAGGTAGTCGCTGTTGAGGTTGTCGAGATAGCGTTTCTCTTCGTTCGTGGTGCGGTACAGGTTGTCGTCCTTGTACTCGACCTCTTCGCCCTTTGGGTAGCTCTTGTTAGGGAAAAGCTGGGACATGAGGACGGACGGCGGATCGGTCTGGGCGGTCGGGGCCTTGTTCTTCTTCTTGCGAGGCCTGTTCTTTCTCTTCTTCTTCTTGCTGGCCTCGCCGTCCCCCGCAGCGCCCGGGGCGTTCGTTACATGGTCATCGGCGTCGTCGTCGGATTCGCCAGAGCATTCGGCGGCAGCATCGCCCTTCTTCGGCGCGCGATTGCCGGCGCCCCCGTTGGTGGCTTTGGCCGCTTCCTTGGCTGCCGACTGTTGTTAGGCGGGGCTGGTTCTTGTCTGGAGAGGTGCGACTAACCGTTGAGGGCCTGGGTGTCGTCGGCCGGGATTCTGGCAGCCATTTTCGCGAATGAGAAAGTATGTGTTGACTACAAATTCGGGTCCGGCTAGTTGTATGTTTGAAAAGTGAGGCAGTTGTGGAGAATTCTTAGGTGGGATGGTCGCGTGAGCGAGCGTTGTGCAGATAACAGCAACATGCTTCTACCGGGGCTGCTCTCGTGTGCACTCGTAGCCACCTTGGAGCCATCAAGGCCATCTCGTAATTACCATTCTATTGTAAAACGAAATGACTTAAACAAAGTTCTGCTCGTTTTGTTTTTTTCTAGAGGTGACTCGAGATTTGGTTGAAAACGTCCAAGTGCAAACCTTCTTCATTTGTAATTGATTGCAATTCTCAATGTACGGACAGGAGTGGTGCAACGCACAGAAACAACACCTCTGGTAGTTTATGTTGCATAGCTTGTAACAAACACTTATTTAAATGATATCATACATTGTATAGCCTCATCGAAGACTACCTGGGTAGAGGCAATTCAAGGGACTTAGGTATAGGGTAGGGTGTCCACTAGGGGTTCGGTCAACAGGTGTAGAAGTCAGAAGACTGATCGCAACAATTCATTTGGAGACAAACGGCGAGAACATTCCAAAATAAGATACATTATTATAGTAAATTTCTTTTTTGTGGGAGGGATTTGAAGTCTGGCTATATTTTGATAACACCTGATGTAGGCTGTATGAGGTAGAATAAAGCTTGTAAGTGCCGATATATGTCACGATCAAGCCTGTTGGAAGTCATGTCAGTGAGCTCATCTCGATTTTGGGCGTGAAACTGAGATATTATAGGTCTCTTTCTCGCGAGTGACCGGGCCAAGCTCGATTTGATCAGCGCTACGTTTGCTCTGAGTCAACCGCCCACTATCCGCTGCCGCTACTTGGCAATATGTATGAATCGAGGCTGGTTTTTTCGGCGAGAGTTCTTGAGGAAAGATTCAGCACCCCTTGAGAGAGACTGAAGCTGTATTGGGTGCTGGGAGCATCCGCAGCCGGCGTGGTGTTGTTTATTCAAGGCGTCTTGACAGCATCTTCCCCCTCCTTGCCCTCTTTCTCCTCCTTGTCGCTTCGCTTCGTAAATATCTCATCAATGACACCTAGCTCGAGTGCCTCCTCTACGCTTAGATACTTGTCTCGTTCCATCATGTCGTTGATCTCTTCTATACTATATCGGTCGTGGCCCTTCGCCGTGTTGAGATGGTATTGCATGATCTTGTTCGACTGCTCGCGTATACGTTGAATCTGGTTTGCGTAGATGAGAATATCAGAGGCCTGGCCCCGTGTTCCGCCGAGAGGTTGGTGAATCATGATGGAGCTATGTGGTAGGGCGAACCGCTTGCCGGCTTCGCCGCCAGCGAGGAGAATCGCGGCCATGGATGCAGCGCCGCCGACACAGATGGTTGAGACGGGGGATTTGATATATGTCATGGTATCGTATATGGCCATTCCTAGTATTCCATGTGAGCTTTCGTCTTGAGGTTCGGCGGAGGTTAATGCTCACCCGAGGTGACAGAGCCGCCTGGAGAGTTGATGTACATTGTAATCGGCTTGTCGGGGGTGTCGGACTCAAGCCACAGCAGCTGGGCAACAATAGAAGCGGACATATAATCGTTGATCTCGCCATTCAGACAGATAATTCGCTCCTGAAGGTGGAATTAGCCTCGAGGCTTCGGTGGGCTGGAGCACACGACAGAGGGGTATTCGTACCTGCAGGAGCTTGGAAAAGATATCCCCTTCTCTAAAAATCAGTCAATGGTCCACAAGAAGGGCGGAGAAGGAAGCGCACAAGTTTTTCTGCCTGCGGACTGCTGCTATTAGTCTTGTCTTGGTGTTACCATCAACGCTTGGATTGCGACGACTCACTGAGGTCTCCTCGATGTAGGGTGTGGGAATGTACAAGTCCATTGACGGCCGTCCGCCAGATGACGAGCTCCCGAAGCTTCGAACATGCTGATTGATGAGCGGCAGCCTCCGCATGTACGAAGAAAGCAGCCTCGCGCGTGGATGCATCTTGTCGTGCTGGTGGAAGCGGAGACGATCGGAGGCCCTGTAGCCCTGGCGCAAAGCTGAAGTGACGTTGGTGATGGGAGAGCTTGGCCAAGCCACTCTAAGCCTATTCAGGTATATCGATTAGCGATAGCCCCTCGATAAGCTCATCTTGGTGTTGCTCTCTCTTGTCCGAGGATCTGCCGCTCAAATTTCCAGAAGCTTGTCTTACGAGGAGTGGCTGTTGATCCTGGAGCCGAGCGAAGCCTAATATTCTAAAACAATGTTGAAGGGATCAAGGCGATCCGCGGTGGCGCTGCGACCAGGCTGGTGCCCGGCATCGCGTCGCTTCCGCTCATACGACAGAGACGAATTGACCCCCGAGGCCCTCCAGCGGCAGGTGGAAAGTGGTCTTGGCGTCGATGCGCTTGGAAACCCGATGCGAGTCGACCCCGACGCAAAGACGGTATCTACGGCTGCAGGCCCCTTGCCAATTTCGCCATTATTCGATCCAGAATGGATTGGCTCTAGGCGGCGACCGAGGAAGACAGAGCCTTCTCAGCCTATGGGTAGATTTCGGAAGAAGCTAGCCCTCAACCCGTTTGGTGAGCTGGTTCACGCAGCTTGAGCAGGAAACGCATGCTAACCAGGATCTAGCGAGAGCATTGGCGTCGCCTGTTCGTCTCTGCGCTCTCACCTCCCGTGCCCTACCCCGATACTTCCTACAAGACATGGAGGTTGTTCGTCATCCCGAAACAGACAAGCCTCATTTTGTCCCAGGTCCGCTGTCTTTCCACAGAGTCCAGCCGAAATATTGGGAGACGACCGACCCTACAGCAAATGAAATCGATGAAGCGAAAGAACCAATGAGTATGGATGGGGGAATTGCGACCGCGAACGATCCAGAAACGAGCAAATATGAGGATAACCCCGCCGACGCGGAGAGAACAGGACGAGCCCCCATAACGGCCTATATAGCCTCGGATAAAGGCTTTTTCGATCTCGTAGGAGGGCAAAAACCGATGTGGCAGCGCAAGTTATTAGGGACACGTTCAGGGAGCGCGACGCTGGGATCGTTTAGAGAGGCCGAATTTGCTCCCAACACGGGTGATCTCCTCCTGGGGATGCTGCGGCGGGCGGCAGTAGATGCACTCATTGCACGATCGAACCGAACCCAGCCGCCGTTGGATAAGTTCGTGCAACCTGTCAAGAGCTGGGAGGAGACTGGACTTGTTCGACGACGAGGCTGCATACTGTGGCTGCCATCAGGACAATCACAGGACCAGGAAAAAGAGGGATTGGCAAAGACGAGATATGCAACCTATGATTTGAAGGATGTGGCCTATGACCGGAAGATGCCGGTTCACGACCTGAGATGGCTGCTTGGGGACGAAGAGGTCGCGCGACTGCGTGCCGATGCTCCAGATATCTTTGGGAGTGGCGAGCTTTTTGTGCTGAAGACTTGGAAGTCACACAGCATGGTCAACCTGCATCTCCTGTTGTGGAGGCTTCAAGGGTTTATGCCGCAAGACCAAGCTCAATGATGTGAGTGGTGAGAGGACATTCGGGCAGGCCCGAAATCCTCTAAGGTCCTGCCAACATCTGGCAACGCCGCTTTTACTCAAGTGGCCTTGATGAATGTAATTGACTTGTCCATGCAGCAGCTTTGGATCTCATATGCTGCATAGTCACGTTGTATGATGACATGGAACGATTTAAAGGGTTTGTACGTTATATGGATAGATGCGCATTAGTTTGTACGTCGTATTAATTACTGAATGAGGACCTGGGACCAATGAATCATCTGCCTACCATGGTCTCTGCAAGCTACGACGAGAGCTTGCAAAAACGTTGACAACAAACGCAATTGAGTCTCTTTTGGTCCAGGATGAGTGTATCATCTGACGCTTTGGCAGCCCACCAATCCATTATTGGTGGAAGAGGGGGAGGACTTGATCTTTGATTTTGATTGTAAACAACATAATCGTTTCCCAACTCAACGCATGAGATAGAGTGCATCGGGCAAATACCATCTAGCTTCCCCGCATAGTCCAAGGCGCTTGTGGCAGATGAGGAGAGGCCTGTCGAAGATCATACCTCGCCCCGGTCGCACCAACTTGATTCAGGCGAACGGGTAAATTCCACCCTTCTACCATCTACGATTGTTGTCCATGCCCCTCGGTAGAATGTCCCCCGGGTTTTTGCCCGCCCCAGAAAACAGCTCGGTATGGCGTTCGGCAAAAAAGGTTGACGATGTAGAACTAGATAATAATGGTAAGAGGGTGGAGATAGGCTCGGCTTGTTCTCCAGCGAACGAAGGCTATTATTGCGTCGTTTGATATCCAGTAGGTATAAGATCGCCTCTCAACAGTACTCGGTTGTACGCCTTCTTTTGAGCATCATCCCCAATCAGCTTAATCATGGTACGACATCTCTTTCTTTCGTCGTTCATCGGGGTTGTAGTTGGATCATCGTGCTGGAGGGATACCAAGTGTACAGGCCTTGAGGAAGCTGTGTTTCCTGGCCCATGGGACGACTACAACTACGCTCCGTCCTCTAGGACCGTCCGCCCCAAAGAATTCTTTTCGCTCAATGACGCCTCCAACGTGACAGACTTTGGAAAAGCTACTACGATCCCATTGTCTAATGATCTGGAGGCCCTCGTATTTGATTTCGGCCTGGAAGTCGGCGGCATCATCACCGTGAATTACACACTGGCAGGCACTGCAGGAGTTTCTCTTGGGATCGCCTTTACTGAAGCCAAGGACTACATTGGACGAAAGTCCGATAATTCAAATGGCGGCCCGGGCGCTGATGGCTCGCTCAGCTATGCCATCACCGAGGAAGGTCCAGGAACTTATGTCCTGCCCGATGCAAAGCTCCGTGGCGGATTTCGCTACCTCTCCCTGTTCCTTGATTCGAATACAACGGCGAGCCTGAATGTACACGACATTAGCCTGGAGCTCGTATTTCAGCCCACCTGGCCCAACTTGCGAGCGTATCATGGCTACTTTTATTCAAACGACGACTTGTTGAACCGGATTTGGTACAGCGGCGCGTACACTCTGCAGTCTAATTGCGTTCCTGGAAACACGGGCCGCCATCAAACGAACCTGACGGGTGGATGGCAGAACGACGAATATATCGGGCCCGGGGATTCAGTTCTCCTGGATGGCGCAAAGCGTGACCGCTGGGTCTGGATTGGCGATATGGGAACGGCTGTCCCAAGCCAATTTGTGAGCACGGGGGAGCTTGATAGTGTCAAGAATGCTCTTCTAGCCATCTATGCCTACCAGGTGAGTTGCCCAAGAGATTTCAAAGGAACGTACTAGTATCTTACCATCATCTCTGCCTTAGAAAAGCGACGGTCAACTTCCTAAAGCTGGACCTCCTCATAAGTCGACAGATAGTACCAGTGCGTCTACGTTGAACTTGCTTATTGTTGGTGCGCAACTGACGACCTCTAGCGTACCATCTCTGGGTACTTATCGGAACATATAACTATTATTTGTACACTGGTGACGACTCCTTCCTCGAAGACAACTGGGAGAAATACACTCGTGCCCTCTCCCACACGCTGGGCACATTGACGGAGGACGGAATTGTTAATATCACGGGGACGGCCGACTGGGGACGATGGACCTACTCTGTGAAACGTGCTTCGGCAAGCATGCTGTGAGTTCGATAGTGGCACGCAATTTCTCCTGTTGAGATGAGCTGACATTCGCCAGCCTTTACCGGGCATTGACGACCTGCTCATCGATACTGACTTGGTATCCTGGCCTCGAAGGCGACGCTTTCACTGCCGAAACTTGTCTTGAGCGATCAAAAACACTCCGAGAGAACATCCTCAAGGTCTTCTGGGACAACTCCAAAGGCGCCTTCATGGACGAGCCCAACAATAGAACAATGTACCCCCAAGACGCCAACAGCATGGCACTCGCCTTTGGCGTCGTCTCTCCGGGCCACGACGACAACAAGGCGGACCGCGTCTCAGACTACCTGGCCAGCAACCTGACCCCGATCGGGCCATCATGCCCCGAGCTGCCAAACAACATATCGCCCTTCATCTCGAGCATCGAGCTGGAAGGCCACTTCAAAGTCGGGCGCCCCGACCGCTCCCTGGCGCTCATGCGATCCATCTGGGGTTGGTACCTCGACCACCCCAACGGCACGGCGTCCACCACGCCAGAGGGCTACCTTCTGGACGGGACATGGGGCTACCGGGGCGACCGCGGGTACCGCAATGACCCGTCCTACGTCTCGCACGCGCACGGCTGGAGCAGCGGGCCGACGTCGACGCTGACCGAGTACATGGTTGGGCTGACCATCACCAGGCCGCTTGGCAAGACGTGGGAGTTCAGGCCAGCGACGTTCTCGGAGCTGTCGGAGGCGGAGGCTGGGTTCACCACGAGCCTTGGCAAGTTCTCCGCCGGGTTTAAGGTCGCGGGTGGGAGGTTGACGGTGCACTGGGATGTACCGGAGGGGACGGAGGGGGTTGTTTCCCTGCCTGGATTTCCGCCTGAGAGGATGCAGGGTGGGAAGGGGACGATGACGAAGAGCCTGTGGTGATTGTACTCTGGGAGTCATCTACCTATGCAAAGAAGTTGGCGCAGTATGTAAATTCATAGATCGCACCGTCAACGCTCCTGGAACCGAGATTTGTAGCACTAACCTCCAACCTCATCTATTTGTGGACATAGGAGCCAGGTACTTCTTGTGTCATATCTAGCAGTTCAATCGAACTGCCTGCCTCCATCATGATCTTCATCTACTATGTGTGCCCACAACCTCTCTTCCATCACGCAGCTCAAACATTACGCCGCTGGAAGAAACAAGAGGTCGAGTTTTCCGGTGAGCGTCGATGAATCCCGAGTCGCGACCCGCAATGACTCGTTTCGCTCCACCAGGATCCATTGTTACAGAGCATCTCTCGGGGATCTTTCATCATTGTACAAGTCAGCGAACAAGACTGCGGCTTTTCTGTAGACAATTACATAGGGCCGTGTTGGTTGGTCGTTCTGATTCATTAATATTGCGACATTTTCGCCCTTTTCGCCAGTTTGGCCGGGAAATGTAGATTTGTATCAGCCATTGTAATGCACATGCATGTGACCAGCCTTTCAATGATCTCCCCGTTCGATGCTTATCGAATGGTAGCGATTGGTATAGCTAAAAAAAAAGATAGATCTCAGGCCTTTGCCTGGACTAGTTGTGAAAGTTGAGTGGTGAAAGAAAAGGAGGGACGCATCTGCCTATATGGAAATGGTAGAATAAGCCTGTGTCGAAGGTCTGGGAAGTGAGTGTCGTTTGCTGCAGAGGATTTGTCTCAAGATTGTCTTCTCAGAAAGATAATTTTTTTCTCCGGAATGAGGATAGATCGCCACCAAGGGATCATCCCGAACCGACCAAATGCCGCAACTTGACTGTACACTTAGAAATCTGACGAAGCATTGGGTGTTTCATCTTGGTTCACCTATGAGCGATACCGCCAACCAGCAGCAGGTACATGGCAATGTGGCTGGCCCATGGCGCTGGCTCGTCCAATGCGAGCGCAAGCGGCGGAAAACTTTTAATTCATGCCGCCTGAAATCTCTTCTCGTCGCTCACGCATGTACCTGCTATGACATCTCACCTACAGGTACAAGACTCGCGTCAGCACGAGTGGACAAGAGCAGCTACGGGCTGGTTTATTATGGAGAAGCGGCAGCAACAGTAATGGGATTCTGTCCAGTGGCCGTAGCGCTGGCGAACGCCTGCTGCAGCCGCTGGACACGGACCCAATTTGGCCCGGTTTTCATGACCTCATAGCGGGTACTCAGGGCCATTGCTGCCCTTAGCCTTTATCGCAGAGCCTGTAGCGGGGCCTGCAGCTTGTCGCGGCCACTGGCAGAGCCCGCTGTCCCTTATCGGGCGGCTGCCCCTCCATCCATCATCCGCTGAACGGAGCACAATGGAGGGGCAGGCCCACTATAGCTTCAGGTACCTGCCACCGACATTGCATCTTATCGTGTCGCGCCAGTCAAAGCGTGAAACCTTTCCTTCTCTCCTTACTTTTTCCTGCTTCTCCTTCACTTTCTTTACCTCTCTATCTCAAGCTTACCATTGTCGTTGTTTTTCAGTTTCTGCCTTTTTTGGTTATACGCAGACAAGATGGAGTACGATACCAAGACCCGTGAGTGGCTTCATCCCGTCGTCAGTTTGGATCCAGCATTTGTTAATCATCTTCGGTCGTTTCAGCCCAGTCCATCACCTCGGACCCCAAGTCCTTCGCCAGCGATTCAGTCCGTATGCGATGGCCTACCATCCTGGTTCGTAGAATTGGCCCCTTCCTCTTCCTCCAGCGACTCAATTGGCCCCGAATTCTGACTCGACCTTCCAGACCCAAGCTATTCAGGACATCACCAAGTCCACATCCAAGGCCGAGGGTGCTGAGAAGCAGGCCGAGGGCAAGAAGATCATTGAACAGCTCACCACCCTCAAGGACGAGGTGGTGAACGACGCCAAGTTGACGTACGCCGCTCCAATCCCTACAATTGCCTAGACGACACCGAACTAACGTCCTCCCTAGGCCTATTGTCAACGACGAGTTCCCCGACGAGGTTGCTGCTTATAACAAAGAAATCCAAGACCGAGGAAATCCTTCCTGGTTGGACGTCACATGGCTCTTCGCCGAGTGCTACATGTACCGGTAAGACATTCTCTGAGCTACCTATATTATTACTGGCCGTTCTCTATGAAGCTGACCAGGTTGGCACTTTGATAGACGCATTAGCACTTTCTTCAATCTCACCAAGCACTGGAAGGAGTACGACCTCTTCGCCATCCAGAAGCTTGACACTTTCCGCACATCTCGAAATGCTGTCCTCGAGCTAGCCTCGCGGTACAAGGAGCTGGTCTCCGACCTCAAGGCCGACAAGGAGAAGACCCACAACCTTGAGGCTGAGAAGATTCTCTTCCAGGAGTTCTTCGAGATTTGCCTCTGGGGCAACGCTACTGATCTCTCCCTTCTGACAAACATGACCTACGAAGACATCCAGAAGCTTCAGGGCTCAGAGGCTCGCAAGGCCGCAGAACAGAACATTCTGGTCAATGACCTCCCAAAGGCCTATGAGATTCTCAAGAAGGCCCGCGATGAGGGTAAGAAGGAGCGAAGAATCGATTTTGTCCTCGACAACGCCGGCTTCGAGCTTTACGTTGACATTATCCTCGGCGGCTTCCTCCTCGCCACTGGCCTGGCCACCCAGATCGTCCTCCGCCCTAAGTCCATCCCCTGGTTCGTCTCAGACGTTCTGCCCAGTGACTGGACTGCCACACTCGACGCTCTTTCGGACCCCAAGCGTTTCTTTGAGACTCCGAACGACGATGAGAAGGCGCAGGGCAAGGTCCCAGTCGCCCTCACCGCCAAGGAGGAGCAGGATCTCCTCTTTGTCCACCAGGACTGGGCTTCGGAATACAAGAACGGCCAGATCACTCTGGTGCCTAACCGTTACTGGACCCGTGGTGGCAGCTTCTGGCGTCTCCCTAAGGAGGCCCCTGAGCTACACGAAGAGCTTAAGCCTGCTGAGCTTGTCATCTTCAAGGGTGACCTTAACTACAGAAAGCTGACTGGCGATGTAAGTTTTGACACATCCCTGGTTGGCAATTGAGGCGAAATAATTTCTAACTTGTTGCGACATTTCTAGGCTCACTGGGATACCACTACTCCATTCCCCCAGGCTCTCGGTCCATTGGGTCCCGGCTCGGGTGTCAATGTCCTCTCCCTGCGAACTTGCAAGGCCGACGTCGTCGTCGGCCTCAAGCCTGGACAAGATGAGGAGCTCAAGAAGATCGGCGGCGACATCGAGACCGGCGCTCGAAAGTGGGCATGGCACGGCAAGTGGGCTGTTGTGTCCTTGTCACAAGGTTAGGTTCTTCGGCTAGACTGGTCTAACTAGGACCTCTCATTTTTTACGTTTTATTTGTCATGACATATCCTATAGAGCTACATGATAGAATTTAGAGCTCCATATAGACAGGAAATTATAGAAAGATGCTTGAGCGTACCGCCATGGGTTGGCCGAATACGCTAAGCGAGCAAAAGCATGAAACAGAACGATTGGATATAACACCTATAAGCTCTCATTATATCGGCGAAGCCTGTGATCAATATTCTCCGTTCACCTCATGCTTTACTCTCCTCACATATAGGATGAATCACAAGTAGTTACGTGCAAAAAAATTGTATTGAAATTCCGGTATCACAATTCATTTCCTGAATTATGCAGAAGCTGCGTTCAAGCTTTCAAACTTCGATTTGCTCTGAGGATCAAAGTAAGGCTTCTCGCCGATACCGACTACGCGCACACCAAAACGGTCACCAATATCGAGGTAGTCAAAGGTAGCAGAGTGGAACACACTGCGGTTGTCCCAGATGGCTATTCATCTTGAGTTAGCACAGATCATCCTAGTCGAAGCGGGTTGATGCTCACCGATGTCATTAGGCTGTTGCCACTTGAGACGGACTTGAAGAGTGTGGTCTCTTGCTACGATCTTGAGGAACCACTTGAGAAGATTGTCGCTCTCCTCCTTGGTCACATCGTTGATGTGGCCGACGTGTCCTCCGACTGGGAACACGCTCTTCCAGCCGGTGACGGGGTTGGTTCGGACGACGGGGTGAATGGCTTTCAGTTCACTTCCTACATTCTCTGGAGATCCTCTCTCCGCCTCGTAGAGCTTGAAGCCGTTCCTTTCCGCTGCCTGGCTGAAGTATGGCTGCTTGAACGTGACAGTTAGAGACTCTAGGAACTTTTGATAAGCCGGGCTGAGTCGGTCGTAGATGTCATATCCTGACGCCCAGAGAGTATCTACAGAAAGAACTTTAGTCGGAATTACTGAGACTTGTTAAAAGTTTTTAACAACTACTCACCTCCTCCAGTTGCTGGTAGCTCCGTCAGGCGCAGAGACGAATAGTCTGCGGGAACGGGCTCGAAGGAGATGTCGGCGTGCCACTGGGGGCCTTCCTTCTTGTTCGGGACGACTCCGTCGTTCTCCTCTGGCTTCTTGTAAATCTGCTTGTGCTGCTTGGAGCTGATGGTGCTGATCTCCAGGTCATCGCCACCCAGGTCTCGCTGCGAGTTGAGCACTGGGTGGATATGTAGCCCCGAGGTCGACGGACGACCTGTGAGCTCACCGAGCTTGATGATGAGCTTCTTTTGGAGCTCGTTGGTGAGGTTGTCCTGTGCACGGAAGAAGACGACACCTCGCTGGGAGACTTGAGTTTTCCAATAGTTAGCACGCCTGCACATTTGACTCTTTATTATCTATATGGGAGTTGTACGTACTGGTAATTGCCAGATCTCGGATCAAGTCATCAGAATTTGGAGCATTGAGAAGATCTGCCAAGTTGGCCTTGGGGTACTCGCGACCAATGGAAGGAGTGACTTCGAAGTGTTCATAATCCTTGAGGGCGCCCGATAGTTGGAGGGGAGCAGGGTACTTGGACTTGGTGTTGACAGAGTCAACCTCAATAGCAGAGGGAGCCATGATGAGAAAAGTGATGAATAAATTGGCGAGTTCAAGGATTAGCTGCCAGATTGATGTTGCGGTTGATCAACATTGATGCCCTTATATCGAGAGATCTTTCCCCTTTTTATAATTGAAGCACCACACGGTCATGTAGCTATCCTGACACATGACACATGATCTATTGCCAAAGATCTAGGAGGCCTGTGATTACAAACTGGCGATTGATCCGACATCCGGTCTCACGTTCTTGATTAACCGTTGCATGGGAGATATGGCGCCAGCCCCCAGCAACATGTCGCGATCTCCCCCCACAGTTTGGGTGTGTCGCACCTTGACAATAACAAGTCGTGATTCGGTCATTTCGAGCTAATGCATCCCGTATGCATAGTTCATATCTCAAATTTGGTTGAAAATGGGAACTGAAAGGGTAATGATTGGCCATCTTGCCATGCTCCCATACCCCCCAAACCAGATGGCGAATAGGCGCTACTCTATTACGTGCTCTGAGAAGATAGACTTGGGAAATACTGCGCAGATAAGAATCGTTGTACAGTAAAATAGACTTGGCATTGATTAATCGATACGACGCTGTATTCTTCAAGAAAATTGCAGTGAGTCCTACGAGTGATGCGCGGAGAGGTTTAAGAAACCAGAGAGAACGTGTAAAACAGAGAGACTTTATCTCGATTGCCCAAGTGGAATCTCTTCCCCTCCCGGAAACCATAATGGAGAAATCGCAATCGCCTTGGAACTCTAGCGTACGCTAACATGTGTCATGCTGCATATTGCGGTCATCGGCGGCGGACTTCGCAAGTTGCGCCAGTTTGACCAGCGATGCCATCATGAACATACTCGTGGACACTCCTCGATCGGACCATGGGTAAGATCCCGCGGTTTCGTTCAGTTATCTCCACCCAGAAGCATATTTGGCTTTACATCCGAGGTTGTAGGGTAATATTCAATTTTCCAAGGGTTGTCACTAAACTGGAGCCGCCAATGTAGTCCTACAGTGTGTTTTCTTTGTTGATTTACACTGCTCTAGCTCGAGAAGAAGCTGAATTTAATGGAATTGTCTCGAACGTAGCTTGTGAAGACCATCATGACGGGATCAATGCCCAATATGATACAGAATGCAAGTTAGCTGCGTGCACCTCGAGACTATTGAAACGCCGCAATCACGCCTCCGAGAAGCTGAGGCGAATTGTTGGTTTATCTTATCCATCCCCCTTGTTTACCAGGGGTCTAGAATATCACATCACTGGTTCAGCCATTGTTATCGTGCGCGTCTGTCCAAATGTCGTGCTCGAACTCCCTCCCTGCGAAATCAGGATCCGCAAACCACCCAAAGACACCCTATAAAGAGGAGACGCCGATAAAGTTTAGAAACATGAGAAACAGATCTCATATCAAGCCGATTAGCGAATACAACAACGACACTCAATTTTTATTTCTCCGTTCACCGGGCTGAGTCATGTCGACTGCTTTCGTTCGGCGTGCCGAGCGCACTGAGAAGGCATACACTTCCTCGTCCGACAACGGCGAGAACAAGAGTAATTCTTCACAGGTGTTGTCCGGCACTGAGAAGGAGAATTATGAAGTACAGACACGCTCATTAGCTGATATCCCTCCCCTTGGGTCCCCCCTTGCAGAGAACACCTTCTGGTGGCAACGCTCCAAGGCTATCACCGATGGGGAAGCTATCGCCACGCAAGAGTCTGTGTTCGATGATCCGGATCTGGCAAAGCGGTACCAGCCCCGGGCAGACTGGGAGAACCTGCATAGGTTCGACCCACTGGCACGGTGGACGATCAATGAGGAGAAGAAGATAATCCGAAAGATTGACATCCGCATCATGGTCTTCGCCTGCATCATGTTCATTGCTCTTGAGCTGGACCGTTCCAATATTTCTCAAGCTGTGTCTGACAACTTCCTCGGAGACTTGGGAATGACTACAAATGGTATGTATCGGGCATTATAAAGTCAAATATGCAACCGAGGCGCTAATACATCCTAGATTACAATCTTGGAGTCACAGTATTCAGGCTGTCCTTCCTCTGTGCCGAATTGCCATCCCAGCTTATTAGCAAGTGGATGGGACCTGATCGTTGGATTCCTCTTCAGCTGTGCCTGTGGAGTATTGTTTCTGGGGTTCGTGTTTCACCCTTGATAATCTTGACCAAGACCTTGCTAACCATCGCTTTCACAACAGGCTCAATTCTGGCTCAACGGAAGAACGTCGTTTTTGGCTTGCCGCTCTCTCCTGGCGATTCTGGTAAGGAAATTACCCCTGAACAGTGTTTTCAGAAAACATGTACTGACAATATCCTAGCAAGGAGGATTCATCCCGGATGTCATTCTGTACTTGAGCTACTTCTATAAAGGAGCTGAGCTCTCTGTCCGACTCGCCTACTTCTGGACCGCACTTCAAGTCGCAGACATTCTTTCAGGCTTTTTGGGCGCTGGATTCCTTCAGCTTCGAGGCCTTCACGGCTTGGAGGGGTGGAGATGGCTCTTCCTTTTCGAGGTATTTGGAAGACAGTTCCCATATTTGCAATATGAGCTAACCTGATACCTCACATAGGGCATCCTGACCCTGGTTGTTGGTATATTTGCCATTTTCCTGATGCCTGCAGGACCTACTCAAACAAAGGGTATCCTGCGGGGCAAAGATGGTTGGTTCACTGAACGGTAAGTAGATTCTCTTTCTGAATAGGATTATCATCACTGACACCGAGAAGGGAGGAAACCATCATGGTGAACCGCGTCATTCGTGATGACCCAAGCAAGGGAGACATGCACAACCGCCAGCCAATCACCCCGAAATTGCTGCTACAGTCTCTGGCAGACTACGATATGTGGCCGCTCTACGCTATTGGACTCGTGTGGAGCATCCCTGTGAATCCCACGAACCAATACTTTACGCTCATGCTCCGGAAGCTCGGATTCAGCGTCATCATCACGAACCTTCTCACGGTGCCGCCCATGGCACTCTCGATCGTCACCATATTGGGCATCACATACATCTCCGAAACTCTGAAGCAGAGAGCCTACGTCACAGTCATATCACAGATCTGGATTCTCCCTTTCCTGATATACCTCAACGTCGTCGACATCACACAGATCAATAAGTGGGTGGGCTGGGTCATCCTGACACTCTTGCTCGCGTACCCATCACGTAAGTCCAGACTCGAGCCAGAAAAGAAAAACAGAATTAAATTGTATAACATAACTAATCAAACGGAAAACACTCTAGCGCACGCCATCCAAGTCAGCTGGAGCTCCAAGAACTCGAACGCGGTGCGCCTCCGGACCGTGTCCGCGGCCATGTACAACATGTCCGTCCAGGCCTCGGGCATCATCGCCTCCAACGTGTACCGCCAGGACGACGCCCCCCGGTACGCACGGGGCAATAAGAACCTCGTCGCCGTCGCGTCCATGAACATTGTCCTGTACTTCCTGACCAAGGCGTACTACGTCTGGAGGAACAAGAGCCGCGACAAGAAGTGGAACGCGATGACGGAGGAGGAGAGGAAGCACTATCTGGACACGACGACCGATGAAGGGAACAAGAGGCTTGATTTCAGGTTTGCGCATTAGACTTGCAGGGGTGGGATGATGGTTGTTGCCGGTTTAGATTCGTACCGTGGTGAGGGTGTTGCCGTAGTCTGGGGGCAGATGTCCATAAGCCGGCGGGGGGAGGTACTGTAAAGCCGAGGAAACCGTGCTCGATTCTTGTCCGCTTGGGCTCGTGGAAATACCCGGGGTAGAAGAAATTGAAGAAGTTTGACTGGATAAAGTCGATGTGGTCCAACCTCCTGTTGAATCAGTGGTCGAGAGGCCAAAACTGTAGTCCCCGGTGCTGGTAGCTGGGGTAGATGATACCACAGCCCCCGAGGATGGAGTGCCTCGTGAGGTGAAAGACGAGGATAAGGTTGTTGGGGTTGAGGTTCCGGCTGAAGATGGTGTGGTGCTTGGTATAGATCTCGAACTTGTACCAGGCCTTGCCGCGTCACTTGAGGTCGTTGATTCTGTGGGTGTTGACATCGACTCATTACTGGTCGTGCCCATCCCACTACTACTAGAAGTTGTGAAAGAGGACAAAATTGAAGAGCTTATACCCGAAGTCATGCTTGTAGAGTTGCTGTAAGAAGAATTACTGCTCGAGCTAGAGGGGACCCCAGTGGTAGTTGATGAAGATGGGGCAGTGCTAATCGTGGAAGATTTCTCATCTCCAGTGGTTGTGTACCGGGTGCTGGATGGATTCGTTGAATCACTCAAGCTTGTCGACGTAGAACCAGTCGGAGATCCTCGAGATGTGGTAGATATGGGTGTTTTGTCCGAAGAAACCGAAACCGAAGAGGAACCAGAACTCAGAGAAGGCGTTGCCGGCCGAGATGTTGGAGATGACTGAACATCGGATGTCGTTGAAATGGTGATCTGAAATGAGGTGGTAACTTGCGAGGATGACCTAGTTTCGGTTCTAGAACTCGATATTTCTGTAGAAGATGTCGGTGTAGAGTTAACCTCAGTGGAAGGTTTGCTAGACTGAACCTGAGATGTTATGGATTGACTGGACGCCTGGGTGAAACTACTGGGTGTAAATGAGGAAGAGTTTTCGGTTTGAGAAACTGAGGACACCGTGGAAGATGGTGACGATGACAGCTGTTGGCTTGACGAACCATGGCTTGAAGTGGTGGCTGGCCGTGAATAGTCCGTCGTTTGTGTTGTTCTGGAATTGGAAATTGAATTATTACTCGAGGATGGCGATGGTGAGAGTGATGACGCCCCTGTATTTGAAGGGGAAGAGATTTCTGAGGAACCAGTACGAGTGCTCGAGCTATCTGGTGATGTGATGTCTGAGCGTGAGCTACTTGAAGAAGTTTCTCTACTACCTGTTGAGGTGAAGAGTGATTGCAATGTAGTATCTGACATAGAGGTTGCATGATTACTAGATGAACCGGTATTAGGGCTCCTCGGGGTGCTAATAGTCAAGCTTGGTATAGAGGAAGTTGGCGCTGTGAACGTCAGTCCCGTCGTAGGCACGGATGGTATACTTGAACTTAGATCTACTGTCGAAGCACTGGGGCTAGTGAAACTTAGGCCTGTTGTCGGCGCGGTTGGTGTACTCGACGCCGAATCTATTGAAGAAATGCCGGGTGTAGTGAAGGTCAGCCCTGTTGTAGGCGCTGTTGCTGTGCTCGAAGTCAGGCCTGTTATAGAAGTGCCTGGTGTAATGAACGTCAGACCCGTCGTCGGCGCGGTTGGTGCACTTGAAGTAGAGTCTACTGTCGAAGCACTGGGAGTAGTGGACACCAATCCCGTCGTGGACGCTGTGGATGTGCTTGACCTCAGATCTACTGTAGAACCACTGGGTGAAGTGAAACTTAGACCCGTCGTAGGGGCTGTTGGTGCAGTGAAACTCGTATCTCCCGTAGACCCCGTTGGTGCGCTAAAGGTCAGACCTGTCGTTGGCGCTGTCGGTGTGGTGAGGGTCAGGCCTGTTGTCGGTGTGGTTGATCTGCTGAAACTCAGATCTACGGTAGAAGAACTAGATGCGCTGAAAGTCAATCCAGTGGTAGAGCCTGTCGGCGTCCTTGAAGTTAGAAGGGTTGAGCTCTCAGCCGGGTTACTGAATGTCAGACCGGTCGTGGGAGCCGTTGGCGGAGTGAAGGTCGAGCTTCCTGTAGATATCGACGGAGTAGTAAAAGTTAGATCAGTCGTGGGTGCGGTTGGTGTGCCTGTGGTTGTCTCTGTTGTATAACTCTTGGGTGTCGTCAAGGTCAGCCCTGTTGTAGGCGCACTGGGTGTGCTACCAGTTGGTATGCTGAAAGTAAGACCTGTAGTAGGCGCCGTAGGTGTGCTATTATTACTACTACTGGCTGCCGAAGGCTGCGTCTTCGTATTCGAGTAACATGGAGTTTTGGTACTCTCAGTGCAAGTCTCAACACTCGTTTGAGAAGTAGCAGAGGAGCCAGGGCGAGAATAGTTTGTGGATTCCGTTACGGACTGGCTTCCTGTTGGAGAAACAAGTGATGTTCGTAATGTCCCGGGGACTGAGTCTGTTGGTGAGCTTGGGTAGCTCGTGGAGCCAGAATTCGAATTGGGACTGGAGACGTTCGTAGTTTGACTGGATCCGGTAGAACTACCTAACGGGATAGATGTGCTAGTTGGAAGCGTTGCATCCGACTTCCCTGTTGTTGAGTTGTCGCTGAGGCTGGACCCTGCGCCGCTCGATGTGTTAGGAACCCCTGGGCTTGATACGCTGACGGTTGTAAACTTGGAGACCGTGATAAAACTGGTCGAACTAATCTTTACTGTTGTCGTCCGATCTCCTGGACTGGAAGTGAGGAAACCCGTACTGCTGATATCGCGCGTGCCGGGCGGAGACGTATTCGGGGAGGTAGGCTTGGTAGAGGGGACTAAGGAGGAGTTTGAGTCTGGTGATGAAGTGCTACTTAGTCTTCCACTTGGAGAAGGCCCTGTTTGGGATGTATTCATTGAAGAATTTTCGGCTGTGCTCTGGCTTGTTGACGTGGGCTTTGATGACGTGATTGAATAGGAAGGGCCTGTTGGAGATGGCGTCCCCGACGAAGCGGTAAGGGTGCTTTGAGTCTGGCCCTGGGATCCTGAGCTGGAGGATGTGGTAGAAGAGGAAGGACCTGGACGGTTTGGCTGGCCTGGGTTGCTGCTCACAGATTGGGACAGAGTCGAGGGTGATGACGCTGGCGGCCCGGGCGTAAATGAAGGCATGGTCTCGGTCCATATAGTTTCTGAGGGCATGGGAGTAGAACCAGGCCCAGGAGACGAAGGGCTGATGATGCTTCCGGTCCGTGTAGTCGAAGTGGTGCAAATGTATACGGTCGACGTGCGTTCAGGAAGGGTAGAGTAGCATGCCGAGCCGCAAGCCGTGATAGTCTTTGTCACAGTCACCGTCCTGTCCTGCGCAAGAACCGAAGTTAACCTGGTAGAAAGTGTTAACCGACGACACATTGGGCAAGTCGATTTCAAGTGAGCGCCTACCCAAGTGCTAGAAGCACAATTTGCCATATCATGCTCGACATTTTGGATAAATGGAAGAAGACTTCGTCTGAATGAGTGCTGTCGAGGTCTCAGAGGAAAGAGGGACAAGTTCCAAAGTAAGCGACAGATTCAAGACCATTGCCCTCAACTCGCTGATGTATAAGCATCATATCTTCGCCAAATGGAATGACGGTAGCTCACATACCGCCTTTATAAGTTTTGCTGTGTTTGATACACACGGGATAAATACCCCCTCGGTCGCCACACAACTCTGGCGCCTCTTCCGAATTAGTGTATTCAGCTGCATGGTAGTGGAAACACGATATCCTTAATCGAAACCCCGTCCTTTACATTTGCCAAGTTTCTTTGGACGAGCCTGGTCCTGTGATTCCTTTCTTGGTGGGGAATGGGCAGCACACACACGTGAGCTTGGATAACCCGGCATGATCACCGCTACTAGCCCAAAGAAGGAGCCAGAAGATCTCTCATGTCTTTGAACTCAACTTGGCACGGCATATAATATTGCAGGCTACGGCCTCGGTCGGGGGACCCGAAGGAGTAGCCTCTGAGACATTTGGAGTACAATGAGCGTTGCTGGACCCCACGCCCGAAATCTCTAAACCAGGAAACGAAGTTCAATGAATATTTAGGCGAGGGCTTGCTTTGAATGAGCAGGCCTAATTTCCTGAATTCACCGGGACTTTGTAAATATCAACCTGTTGTCTAGGAAATATTGTGTTCGGTGTTACAGACTGAAGATCCGAGAGTCTAGTTCCCAGCAACCAATGTCCACTCGCTTAATTGAAGTTTTGCCGTCGTTTCTGATAGACTGATGATCTGCAATATCGTTAAGAACCCCTGAAAATGTCTAAGTCAAACGCCCTCAAACTACCGGGTGATACGCCACACGAAGCTGTGCTATGAACGAACTCTGTGGCTTGCTTCAGCTCTATGCAGCCACACGAGCCTCTCTATTCACGACATGTATGATACAGGGGAGGCGTCGGAAAGCGGTCATATTTGGGCATAAAAAGCGGATACGAGCAGGACAAGGTCGTGCTCCAGAGCATTTTTGTAGCCATACACGCACATCTATTTGCTGTAACGTAAAGCTAGCTATTTTACTGATATTACACTTTAAATGGATGCCTTGAGGACCTTGAAGGCATCAGCTGCCCCTCCCTGGAAGCGAGTCTCTGCTGTCTTCCAGTTGATAACTTTCCAGATGTTCTCTACGTAAGCAGCCTTTCCGTTAAGGTACTATCCCGGCAAAGAGGTAGGTTAGCTGGCCAATTTGGAACCGAGGGCCGAATTGGGAATAACTAGACGTACCTGGAGGTAGTAGGCGTGTTCCCACATGTCAACGCCGAAAATGGGCACCTCGCCACCCACGATGGGATCCTGGTCCTTGGTGGACACGATGCGTAATCCCTGTGCGTCCTTGACGAGCCAGCCCCATCCGCTGCCCTGCAGGCCCAGAAGGGTCTTGGTAAAGGCGGCCTTGAAGCCATCCAGACTTCCCCAGACTTTGTTGATCTCAGCGACGAGGATCGGAGCGCTGCTGGGGTCGGCATCGGGAGAGGAGGAAGGGGCTAGGTTCTCCCAGAAGAGGGAGTGGTTGATGTGGCCGCCGCCGTTGAACTTGATGGCAGCCTGGAGGGCAATCTGGCCGGCGATGTCATTGGATGCGACGGCAGAGGCGTAGGTCTTGATGGCGTTGTTGAGGTTGGTGACGTAGGCTTGGTGGTGCTTGGAGTGGTGTAGCTCCATGATCTGGGCAGAGATGCTGGGCTCCAAAGCCTGGGACTCTATTAGCACATCTAATACCGGGTGATGGGCATCACGAAACGTATTTTGCATGAATCTTGGGGTCTGGCTCTGAAAAATGAGGGGATTGTGTGCCTTTCTTGCAGGCGGCCGGACTTACATCATAGGCGTATGGAAGCGCCGGGAGGGAGTAGGTGCTGACAGACATGGTTGTGCGGTTGAGTGTAAGGTGTAGAGAGACCACGAAAGCCTTGGGTACGACTTATGGGGTTGGAGCGGGCAGAGAAGAGAAGGTTGAGGCTGTTTGATGATGATGCTCCGGTGAAGTGAAGAGGGTTAAGCAAGGACAAGGAGGGGTAACGGAGCCAGCAAATGACGACATTTGGCAAGTGCTACGTGTATCTTACTGCCAGATCTCTGCATTGCTTGTTAGATTGGGAAAGCTCTCCCGGCGCGGGTTCTCCCATACGCCGGCTGCTGATAAATCTACTCTCCCAGAACCAATCAACCAGCCGCGTGCTCGCCCGCAGACATTGCGTGACGTGGCCATCGGTACCTGAGTCCTCACAAAGCCGAAAGTTAATGGACTGCTTAGTTTGTCTGTGCCTTGTCTCTTGTGAACCTGTATGAGCAAGTTTGAGAAGAGTGGTGGTGGAAACATGCTCAGATGTTGCCCAATGCGGAAATTGAGCTAGTTGTGATTGGGCCGGTGGAGACGAGTCACCATCAAGGTGCTCTTAGTCTTTGGATGTGCTCTTAGATCGAACTCACAGTCTGTCATTGTCTTTGATACGAGCTAGATTGAGGAGGACCGAGCAGGTTTCAGCTCTTAGGCCTCAAACGAGCAGAATCACATGGTCGCTCGAGCCAGCCAAAGACGGGCATTAGTTTAAGAAGATGTACATAGCTGCTCTCTTCCAATACTTCAAGCAATTACTTCTAAATACATCATTCATAGGCACTCATCCATCTATCCATTAGCCTCAACACCATGTGTGGACCGGAGACCACGAATCGTCCTCGCGGAGGAGCCCTCGCTGCTCTTTCACCACCCTCAACTCCAGTCTCCCTTCCCCGTAGCACCCTCTGTGGCGACTTGGCCTTCCATACTCCAGGAAATCCCGGCAGCACGAACGCTACACACGCCAGGCTCACACCAGAAGAGGTCTGCCACCACACAGCCCTGTCCGACCTCTGCGTCGTGATCCAGTGAGTCGAAGCACCTTGTCCCGCACGCGACAGTACAAGACTAACGGTGACAAATGCAGTTCATCCGGGGACCTCACCCGCAACCCAGCCGACTGCGGTTTGTTCCGCCAGTTCACGATCCCCGCCAAGCTTACATCCCAGAATGGCGAATACTACGAGCTCGCGCTGGAGAGCCCGCTGTCCCTCGCCGTGGGCAACGACGGTATTATTGGCAGGCGCGTCTCCCTGTGCTCGGGCTCCAGCCTGGATCGGGACAACATCGTCGCTGAGGGCATCGTCGGCTTCAACTTCATGAGGCCGGTGCAGCCAACCCTTTGATTGGGGTCTGCCCACGGCATGCATGTGACGTGTGCTCTGTGCGAATATAATATCAACCAGCGACGCGTGACCCGGGTCGCTGTGGTTCAGGACGGATATCTGTGATAGCTGTGATTACTACGGCTCACCGCATTTCTTCCAAATGGCAGTGAGCAGCACCACAGTCTACGACGCCTAGCTCGGCAGTTTTCGATGGCAAAACCGCCCCGCGTGCTGAGCTCTGATTATGGGCAAGCTCTTGTTAGCAAGGGATGAGACTTTATGGACTGCTCAGGTTTTCCAACAGACAAGGGAAATGTAGCACATGGGGAAGGATGGAGAAGACACCTTCCAAGGTACCAACAAGCCCGCCAGGCACTGGATGCTCGAGGCCTTGGTCTCTGCAACATAAATAATGAATAATAAATGGATAAGCCAGCTGAAAGGCTACAATCTCGGCCGTCAAGGTCTCATCTAATGTCGGCTCTTGCGCAGACCCCATCTCACAATGTGACAACAAGGCGTAGCAAGTAGCACCGCACAATCATAATCTGGGTCAGGGGCAAGGTACTTTTTCCTTTGACACCCTACGCCTCAAATCGCTTGTTCTCTATGGCGTTGAAACAGGTAACTATGTCTGTCTATATCATGTCACATCATACATTCGTATCGGTCGTTATACGTTTCGTTCGTCCCATTCCACCCACTTCCGGATGATGCCATCCACCTTCCTGACCGCGGCGCGTGTCGCCTCCACCTGGAACCACTCGCGGTGCTCACGCCCACACGCATCGCACACCCCTAGATCAGCTCGCAGCCCCATACCCGCCAGCTCGATGTGGATGAGACGTTCGACCCTGTGCGCGTGCGGCGTGGGGCGCGGCGACGTTACGCTGCCTGAGGCTGAGGGCGAGTACGGGTAGTACCGCAGGACCTCGACGTCGCGGCCGCACTGCCGCTGCCACTGGACCATCCGGCGGTGAACGTTGGCCGCCCGGCCTATCTTGAGCACCATGGGCTTCCCGCCCGCGCCAGGAGCTGCCTTGGATTCGTTCTTATCCGCGTACGAGTATACCACATCGCTGGCTCGTCGGGATCGAGGCGTCGGGGACGGGGGAGCGAGCAGATCACGGGCTGCGTCTCCGGGAACTGCCATGGACCTTGACGAGGAGGTGGGCGTGAGCCAGAACATGTAGATGTAGCCAGCTTCCTCGGAGTCGACGTATGGGCGGGCAAGCTCCGTCATGAGCGCAGAGGCGGTCGTGGGATCGAGGGTATCGGGTATCAGGTCCTTCGCCTGGCTGACGAAGGACGCCCCCGACTTGCGGGAGCTCTTGGATTTCTTCTGTGCAGAGGGAACAGAGGCTGAGTGCTTTTGGACCGGTCGAGGCTGTGGGCGGACAGGCACAGCAGGCTTGGAGGGCTCCTCGACGGTACCAAAGCAGCAACAAAACGAAGCCTTCTGCTTCTGAGGTTTCGAAGGTCGGCGGCCAGAGTCCTGCCGTTGGCTCTTGTCCGACTTCCGTTTCTTCTTATCTTGTAAGTCGATCAGTCCCAGGCGGTCAGCGAGCGTGTCCAAGCTCGTGCGCTGGTGTTGGAGGATGGGTGTAGCAGTTCCACGCGGACCAGGACTCGAGTGCGCCGACATGCTTGCCTGCTCCTTGTGTTGCCAGCAGTATGAGTTCTCGTCGCGAGGGTCGGGGGTCAGAGGCCGTCGCTTGCCATGTCGTGACGGGTTGGGCTGGGCGTTTGGAATCGCTCGTCGGCATGGTCTGCCAGATGTGGTTATGCCGCGACATGTTGCGTTAGGATTGAGGGAGTCTGAGCGGTCGAACGAGGACTCGGGGGTATTCGGTATGAAGGGCATCGTAGAGTATCTCGAAGAAGAAGCAGTGCGCGAGGGCACAATGGGTCGGCGCTTAGCTGCTTCACGGTCTGCTTTAACGAAGGATGGCGACCGGCACCCTCGACACGCGAAGGTCTAGAAAACAAAGACTTTAAATTGCTACAAAGAGCAGCCAAACCCTGACGAACCAAATGAAGAAGCGTGGACCCGGCGAATCTGCCGCCGGCTTGGCAGACTCCCTGGACATGAAGTGGCGGTGTTCACATCGTGACTGGGCTTGTTCCTGGAAAAAAGCCTGGTGGAGGTCCGACGCGCCTGCCGCAGCTCCTGACCCCACCACCAGTCGCTGAATTAGGCCGCGCGCTTCTGCCGTCAGGCTCTGTTTGAAACTCGTTGTTCACCAACATCATGCTATTAAGGTAGCTATTGGGAATCATCAAAACATGTATTCCGATTTGTTTCGCTAGAATTTACAAACTGGGCAGAGATACTTGCTGCAACCATCCGTCACTCTCGCACAAACAGCCCAGCCATGCCCATCCCTGTCCCGACACACATACTCACCACACCCACCTCACCACCTGTTCGCCCAAGGCCGTGAATCAGAGTACTCGTCATTCTTGCTCCCGTCGCACCAAGCGGGTGGCCCAGAGCAATCGCTCCTCCATCCGGATTGACCTTGCCATCCTCCAGTGCCTTCTCCAGCCCCAAAGCACGCACGCAGTACACCGCCTGGCTGGCAAACGCCTCGTTGATCTCCCATCGATCCACGTCCTTGGCCTCCAGTCCATGCTGCTCCAAGAGCTTGGGAATGGCCAGCGCAGGCCCGATGCCCATCTCGTCTGGGGCACAGCCCACCGTCGTGGCCGACACAAACTTGCCGAGGATGGGCAGTCCCAACTCTGTGGCTGTGCTCCTCTTCATCAGCAGTGTGGCGGCAGCTCCGTCCGAGACTTGCGATGAGTTGCCTGCTGTGCTGGTTCCGTCTGCCTTGAAGGCCGGCTTGAGCTTTGCGAGAGCCTCTGGGCTGATGTTGGCCCGAATTCCGTCGTCTTGGGTGACGGTGATTGTCTGCTGCTCGCCAATCTTCTCTCCCGTCTTTTTGTCCACCTCCTGGAACCGAGTTGTCACAGGGACGATCTCGGCATCGAATGCGCCAGCTTCCCTCGCTCTGGCAGCCTTGATGTGACTCTGGAGGGCTAGAGCGTCCTGGTCCTCTCGAGAAACACCGTATCTGGAAGCCACGTTTTCCGATGTCAACCCCATAGCCATGATGCAGTCCCTTGCATCCTTAACCGGGGAGTCCTTCAATTCAGGCCATAAATCAACAGGAATGGCTCTGCTACCGTAGTTTCGTGACATGCTCTCCATACCAGCTCCAATACCCACAGAGATGGCGCCAGTCTTGATCTGGGCTGCCACCAAGTTAATTGCTTGTAGCGACGATGAGCATGCCCTGTTGACGGTGTAAAGCGACGTAGTGTTGGGGTATCCGACGTGATTCATCGCCATTCTAGCTGCCTTTGAGCCACCCAGCTCCGACAAGACAACGCCGACTGCGACATCTTCGATCTTGGCCGCGTCAAGCTGGGGGGTCTTGTCAAGTGTTGCGCGAAGAACAACAGAGAGGAGCTCCTCTGGGAATGCATCCTTGAACTTGCCCTTGGCTCGTGCGACGGGCGTGCGCAGCGAAGACACAATCACGGTGTCGGTCGCCGCCTTCTTCACCACCGATGAGAGTCCGCGCGGTAGAGACATTTTCTTTCTTTCAGGTACGACGTCTCGAAATGGAATCCAAGAATTGCAATTGAGATTAGGATTGGAGAGAGGCAAGTGAAATCAATTCAACGCCCAGCCGAGCATCGGGATGTAACTGTGGGGAAGTGAATCTGGATGGATCCCCCTCTCCCGAGCCGAACTGGGTAACAAAGCCTTTAATTTTGGTTTCTCGTTTTCGATTACCGGGTTTGCAGCGCGGCAACAATCCGGTAGGTCGTGGCAACAGTCCGGCATCCAATAATGGCTGAGTCTCCGTGCGGTCGAGGCGATTCTCGCACCGCTAGACCAATGAAACAGCGGACCGCCCAGCCTCGCTGTCGGGAAAGGCACCTTAGCGAACCGAACCCTGATTCATGCCGCGGTCGCCTACCGGAAGCAGCGCTCCACCAGCCGGATGCTGCTTGTGATGCAGGGGCCGGTTGTGAGTCCTGTCTCCGATGTAGGAACGTTGAGCGAGTGATGCCGGGATTCTTATCAATCGTCTGATGTTCGAATGGTTGCTCTGTTTTGCTGTCTGTCCATACTGTATCTGTCGCGGCCCTGATCGTTGAGGCGGCCCATCTCCATCTCTCTTCCATTTACTACACACAATGGCTCCCCGAATGCTCTGGCCGAGGGCCTTAAAAGCCTCATGTAAATATGGCTCCAATGTAAGTTCAAGATATACAATTTGAAGAAATCATCGGCCAATTTCAATGTTCATCCGTGTGACTAACTCATCCAGCCCGCGCTCCTCCTTGCCAGGACCTTCTCGGCCACAGCCAGGCGGGCAGAGATCAACAAGGTCTATCCCTCTGCAGCTGAGGCCCTGAAAGATATGAAGGGCGACAGCACTCTGCTCTGCGGTGGATTCGGCCTCTGCGGTGTGCCAGATACGCTCATCAACGAGGTCGCCAAGAAGGGGATCAAGGGGATCACAGCCGCCTCAAACAATGCGGGTACCGACAACAGCGGTCTGGGCAAGCTCCTCAAGTCTGGGCAGATCAAAAAGATGATCGCTTCATATATTGGAGAAAATAAGACCTTTGAGAGCATGTATCTGAATGGACAGGTCGAACTGGAGCTCACGCCCCAAGGAACGCTTGCAGAGCGGTGCGCCGCTGGAGGCAAAGGTATCCCGGCATTTTACACTCCCGCTGCCTACGGCACCGTTGTGCAAACGGGCGAGCTACCGGTGCGACACAGGCCCGACGGTACACCTGAACTCTACAACCCTCCAAAGGACGTCAAGGTGTTCAATGGGAAATCGTACCTGCTGGAACACAGCATTGCGGGAGACTACGCCTTTGTCAAGGCATACCGCGCCGACAAGCTCGGTAATTGCCAGTTCCGCCTCGCTGCCCAGAACTTCAACGGCGCCATGGGCCGCAATGCTAAGATGACCATCGTGGAGGCGGAGGAAATTGTCGAGCCGGGAGAGATCCCGCCCGAGGCGGTCCATCTCCCCGGCATCTACGTCAAGCGCGTCATCAAGAGCACGGCGGAGAAGGGCATTGAGAAGTACACATTCGCACAGGACCCCAACGACCCTGACTCAAAAGCCAAGAGCGCCCTGGGGACTGGTGAGACGGCGGCAAAGCGAGAACGCATCGTTCGTCGCGCCGCCAAGGAGTTTAAGAATGGCATGTATGCTAATCTGGGAATTGGCATGCCTATGCTCGCGCCCAGCTTCGTCGGGCCCGAGGTCGAAGTCCAGCTTCAGAGTGAAAATGGGATTCTGGGACTTGGACCCTATCCCCAACGTGGGCAAGAAGACGCCGACCTGATCAACGCGGGCAAAGAGACTGTCACGTTGAAGCCGGGCGCATCTGTCTTTGGCTCCGAGGAGAGCTTTGGCATGATCAGAAGCGGCAGGATTGACCTGACCATCCTCGGCGCGATGCAGGTCAGTGCCCGGGGTGATCTAGCTAACTGGATGCTCCCTGGAAAGGTCAAGGGCTTCGGAGGTGCGATGGATTTGGTAAGTAACCCTTCCAAGACGAAGGTTGTGGTCACCATGGAGCATACGGATAAGAAGGGCAACCCAAAGATCTTGAAGCAATGCGCGTTCCCTCTGACCGGGAAGGCATGCGTTTCGAGAATCATTACTGAACTTGTTAGTCAAGAGCTCTACACCCCTGGACACCAAGCTCGTCCTTTCATTCCGGTGACTAATGGACTGTTTCTAGGCCGTCTTTGATGTGGACTTTGCTCATGGGCTGACGCTTATCGAAATTGCGGACGGTGTGACAGTGGATGAAGTCAAGGCCAAGACCGAGGCTCCCTTCACCGTAGCAGAGGACCTGAAGCCTATGCTTTGAACGAATTAATTTTGCGAACTTTGATAGATGGTTAATAAAATGGTATCAGCTTGTAAAGAATGCGATCAGCATTCCGCTATTTTGATGTCTACAACCCAAGTCTGAAAGCCGCCATACTCCGCTGGAATGCACGTCAAGTCAAATAAATAACTAACAACTTCTCGTAGTTAAACCAAAATACACTTTCTGTTGTGGTGAGATTAATTGTTGCCCCCGATTTGCATTTACACGAAGACATGGAAGCACGCCCCGGAAAGCGTTCGGCTGTGGTCGGATAGTGCACCGCCCGTCGGCTATGCGCTGTCGGGTACGTACTGTGAAGCTGTGCTTCTTCCGCCGCCGGTTTCTTGACCTAGACATGACACCACCGGCTCAGATACCAGAATGGGATCCAAAACTATCGAGACCTTTCTCCCCTAGCACCTAATGATCCACGGGTTTCACGGACCACGAACGCAGTTTTTGTGAGGGATTGGGTGAGCGAGTATCGTGGCTAGCACCGTAACGCCTTCTACTTGTGCCCGCCCCACCTTTTTCAGTGGTTTGGATAAACTTCCCGCCTTTGGGCGGTGTTGCAGCAAATCCGGCCACTTACACAGCAAATTCGGCCACTTACAGCGAATTCGGCCACATAGCAATTTCGGCCAAAGAGTAAATCCGGTCAGCTAACTATTTGCTAGTTTCTGAAGTTGAGACCTAGCTAGTAGCAACATATCAGAAATCAGACTGTATTACCACCTTTGTATACCCTCTATGATCGAAATTATTATATAGCCGAATTTGCTGTGTGGTCGAATTTGCTGTGTAGCCGAACTTGCTGTATGGTCGAAATTATATTATAGCCGAATTTGCTGTGGTGTCGAAATTGTTATATAGTCAAATTTGCTGTGTGGTCCGAATTTGCTGTATGGCCGAATTCGCTACAACAGCACCAAAGGGCAGGGAGTACAATTTAACTCTCACGCCATATCCTATTAGCATCCTAAAGTGAAATAACGAAACAGAACTATCCTATACTTAATTGAGAGTTTATTCACATCGCATATGTCAAAGCAATCTTCGTATGAAAGCTACCAAATCAATAGTACATACTTGTTATTATTAAAAATGGCGCGAGTTATTGGATCCTGAGAAAATATACCGTCCTGATTAAGTACCGCTACATTGAACTCATATTTGGTGAAGTGGTATATAATATAACACAAGTCCACCTATGCTTCTTGCCTCAAGGTTAGCTCCGCTACTAATTAGTTGTAGTATGCCTGTTTCTGTTTTTTTTTTTTTTTGGAAACAAGGATGCGTTGCTGCTATCAGCGGTGGTTTATAGCCATGTGCGGTGATTACTATCAGTGCCCTCTATACTGGCTCCTCTATTCACAAGTTGAGTCACGACTTTTGCTACCACTGCCACTAATGCTTATGGTATGGTTGTTGTTTCCGTTGATTATTTCGACTCTTTTACCATGGCCCCTTTGGAAATAAGTTTCCCGACGTATTCCGGCACCTGGGTCATCCAATATAGCTATACAAATCGTGCAGGCTGCAATGATCCGTGTCAGCAGCATGCTACTGGTATTAAGTAACTTCGATTTGGATTACATCATGTCGTTCAAGCGTGTCTATGGAGTAGAAGGATGTCAGCACGCCTGATATTCTTGTGCATCATCGAGCCTATGTGAAGAGGGTGAGGGGCGGTGTGTGTAACAAATGGCAACCACGGAGCGAATGCCGGGTCGGCTCCCTCAGTCCGACCAGAGATGAGAGATACACGGTAGGTAATGATGAAAGTCATTTTCTATATTTAAGCTATTTAAGCTATTGATCAGGAGTTTGAGGAGTGCCAAGTCAAGTGCCATTAGGCTCCGGATGTACGGATATAAGAGTTTACGAGCTGTGGCATGATTTTCATCTATTTTCGTATACGTGTGCTGAATTCAGTTTTACTGATCTTTACTGAGAATCAATAAATTTTCCAATGACAACAATCGGGAAGTGGCATCTAGCAACAAATCAGCATATGTGTCCCATAGCTTGTATTTGTAAGCAACCACATCGGTTTGAGGCGACCATCCGTTGCAAAATCCCTGAGCCAAATGGCGTATAATAACTTGTCTCAATTATCTTACGGTCGTTGTGAGACAAATAAGTCTATTACTAATCCTATAACAAGATGGGGCCACGTGGAATAATCCTTCAAATACCGGTGACATTCTGTATAACCCGCCTCCTCTACCCTTCCTTTCGTCCCAGCTCCGCAACCTAGAAGGCATACACATTCTTCCTCATCCCCCAAGAATAACAACAAAATGAGCACTGCTAAGCAAGGATCAACATTTTGGTTGAGCATAACTGGTCTCCTCTGCTCCATCTTCTTTCTAGCCGGCCAATACTATGCTAGCGGCCCAACATCTGCATCTACACCATTCCTCGACTTCGTTAAAGCTCGCCGCACATACTATGCTTTGACCGACACACTCCCATTTGGAAAGGAAACGGTTGTTGAAATTGTTCAGGACTTAGTCCAAGATGTGCCCAGCGCCTTCAACTCTCAGTCCAATCGTGTCGTGATCCTCTTTGACCAAGAGCATGGCAAGTTCTGGGATACTGTCAGCCGCACTCTGAAGAACGTCGTAGCTGAGGATCAATGGGAATCAACACGCGACCGTATCGCCACGTTCAAGGATGCTGCAGGATCAGTAAGTTCGAGTCTGCTATGCACGCAATATCCCGTAAAAGCTATCACAGTACATATGTGTTGGCTAACATACGAATCAAACAGGTCCTCTTTTTCGTAGATGAAGCAGTAGTTCAGGAACTTGCCGCCAACATTCCTGCATATGCAGATGAATTCCCAATTTGGGCTACCGAGTCAGGTGGCATGTTGCAACATTCTGCCTGGACAGCCCTAGAGGCAAAGGGCCTTGGTGCCAACCTCCAGCATTACAACCTCGTCAATGCCGAGATCGCCAAGACGTGGGGACTTCCTGCTACCTGGCGGCTCAAATCTCAACTCGTCTTTGGTGGACGAGCGGGTGAGCCAGGTGAGAAGACTTTCAAACCACTGAGCGAGAAACTCAAGGTATTTGGCGCATAGGTTGGGCGACGTATTATGTTGTACCACTAAAGTGGTGAATTGGATGTCAACAAATGGACAAAAAAGAAACATGTTTAGTCCGAAAACAATGGCTTCAAGATAGATCCAATTGAGACTTGTACGATAGTTACTGTCTCTTTCAATGAACTGCTACATTGTCTTAGGCGTCTCATCAATAATGAAACGCGAAATAACTGCCACTATCCAAACCCGCTCATAGTACTATGTATTTTTAGCGAGCCAAAATTGAATCAATCCATAATTCATCCCAGTGAGGCGGAATGACTCGAATTCGATGAGTAGAGCTCTCGGATTCGCCCTGTGATTTTGCTCCGACAATCATCTTATTTCAGCGCTATTACTCGGGAGATCCTGTTATTATTGAGTATGTGAACAGGTTTTACACGCTAGCTCAATCCCTCGGATTCATTGCTGTTGTAATTGAGTACTTGTAAGGTTCCTCAGAGAGGAGCATAGGATTGACACCATCCAATATCCCTTCAAATATATCTTAGAATTTCAAACTCCAAATTTTCCTACTCTGATATGCGTAATGTGTCAAACTCCCTCGAGAAAGCAACTACCCTATACATCCGCAATTTGTTTAACATCAATTCTATCATCCAGTTTGTCGTTGAATAGTGAAGGTAGGGTATGGCCCAAGATAAATCATGGGATATTCGCAAATAAGAGAACAATGGGTTTCCGGCCTACCCGAGTTTCCTCTTGATTGCTCAGCAAGGAACCTGAGCTTACGACTTAGAGCACTGCTTTGGATCGAGTCTTGTTGCCGGGTGGGTCGGTGGCTGTGGGGATGCACGTGAGATTTCCCCAGACTTCGCACGTCGGGAACGGCAGGGGTGGTGTGGTTAGGCCAACCTCGTTTTCAAGCATCAACAGCAATTGACACACGGCTGAGATTAACCACTGCTTGCTATATCACGCACCTGGTACCTCAGCCCTCCCAGTGGAAGCTCTAATCTGTGGCTGTGGGGCGCGCCTCACGCGCGTCGAGTATTTCTTGCCTCGGAAATATCTCGCGGCGACATACCACCGATCGCCGGCGCCCGGCACATCCTGCGATGCCGCGCCCCAAGTTGCTCTCGAGCCAGCGCCAAAGAGCCGCTGAGGCTTGCAATGCTTGCCGAGAGGCAAAGAAGAGATGCTCGGGCACGGCACCCTGCACCCACTGCCTGCGTCGCGGCCTGGGCAGTTCGTGTTTCATCTCCCACCGCCCTCGGGGAAATCGCCATTCTGTAGGTATCGCGACAGGACTATCAAATTCGAAGCCCCCGAATGGGGGTCAGCAACCTCTTGCGACAAGCCCACCAAAAACTAGACATAGCACCGGTGCTACTGTTTCAGACTCAACAGCCTTCTCCGCCTTTGAGGATGCGTCCATGCTCAGTCATTCGACGGCCCCTGTTGTGCCCAGTGGAATTGCTTCAATATCACCCTCAGAGGCTCGTACGATAGAAGTTGACAATTCTTCAACAATTGTTAATTTAGAGCCTCAGGTACAGGTTATGAGTGATGTGGACGATTCTAGCGCCTTGTCGTTGCTTTCAATGAAGCCGTCCCCTCGAATGTTGCTGAACCTGCGGGGCGAGCGAGGTACGAAGCTTGGATCTGACCATACAAGACGTGAATGCTGAATTTGTTTCTAGTCTACATAGGGGGAGGAGGCTCTCTCTCATTCCTGCAGGCCGTGAGGGGCATTATATCTGCCCAAGTCGGACCTTCGCAATTTTCTCGTCATGGCAAAAGCGACACCATGCTCGAGAAGGAGTCGCCGCAAACAAGAGCACAAGTTTCCAGTCCTAGTGAAATGAAGATGGAGGATAAGCTCATGTATGCCAAATGCTTCTACGAAGTGGTAGGTACTGAGATCTATTCTGGTATGCATGCCGTCTACTAACCGTCATTTGATAGACGGGGGGTTTGATAGACCCTTTCTGTCCACAAGAAATGGAACAGCTCCTGGCGACCTCTGGTGGAGGGAGTCCCCAGAAAAGAGCGCTTGTGCAGCTCATCATAGCTGTTGGCCTTCAGTGTGATCCATCAGCCGACGCGTACGATCGCGAGCTGGCGTATTTTAGCGAGGCCCAGGCCCAAGCCTTTTCTGGGATGCTTGAGGACCCGGATATTGATATGGTTAGAATATTTCTAATAATGTCCTTCTATCTCCTGGGGGAATGTCGCAGGAACACGGCCTTTATGTATCTCGGAATTGCTGCAAGAGCCGCGCTGTCACTAGGGTTGCATAGCCCTGAAACCTATACAGACATGAAAGATTCAAAACATCAACTCAGGTACTCCTCAACCCTCCTACTCCTATCTATCGCAAAGGATTTCAAACTAATTCTACGGCTTAGGCTACGGGTATGGATGAGTCTCAGAGTTATGGACATTCCCATCAGCTCCATATTAGGCCGTCCGCCTGCCACTGCAGGAGTCCAGTCTGATTTACAAGGCCTCGTTGATGATGTAGTTGCTTCATCTCAGGACCGGGGAATGATTTGCCTTGTTGCATCCTACAAAATGGTATCGCTGATAAGCAATATCGTCGAGAAACTCTATGATCGGAAAGAGATCTCTATTCCCATGATAGAAGAGAATCTACAAGAACTTGAGAAATGGAGCCAGGGTCTCCCTCAATTTCTCCGCACCTCGCCCTCACAGACAGATCTCGCCGATTCCGACGCCGAGAAGAGCGCAATTGGACGCGTCCACGTCTCTTGTCTTTATTATTTTGCCGTCACCCTCGTGACTCGGCCCATACTGGTCTCTACACTGATCCAGCCGCAGGTTGGGGGAATGGTACACTCTCATTTGGCATCTGCGTGTCTTGATGCTGCCATATTTATTGTCCAGACATGTTCTGGGGCCAGGAAGCTTGGTTTGCTGAAGGCAAACATGGCAACCATAATGTAAGCGGCTACTCTAAAAACTATTCTCGGGATAACCTCCAACTGATCGGCTACAGATCAATTATCTTCCCAGCTGGCCTGGTACTCGGGTTCCAAATTTTTGCCAAGGACGTTGTTGATTACGGAATCGAGTCCGCTTTTCATGGCGCGCGAGAACTGCTCAACTTCCTGGGAGCCAAGAGCTCTCAGGCGACCTTATACTACGATATTCTTACCTCTCTTTCCAATGTGATCAATGAGCGCCGCGAGAAATCATCCACGAAGAGTAGGACAGCTTATGTGTCAAAGCTATTCAATTTTGAACGACAGCAGCCAGAGGGGCAGGCGAGAGATGCGAATCGTGCGGCCCAGCCTAGCGAGGATCAGCAGCCTGTGCAAATGAATGACTTATTTGCCACATGCTCTCTGGGGAACAACACACCTCTGGAATCAGGGGACATGTTTCTTGATTGGGACAGTCTTGATATCTCGTTATGGGAGAGCTTTCCTTATTTGACTTGATATCTATTGCGAAGAGAAGAAGACCTCAGGCCAGCGACCTCGTGTAAATAACATCGAAGTTTTTCTCACAGTGTGCTATTATAGTGCTAATACTATGAAATGCACCTTCTCAGGGTCTTGCGCAAGAATGATGGACCAAATCCAAACACACCCCGCATCTGGCAGCCCCTCGCGGCGGTAATTTAAAATGGCCAGGTTGAGCTAACACCATGGTCTATTAAATGAGAAAAATACGGCTGCGAGGTCCGGAACAATGGAGTGATAGATCAAGATGAGTCTGCCTCGGTACATGGTATTTACTTTGGCCTCAAAATGAGATCAGATGACCTAGGATCAGCGTGGAGAATGGGTGACTAAATGCTTGGCAGTCGCGGCGCGAGATGATGGCGAAATCCAACAGCCGGCCAGTGCTGATTGATTCTTGCCCAAGGCTGACCACAAAATGGCCCAGATTGGCAGTTCCTGGGCGTGACAGATCTTGGCACGTCTTGGTTCGCAGTTGAGATTGGTGGACTTGCGAGCACGGCCCAAGTCATCCAAATTGTGACAGGGAAGCCCCTCTAAGCTGGGGCAATGTTGTGGCTCAGCCTTCCCATCGCCAAGGCTGATGTCATTAGCAGTTTGCCCTGCTGCCCTTGCATAGAACGATCAGAGAACGATCCCAGAGAAATGGGATGGTTATAAGAAGGCCGTGTGGGCCTCGCCATATTCTGTTGTCCAGTATCCGAACACGATCCAGCCATTCATCGAAGCCATCAACATGAACTTCTCAAACCATCTCCCCACCCTCTTCAGCCTGGTCTGCGGTTTAGCAGCCACGGCAAACGCACTTCCCCTGGTGCCCTCGGACAAGGGTTCAGCCTCGGAGCACTCCACGCGAGCCATCGGATCAAATCGCCGTGGGCGCACGACACCAATCCCAACGTGGGCTATCGTCGGTATCGTGGTAGTTATTGGTTTCGCCCTCTCCATCATCATAGTCTCGTGCTGTTGCACCAAGCGACGAAGGGCAGCTGAGCCGCCAGCATATCTGCCTCCTGCCACAACACAGCCGTCAGCACCGCAAATGGCGACAGTACAGCCGATCAATTCATTCCCCGTGGTCCAGGAGCCTCCTCCGGCCTACACTCCAAGCAATACCTCAGGCGGTGTCTACCGATAGATGAGAGCGAGAGCCCGACTCTGATAAGGCAGTCATTAAACACTACTGCCGATACCCTTTTCCTCTATTGGGAACTTGTGCTGAGAGATGCCATCAATACCCACATCACCACACCAACATACAACTGCTTCAGCCGGTCAAATCACTATCTGGCCCAGGGATGTAAAAGGTGCTTCGCGTTGACGAATGAACTTCGCTTCACTCAGCAGGCTCAATTGCCGCATATGAGTCAAATAGCAGATCGGTCGATGTTAACGGGCTATGCATGCCTCTCACCATATCTCGAACGCGCCATTGCTCAACTCCGCCCTCTGGGCAACTCTTAAGACATAAGTTTCTTCAACACTGTGTCATAAGTCGCCCAACTACTTGGTAACAAATCCTATGCATAGCCAGATGTTAATTTTTTTAGCAATCGCCCGTGGTTCTTATTTTGGCCACCGGAATATCTGGGACAAGCATGAGCACTTAGTTCAAATACTTGAACGCCAGGGTTTACTTATATGTTACTTTTATATGTGCTTGGTACATGTTGCAATGCAACTTCCCAACTTATATTCTCCTCTTACCATATAGAGTCTATAGATCTACTGCATGAATATATAGAAACTACCTTATTCACAATTATAGCTCTCCCAGTCATCTACATTCCCCCCTTCTTTCAGCTTCGCACCCTGGGGCCATGTACAAAGTCTCCTGGTCCTCTCATCTCCGTTCGTCGGACCCCAGCTCTTGATCCCTTCAACCGGCTCTTGCCCCTTCTCTATCCAATCTACCATTGCGGTCGAGAAATCATAGTGCGCGGGCACATAAGGATACTTGGCTATGTTTGCGCCACAGTGCCCGCCCCCAGGCACCATGACGAGCTTGACAAAGTCGTTCTCCGCTATAGTAGTCTCGGGCCCAATGGTATCTTGCGTGATGGCCTCAACATGTTTGATTGACCACTCTGGGGTAATGTTCGGGTCCGCCCAGCCGGCAAAGACGATCATCTTCCCACCGCGGTCGCGGAAGGATGAGAGATCAGTTTTAATCGAATTGATCAGCCTGCCGGCTCGTTCTTCTAAGACATCTACGTCGGATCCCCAGTTGAATGTCGTTGGATCGTAGGCTAGGTCGTCGTATACCAGATTTTGCAGAATTGGCACGGCGAATACAGAGGAGAGGAGACCTTGTACTATTGGAAGCGACCAGCCAGCCTCGGAACCGAGTGCGACACCTGGCCAGAGAGACTTGCTGGGATCATCCGAACGCACAGGTCCTTGGTAAATCGCTTTCACGGCGGAGAGCTGGTCAGGCGTGAGACACGTGACGTTGCCGGCAGAAGAACCTTCTGTACAGGCTAAAGAGGAGATGTTGAAGGGGCAGGCGAGCGGGTTTTCGACAAGGTTGTCTGCTACGCCGTCGATGAGGTCGCATTCGCGGATCACGCTCGCTTGGATAAACTCCAAAACGGAGTCGGAAAGAAACGTTGCGTTGGTCTGTTGTACGAATTGAGTAAGCAACACACAAAGAAGAATCGGATGGGCAGACTTACACTTGCTTGTTGAGAGTTCCAGAGGAAGCCCAGTATAAGGCGGGTGAACCAGTTTGCAGGGCACCCTGCAATAACTCCGTCAAAGAGGTCGGGGTGGAATTCAGCAAGCGAGAATCCCTGCGCACCACCGGCGGAGCAGCCCCTATAGTAGGAATGCTCTGGCTGATCCCCGTAGGAGATTTTGATCAGCTCCTTTGCCGGCGGTGTGATCAGGCTAATGGCATTATGGAGCCAGGCTTTCACTTGGTCCTCGTCGTGAAGGAACGGCTGATAGACGCCAGGCGCGCCGAGACCAGCGCCAGTGCCGGCATCGTTGTCTGAGGCTAAGTGGCCTGCGTTGCCACCGGCTACAGCGAAGCCCAGCCCGCTATTCAACTCTTCCATCATGTCGGTGTAGGGGATAACTCCTCCCTGGCCACCGTTGCCAACTGCCATAAACCGAGAGGAGTACTGCTTGTCGGGCAGCCATAGTGCGAAGATGATGGTGTCGTTCGTGCCATAACCGACGGAAGTATACACTTCGCAAAAGGGGACCGCGTTCACAGTCCCCGCTTCATTCAGTTCGCCAACGGCATAGTGGGTGGAATTGAGGATAGTAGCATTGTATGAGGATAGGTCCACAGACTGCCCGAAAGATGAACAATTGAAAGAGGCACAGCGTGCGACGGTGGCCAGGCTCAGAGCGTTGATAGCAAGAAGCAAAAGGCGGTTGTAAGAGAGCATAATGAACTCTCTAGAACGTTGTTGGACGATAACCTTAAGAAAGTGGGATAGAAAAGGCGTCTAGAAAGACTCATCTCCCTACGAAGGACTTTTATATTGAAAGGAACTTGGCTCGGATGATAGAACCCTCCGAATTGGCCATTTTCCAAGCATATAGTAGTCTAATTTCAATGAAACAATGTTTCCGACAGATGACAGGCTCGTACCCAATATTCCGAGATCATCAACCGGTGCCCTTGTCCGTTTAGGAAACACGGAGTTAACATCTAAGCTAAATCTATCATTTATGTTCCCAATACTAGTCAAAAGATCCTTTCTTACCGGGAGGACGGCTAAATGTGCTTTGAGCAAGTTTAAGCAAGTTTCTCCAAAACGGGCATTACTGGGCGTTACAGGTTTGTTTCAGGCGTGTAATGTATTTATCACTTCTCAAGGGATTTAGTGGAGTGTTAAGATCCTACAAGCAGGGGTTAGTTTAGAAGCTCGCCATGACAAATTGGACCATTGGCTGCGCATTTCCCTTAGAGTTTTCGAATAAGTAAGTCAACAGGAGTGGACTTAATGCACTAAGAACAAGGGATAGGATAAACGTCCACGCCAGACAACAATACCACAATTATTCTAAGTCAGAGGTCTAAAATACTCAAATAGGTGTTCGTCACTTCTCTCCTGATTGAAGACTACAATCGCATCTGTAGTCAGTGTCTGAGGAGGAAAAGGTTGTACTTGCACATGTGCTACCATTGCTTTTCCGTTGGCGAGACTCCTGTTTCAAGATGGACGTGCTGTTAAGCTATCTTGAAAAGGAGTGTAAACTTTAAACGTTCTCTTGTGTATCAATCTAGACAATTTGCTACCAGCTGCCAGGTAAGTATGCAGTCCAAGGATTCTGCTTCAATCAGTCCAAGTCGTACACTCTCTCGGGTCACGGTTTCGACAATGTCTTCTTCTAAACTATGATGTGTTGGAATCCAATCTAAATATGTCTGGGCTCTGTTTGATCTCCCTCGGGAGTTGGTTCCGTATAAAATCGTACCAGGGAAACCCGCGTGATGGCTGAGAAGTTGGTTAAATTGATCCTCTCTCATAACTTCAACTGATGCATCGGGAAGAAGCCCAAGATAAAAGGCGGCTGCCGCAATCCGTCTGGATATTTCATTAAAGGTCCGCAAACAAGTTTATGTTAGCTGCCGAGCGATAATTTGCTTGTCAATTCTGAGACAGAAAAACGAGACGTACCAACTCTCCGACTCCAGTGAGATATATTCCGTCTTGGCCCCACACATCATTATCCGTATGTCTTTCTACGGCCTTTTCAATAAGTCGAAGGATCATCTCGCTGAGATCGCGAATATGAATATTTCCCCATCGGTTTACACCAGGACCAAGTGTGAAGGCTTGACGCCGCTTGAGGCTTGCCTCAGCAAGATCAGGGATCTGGACGCTTCTCTGATTGACTGGTCCCCGCCCTGACCCATAGATGATAGGCGGGTAGACGACGGCTGTTTTAATGTAGCTGGAACTCTGCGCAACGGACATCATGTAGTTATCAACAGCCCGGGTGGGGTTGCTCCTTATGATGGATTTTATTGCAGCAATGCCATCCAAATCATCCCAAATGTAGTCGCTCTCAGTACCCGGTTCCCAGTTCCGGTTTGCCACCTCCGTGGAAACTACTGCGGCACCTCCCGATATCTGAATCCAGTACGGGGGCTTTTCACCCCGGTCAAGCTTACTTAGTAGGCCGCGATGAATTGCTTGCACGCTCTTCACATGGCTTGATGAAGCCAAGTCTGCCCCGAAAGTCAGCGATAATGGTTTGTATGACGGTGTAGCAGCACTTACTGAGAACGATATCCGCATCACTGGCCTCTCTTTCAAGAATGTTCTCATCATCCAGAGTGCCTTGAACGACCTGTACTTTGTTTGGAAATCGACTGATCGTCTCGATTTGGGTGGTATTCCGGACGAGCGCCGTCACTCTGTATTCAGGATGCCGCTTGGCAATGAGATAAAGAAGGTCGCCACCAATATAGCCCGAGGCGCCGGTTCTAGGTATTTGGCAGTTAGCTCTAGCAAAAGAGGAGAAGCGCGGGAAGTGGATTGATTACAGGAGTATCTTTGTCATATTATCGAAAATATAATCAGATTTGCTGTTACAATAAGCCAAACTACGCACGTCTCCTGAATTTGTAGTGCGCTGCCATGTGGTGGGACTTTAGAAGTATCAAGCCTTAAACCCAGGGGGATGCAACCTTTTATTCGATTTCGAAAAATTTAATATGATTAATTGGAAGAACCGATAAATAGATTCAATTCTAAGTTGATAGTGTAATACGTGAGCACTTGTTTAACTACAGGGCCTGGGGAGCTCCGTTCCGACGACATGCTTGGACCCGCTCCGTGGAATTCCGTCTCCGTCTCCGTCTCCGTTTTCGCTTGGTCAGAGTTGTGGCAGCAATGCAACACTACTTGTTTTCATGATGACCAAGAGCAAAGTCAAAGGCAATACGGTAAAGGGCACGCGCTCGGTTGAATCGGTGGTCGACAAGTTTTGATAGTTCGGGAAGTTTATTTAAATCTAGCTATCCCCCATATCTTCTAGAAACCACATATCATTCGCTTGTAAAACCCGGTTGACTTGCCCCCTTGCCCGTCTATCTAAATCTTGCGCAAGTTGCAGAAGGAAGAATTTGTTCTCTGATGAGCCCTCGCTCAGCTTTTCAAATAACTCCCGTGTTCGATCGATCAAGTTTTGATCAACAGAAAGGAATTCATGATCTGGATTTTCGATGATGTTAACCAGCAGCACTATCAGAGCTGATAGCTCACAACAAGTATGGATCCTGGTAAGTTCAATCGGTTAGAAATCAAGCGACCAGCGGAACTTTCAGGATACGTACCGCATAGCATGCTCTGTCTCTTTACCCATGGCCAGTAATTCTAGACAAAGTCGGCAGTACTTCACGCACTCTTCCCATCCTATCGGGAGGGGTGCGAGGTTACAATGCACCACTTCGCCATCCATGTCGTCTCGGAGCTCGATGACACAGGGTGACAAGTAGCATCGGACCCTGTTCAGCCATGCTAGTTCAAATGAGTACATCGAATGAAGTCTGAAGATGCATTCTAGGTGCCGATTGAGCAAATTTGTCATTAACTGGATAGCTCCATCGTTCAGCCGTCGGCGCAGGCCATCAGCAGTCAGCAGGCCATCGGGAATCGACTCTCGCCAGGTTCGGAGCATGTCATCTATGCGCGAAATGCTGTGTAATTTCTGATCCTCTGATAGCTTCCGAGCTCGCTTGCTATACAAGAGATCGTGGATCTTTCCTTGGATATGGGCAAGCTCCACACGAGCACGCAGATAGTTGAACCGGAGCCCATCTACCTTAGATGTCACTATACCTAGCCCATCTTCGCTATCCTCGGGAAATTCGAGATCCATCTCTGCATCGATCTGAGTGTATGGTGCTTTCGCTCGAAGTGCCAAATCCTGGCGACGAGTTGTTAGTATGCGATTTCAGTCTCAGAAGCATCTATCAAACCATGCAGCTGACCTTGTCAAGAATATACGCAATCCAAAATATACGCCGCTTTTGTAGGGCAACACTAGGCGAAAGCCCTTCGAAGCTTCTCTGTGAAGGCAAACCCATACTTTGAATAAGCCGTATGCAGCTTCCGATAAGAACAATTGCCAGCTGAGGGCTGGTTGCCCCCTGGAAGAGTGTTACCATGCCCAACAAAACTTGCAAGCCCAGAAGGTCCTTGTCCCATGCCATCAGATCAGTTGTTGCCGATTGGACAATCCGAATACTTTGTGCTAGTGCTGGGTCGTCCAAGGATCTGTCTTCCAGCAATCGATAACTGATCGCAAGGACCAAGTTAAGTGCCGCCCATGGAACCATTTCCCGCGGGTGAGCAGATGAATATATTTCCAGAATCATGCGCATAAAATTCGGCTGGTCGAATAACGGAGTGTGTCGGTTGTAGGCATTGAAATAGTTGTCTACCACGGGGAGCAGCTTAGTTAAGGGCGGGAGATCTAACTGTCCACATGTTGCAGTTGGTATCCCCGAAGTGCCACTGATACTCTTGGCTATACTCATGCATGGCATACTAGAGGTTTCATGCCACATATCCGGCGATTGGTATGAGCTTACTTCCGGCAGATCACTGAACCGTACATGATGACCGGACGAGACTGGGGCAACATGTTGCTGCAGCGTGGCATGTGCTGCCTCAGAATTGGCAACGAGTTGGGCCAACTGTGACTCTATGTTAGAAAGCCGAGATTCTAGTGATACCTCCCTGGTTACGGTTTGTTAGAAGTCTAGAATATCATGTTTTCCGACTGGCCAAGAGACGGAGTGGAGGCCTACGTGTGTGATGGAGACTCTGCCGGCACCGTGGCAGGATACTGGCCGTGGTGGTGAATATCTAGAGGCCTTCTTCTACCCGACTTGGTTGTGATGGTCATCCGGCACTCGGCACCGTAGGTATGGCAATTTGTGCATACGGGCTTGAGCGAGTCGCATCTGATCTTCCGCGAAACGCAGAAATCGCAAGCTATCGATCCACATATTATTCAGCGAGGGGAGCCTTGCGAAAATTATCGGATGGTTATCCCCCACCTTTGCGTCTGCGAACAGGATTATGGCCGTCCATGAGATACAAATTTTAGATGTGATGAGATTTGTTGATGGATCGTACAAATCGTGCAATCGTCCCTCTTGAGATCAAATCCACCCTCTTTCGTATTATTAATCGGACTTGGACATGATTAGTCAGTTGCGAATGGCCATGATATTACACTCCCCAGCCGTATCTAAATTACAAATGCACGCATCATGAATTGAGAGAATTAACATTTATTCAGCCAAGGCAGCTATGCCAGACGTTTAGAATCATAGTGTCGATAGAGAAGCGCATTGAACACCCGGTAGTCTTCAATAGTAGATAGGCTCATCATCAGAAGGATCATCAGGAGCAGGTTGAGTAGGTATCTTTATGAGGCGTTGCTTTTTGGTCTTCTTCTTATACTGTATCGCTGGTTTTGGGTGAGTCCATGAAGAAGCACCGGGGATGTGTGAATTCCGAGGGTAAAATCGACTCATGTATTCTGAGGCAACACCGTCAGCAAGATTTTCTATAGGGCCGGCATCATAATTCCAAGGTATTAGGTTCAATTACCTTCGTCAATTGGTAGAGATGATTCAATCGGTAACGTTTCGTCAATTGGTACTGGCTCGTATGGTGCCGGGCTTTCAATGGCTATTCGTGGTTCAATTGGCATCCTCTCTTCAATTGGCACTGGTTCCTCGATCGGCACTGATTGCTCGATTGGTACTGGTCCTTCAATTGGCATCGCTGCTTCAATTGGCAAAGCTTCTCTAATGTCTGCCTCCTCGGCTCGTGGCTGTTCAGCCGCTGCCGTGTCGGTACCGACAGCTGCAAAGTTGACAGTTATTGATGTTTGAGCCGGTGGCTCTTCACTTTCTCCCGCTTCTGTGTCGCAGATGTCGTGAATTACGATATCTTTAGCTCGTGCACTTTCAACTTCAACCATACCCGGAGCGACTTGCAGCTCAAGGATACATCTGAGGAGAACTTCGCTTGCAGATGTCGGTTCAGCGAGCTCATTTGAGAGGACCCGGCTGGTGTCACTGCTAGAACTCTGAACAAGCCTCTCAATGCGCAATTTGAGATATGCTGCCACCTCCGGGGTATTAATAGGTGATGGCCTCAAATCTTCGATTGCCCGAATGATAGAGGTCAGTTTCAATTGATCCCCAACTACTTCTAACTGCTCTTTTGCAAGAAGTGAGAGTGCGGGTAACTCGAGGTTTTTGGCGGCGCTACAAGCCAAGAGAGCAGTGTTGAATTCGTCCAGGACCTCATCATTGGTTTGTCGCCTTAGTCCAAGGTATTGGTACTCCTTTGTCAGAAGAAAATGAACAAGAATATGGCCAACATCGATTGGGATGTTATCAAAATCGAGGCGGCCGTTCTTAGGGACGAGCTTGGGGCTCGCATCAAGTAGCTTCCTGTGAACATAAATTGGACCTTCGTCCCCAAAGAATAGGGCGCATGCTTTACTGGAGTAAGGGCTACATCAAGTCAATACAGCAATCTTCCAGTGGGTAGTTCAACGAGTACTAACGATTGAGGTGGCTCTGACGACGCCCAATCCCGCGCGTCCAACCCGTAGCTTCTCTCGCCGCTATTCATTGCCGTGAGTGCCTAAGGAGATAGATCAGTGTTCCTAATCAGAGGGGCAACGCCGAAAGGTAGTTAATGGAACGCGTAGGCTGATAGGCAGAAGGGTTCTTTATTCCCTCACGAACGGAGGACCCTTGATGCCCAATATTCACATGCGCCAACCATAAGATGCACGTAAGCCATTGATGTAACATGAACAGCCAATTATTGACATCTGCTGGACCCTCAGAACCAGCAGCACAAGAAATGCAACAGCAAATCTGGTAGTCGACGCCTCAAGTTCAATGATTGGGCAGAATTGAACCACCTGACCATTATATAACGCCACCAACTTCTCAAGGTAACGTCAGAAGGGGGGGTGAAAGTCTGGGATCACCAATCATCTCGTTCGGCCAATTGTGCATACATGAACAGCTGCAGTGTTTAGTTCCTCTTGCTAAATGAAATGAACTTGTGCTATTTATCCAAATAAATACATACTTATGAGCTTGAGCTCGCCAGTGTAACATTATACTCCACCTCCCAAGACGCCTCAGGGTCTCCAATACGAGGCTTGAATTCCACCGCCAACTCATCCTTGACAGCGAAAACGGTATCATTTCCCAGGTAAGTGCAGTCCTTGTCGAAAATCTGAGTGACAAGGGGCTTGTATCCTTCAGATTTTACCTAGAAGAACCGTATTAGCAGTGAAGTATCACGCAAGTACTGTATATAATCACTCACAAACAAATGAATATGTGCGGGACGGTAGAAATGGCGATCCATCATGCGAAGCATTTTACCAGCTGGACCATCTTCAGGGATCTAAGAGACTGGTTAGAACATGTTTATGTTCAAGATTGAAGCTGGTAATCTAGAGGCTTACGGGATATGGGGTTGGTCGGAGGCAGTAGTAAGAATAGCGGCCTTCAGCGTCGGTAATAAACCTTCCACGGAGATTCAGGTCTTCTTGCTCCGGATCTTGTTGCTCGTATAGACCTGAAGTTCGATCATTTGATTAGACAGTTCAGTCATCACAGCGGATGGTTCTCGGCCTTACCGTTAGTGGACGCTTGCCAGACGTCGATGCTGGTGTTGGCAAGGGGCTTGCCCGTAACCGCATCGGTTACCCGACCGTACATGAAAGCAGGCTTGGCATCTTTAGGGGTGTTGAAGCTGATAGTGGTGCCATTCTTGCGCACAGGGTGGTCGTGCCTGTAAAAGGGACCCAAGATAGCGGATGCGGTGAGTCCGTTGACGCTCTTTGTCGCCGCAGTATAGGTGATATCATCCACAAGACTAGATTGCGGATATCAACAAAAATGGTTTCGACGCTTTTATTCGGTGAGACTCACGTTTCTAATCCGATGACATCGCACATCAGTTGTGACTCGTTGCGCTTCTCATTGCTCATTTGGCCCGCCCAGTTGATCATCTCCACGCCGAGGAGCCATTCATCACTGGTGAGTTGCACTTCATTGGCAAAAGCATGAATGTGGCGGATAAAGGAATCCATGATCTCGCGGAGGCGGGGAGGCGTGTTGGGGCCCATAGAGTCAATCACCTTTTGGGTGAACTCGGGCCCAAGGTTACCACCTGGTTGAGTTGCCTTTGTGCTCATCTTGCTGCTAGTCTTTGAATGCAGGATCTTGGAATCAGGGTATCTCGGATAAGGGAAGGGAAATGGATTGGAAGTGTTGACGTATAGGCTAGGGCAAGACGGCGAGAACAGATTTACGAGCGGACCAGTTATTAATACCTAGACGGACATAGGTCAAGCTCTAGCCTGGAGCTCAGACGGAATTGGGAGGGCACACACTGAACAGCACTCGGACAGGGGTCGGCTACCCCAAGTTTCTGCCCACAGTCCCCCTTCTCCCCGCTAATATGGCCCTCTTTATGCGGGGGACGCTGTTTGACATTGGATGGAAGTATGTTAGCCAGATTGTTGGCGGCTGAGAGCAATTGGCGCAGCGAATGGATATGGCGGATAACCCAATCAGGGACATTGCCGCTATCCGCTGACACCCGCCAGTTCCGCTCCGTTCCCGAAACACCACCATAGCACGACAAAAATGTGCTAAGATACTCGGATCCCGGGTTGTCATACCTTTGCCCGGGATCCGAATGATTGATATGATAGGATAATTATGTTTTAGATTTAAAATCAATCTAATCATATATCCGTTTTTCCATAACTTAGTATGCACGCGACCAGATCTGCGGGGCATCTACGACGTTGAAACCCGTTCTGGGTTGGAGAAACGAAACCCGAGAATGAGAAGGAACTATCACTAAATGCGTCAAAGGAGGAGCGGAATACAAAAGCCCTAGTCTTGAGAAGCATGATGGTTATTTGAACTTTAGATGTAAGAAAAAAGGTACTCGAGAAATACTTTCGATGTCATCGTAGCTGCACAAGTTAGAACATTCTAGTCTTCCAGCAACTCACCACGCTGGTCAATATAAGCTAGTTCGCTGTAATTTTTTATAAACAGTGACATTTTAGGTATGGGAGTAGTTCAGTAATAGCCTTTATTTGCCGCTCTACTTATTTCTAAATTAATAGTTCCCTCTCTAAATTCTCCGGTCTTCATCATGGAAGTCCCAAGATGCCTCATCTGCTCCGTTCGGTCTACTAGCTCGAAGGAAACTAATGTCTAGACCCTCAATCTCAGCCACAGGCTTAACGGCAGAAACAGGGGCATCATATGCCTTGGAGTACCAATGATCTAGATATTCCGGATTTTCCACAAAGTTAGGGAAGACGGTTCTCATCTGCTTGAGGGCTGTTCCTGAGATTTGATCCACGCTGTGAGCATGTCTCAAGGCAAGGAAATCTGGGCCAATCTGCTGACGGAGCTCATCTTGCACTTCTTTGGGCAACATGCCCACCTTGAAGAGTAGCATGTCGTATTGTAGGAGTGATGCTTTGCCATGCCAAGAACCTCCTCGTACGGTTCTATGAAGTAGACCTGCTAGGGCGGTAATAGCCCCCATGCACCCAGTCCCGTAGTCAGATATAGGGAACGGAGGTACGACGGGCTCGTCGAGACCCATGAAACGGCCCTGCTCCCATGCTACTCCGCTCACCTGTAGCACTGTCAGTAAAGTATTGCGACTTGCGAAAGTACAAATTATCACTCACGCAATCGGCAATTTGCTGCCATCCAGGGCGATGTGCCCATTCCCCTGTGTACCCGAAGCAGTTTTCGTTGACGTATATGATTCCTTTTCCTCTCTTCTTCGCAAGCTCAGTCATGAACTTGGCCCCGTATCCAAGCTTGTCGAGCGCTCCAGGGCGGTACCCGTCGACCACAACGTCGACTTCTTGTACAAGTTTCTCGAAGGCCTCCCTACCCTCTGGAGTTTTCAAGTCCACATCCGCTGCATGTTTCCCCATGTTTCCATCTACCTGAAAGAAGGGCACATCGCTCAGGTGTGGACTCGTAACCTTGAGCACATCAGCACCATACTCGCCCAAGATTCGTGTAATAATGGGCCCAGCAATGATGCGGCACATCTCAAGGACTTTGATGCCCGAAAGAACGCGCTTGTCGTCGGTTTTAGGGAGTGGTGCAGGAGGTGTCTCAGTCTCAAGACTCTCCACTGTCCATGGAAGCTGGCTGCTGATAGTTTGACCCTATGGTCCCGTTAGCTTGAATGCATTCTTATGGGATGAAGGATCAATCGTACGTGGGGAGTCTTCAAGAACTCATCATGCTTGTATGCCTTAACACCCGCCTGGCGGTTCTCGGCATTCAGTTTCTCCAGTTCTGCCACCGTGAATTTCTGAACGGCAGGTTCGATAACCCCAACAATCTTTTCGTGTGTGTCTAAATCTGGCCTGTGCGAAGGCAGCCCAATCATTCCAAGAGTTGTTGAAGCTTCCAGAGATCCGTGAATATGATAATACTCTCCAGGCTCAGCCGTTGCGTAAAGGTTCGCCGACATGCGGCGGTATCCATTTGACTGAGCTTGAAGTAAATCGGTATCTTGGGGACGAGGTTAGCCTACATGTAGCGACCAATAAGATGATTTGGAGCATAAGAGAAGCAACATACCTTTCAGTAGCTTTCTAACATCCTTGTCCAATTTTCCCAGTCCGCCTATCCTGGCCAAATACGCTTGAAAGAGGAAGGCAGTCGTCTTTTCCTGGTCCACAACAATGGATCGATTCGAGTTCTCCCCGAACTTCGCATCCGCAAGCGAAGCAGCGATAATGCTTTCTACGGCTTTCAGGGCAGCAGTCGTCTCCGTCTCCTTGAAAGGGATAGGGAAGTAAGGCCTATCTCGCTCCCCCGTAAATTTTACGTCGTCCTTTTTGCCCAGCGCGGCATCTGGGATGGAGATGCCATCGCTCAGTGTGTCCAGTAGCACATGGAATATCCTGGAGCTCTCCGATATGGAGCTATACTTGTTCTGCGTCTCTGTCATGTTGGTTGGCTGAGATTCTGCACTATGAATCAGATCTGTGATCTACCTAGTAGTGTACACAGCGCGGGAAGTCGGGTCTTCAATAGGTAGGGCTTGCTTCCAGGCTGGGATAATAGTCTGGATGTACTAGGATTTTACGTTATTGGCTCAGAGACGCTGCTAATGACGCCGGTGCTTGATCCACGCCCACATCCGCAAGCGGCCCCGCCAGTGAAGAATCCTTCCCGCCCTCCAGCCGACCGGCTTTGACGCCGCCCCGAAATGCCGCTTCCGTGTCGGTCATCGGAACTGTTGTTACATTTCCATTAGGGCGTCAGGTAACGTCATTTGATGGTACATCAGCAAAGGGCGAGGTGATTTTGAGTCGTGCCTTCAAAGAATCTTCTCACAAGCAGACGCAATGCCTACTCTCAGACTCCAAGACCAAGATGTCTACTACAGGTGGACTCCCGCCAGCTCCGAGGAGGGATTCACATTTCTGTTGATTCATGGCTTGGGCTCCTCACACTCATTCTACGAAACCGTGACACCTCATTTGGTTGAGAGTGGATATTCATGTCTGGCTCTTGATACACCAGGTAGGCTACATCTCTCGTGAATCGGCCTGATTCATCATTTGGCTTTTTGTCGGCTTACAACTGGCACTAGGAAGCGGGCTCTCCAAATATGCTGGTCGGGACAGAAACCCAGGTGAGATTGCAGGCTTGATTGTAGCTCTGATATCTGAGCTCAAGCTCGAGTCCCACCGCTTCATTGCCGTTGGTCATTCTATGGGTGCGATGGTAGCATCTGAATTGGCCCTTCAAATTCCACTCAGCGGCGTTGTCCTGATCGGGCCTGTTCACCCAACACCAGCCCTGGGTGACATATTCGCAGCTAGGGTACAAACTATCCAAGACAGTATGAATTAGAGTCTTTTCGTGTGCTACTAGAAAAATCATTAATTGACTGACCTCGAATCTATAGAGGGCTTGGAAAGTCTAGCAGACTCGATCCCTAAGGCCGCCACTGGTTCTCAGTCCACGTCGAGCCACCATGCGTTTATCCGTGCTCTGATTAACTCCCAGAGCCCTGAAGGCTATATATCTTTGTGTCGCACCATTGCAACCGCTTCCCCTCCAGTATATGGCAAAATCAAGGCTCCTTTGCTCATACTTGCCGGTGGAGAGGACAAGACAAGTCCGCTAGCGGGCTGTCAGGCGATCTTAGATAGGTACGTCAAGTCATGAATTATTCTCGCCGTGGTCTTATACTAACACCAACTGTAGTTGGGGAGCAACCAGTAAGAAGAACATTGAGATGCTCGATGGAGTCGGTCATTGGCATTGCATAGAGGCGCCAGATAGAGTGCAGTTGGCCATGAGCAAATTCGCAGGGTCTCTCTCTTAATAAGTGATATGATCGAGTAGAATCAGTTTACATTTGTCTTTCTCAGTACCAAGAGACCTTCCAACTACAGGTTTGTATGAATCTGCGTAATAAGTAACCTCCATGGGCCATATTAATATAAGGTACCATCAAGTACTTGGTTGAGCAGTCGGAAGCTATGGACGATCAACTGACAGCGAATAAGATTTACCAAGTGTCTCTATTCATTTCTGGAGTAGTATGTGTCTGATAGAAGAACATTCGCGCCAGGCAAGGACTATTCGCCAGTTGTAAGAGACAGCTGAAAGAAGAGCGACTCAGCTGAGATATCAATTCTCAAAAATCTTGCCTGGGTTCAACAAACAATGAGGATCCAAGGTCTTCTTAAGTGATCTCATGATGGCAATTGTATCAGGGCCCAGCTCTTTCTCTAGACAGTGCTTTTTGCCAATGCCAATACCGTGCTCTCCAGATACGGTCCCGTCCATCTCAAGCGCCATATCGACCATATCGTCGACACATTTCTGCACTGACGCCGTTTGCTTTGCATCTTTAGGATCGTACATAACTGCCTGGTGGAAGTTCCCATCACCTACATGCCCCATGACACTCGAAAACAGGCCAAGTTTTGAAGAGTTTTCTTTCGAATGGTCGATGATCTCCGCCATCCGTGATAGCGGAACGGCAACGTCTGTCGACCAGATCTCTGTGCCCTCTTGACGCAAAGCAAGCATCGCCCAGAGTGCCTGTTTCCGCGCTGCCCACAAACTATCCATCTCCTCTTGCGACTTGGCCACCTGAAAGTCAGCTCCGCCATACGCCTTGGAGATCTCCTGAGCCTGTTCCATGTTGTCTTTCACAGCGCTGTCCGTGCTCCCCGAAAACTTGATGAATAGCGTCGCTTTCTCGGCCCACATCCTCCCACCTGCGCCGCCCGTTTTGTTGATCACCTGCATTTGGACATCATCCATGAGCTCAAGAGCGGCAAGTGGAATCCCTCGTCGAATCAACTTTGACGCAGCAGCAGCGGCTTCTTTGACGGAAGGAAAGGTTGTCGTTGCAACCCCGTATGACGAAGGGATGACAGCAAGCTTTAGAGTTACCTCTGTGATGATTCCCAAAGTTCCCTCAGAGCCGACAAAAAGGCCGGTGAGATTATACCCGGCAGATGTCTTCCGAGGACGCCGGCGAGTTTTGATAACCGAACCGTCGGCGAGCACAACGGTAACATTGACCACCCAGTCTTTCATAGTGCCATACCGCATGGCATTCGTCCCGCTGCAGTTGGTTGCCACCATACCTCCAATATGGGCTGTTGGGCTTGGATCCAAGGGTAGGAACAGCCCTGATTCTTTTATCTCGTCGTTCAAGTTCACCCAGTTTACGCCTGGTTGGACGACGACATCCATATCATCTGCATTTAATGAGACAATCCTGTTCATATTAGAGAGGTCAATGCTGAGGCCAGTGAACGGTGCAGTAAAATGGCCCTCAACACTGGATCCTGCGCCAAACGGGATCATGGGTACCTTGTACTTTGTGCAAATCCTAGCAATTGTTGAAACCTCTTCTGTCGTAGTAGGCATGACGACGGCGAATGGGCGCTCTGGGATATTAGAAGCTGACCACTCAGCGTAACCATGAGACTCGAGATCATCCGGATCCAGGCTGACAGAAATGCCCTTTATCGATGCTTTGATCTCCTCCAGAGCCTGCGGTCATGAGCATATGACATGATAATTTGCCTAGCATGGATTGTATCAAGCCTTGTCTTCTCACCTTCAGCGTCATCTTCTCATCAGCGTATCTTGGACCTGCTGGATGCTTGTGGCTACTTCTTTCTACCACAGGCTTGGACAGTGGCTCTGTTCGTTTGGACATGATGCTCGCGGTTACCAGAGCAGTAACGGCCGCCGTAGCAGCAACGACACCCGCAAGACCAAACCCATTCTGGGCGCGTTTTAGGTGCGCATTAGTAGGTGGCGATGCGCTGTAACATCTTCTAGCCCTTGAGAGGCCTGTACGGTGCCCTTTGGAGATGGCCAACAGACCAGTTGGTTGGGGGAACCTTCTCATGCTGGATTCACGACCGCAACGCGTCGATAAGTCACAGGGTAATTGGTTATTGCAGTCGGATATTGTGATAGAGCACAGTTCGGGGCGATCTCGGCAGTCAGTGCTCCAGCAGGATCTAGGGAATTAAAACTTGAAAACGGGGGCCGCAGTTGAGCCAACCAACGTGATCCTAGCTGCTACGTAGTTCCGAATCCGCGAGTTAAATCTTCCGAATCCGCGAGCTAAGTACGGTGTTCAATTCCGAATCCGCGATTCGACCCTTGTCAGCCATTGTCGTTACCCTACAGTCCTTGCATGGCTTCAATGTTGCCTCGAGCTGGTCGGGATAGTTGTCTACCATTTGAAACACTATGGAAAGAAGGATGTTCAGGCTTTCAATGAAATTTCGGAGGGATCGAAAGCATTGAGAAGGTGAGCGAGGATAAACAAAGAACGAGCTAGTGAAATTTACTCACTGACCCCTTCTTCGGCTCATCGTGCTGTTCATCGAAAGACCTGGTCACTGATCTGACATCAAGACAAAATCCGAGCATCTAAACGAATTTATCAGAAGATTTAAGCATCAACAATCTAAACTTGTTTTAAGTGCAATGTGGCAATAAGCAGGGCTCTAACTCCGCTAGGCGATCAGTAGACTAGGAACATTGCCTGTGCATGGATTGCATCGCGGATAGAGGCGTGCGATTTGAAGAGCCCAAGTGGTGAAGCTGGTGCTGATCCCAAAAAATGAATGAAAATGAAGCCAGATCGGAAATTTGAATTGGCCAGAAAACTTATCTCAGAACCTATCACGACCTAGCCCACAAACTTCAGTTGAGAGACTAATACAGACCTTACTATTTCACTAGATACGGCGACGTGCATGTTCGTATAGGTCCACATGCTCAGATCGTTCTGGATTAGGGACTAATCTGACCGTATCAATCGACTTGGGGCATGTGATTGTAAGCAGCTGATGGTTTGTGGCTTGCCAAGATACTTGTCCGCCGGGATAGGTGATTTATCATGTAACAATGATGACATATGTAACAGTGAAAGATGAAGGACGATGACACCGTTGCGTTCTGATTAAATAGGAAACTATCTGACTTACTTCGCGATATATAGACCAAAAGGACTGTGATTGCGCGTCGCTATTCGAGAGTTGGTTTTGTCAGCCAAGGTAATCTTGGCAAGGATGGGCATCTCCATCTTGAGATAACGGGCATTTCCAGCAATCAGCATCTTCCCAATTGGATTTTCATGCCTGCAGGTCGACTCATCTGCATATAATCCTGCAAGCCATAATCATTTGACCCTCCTTGACGTGGCTCCAAACGTTCCCAGCCAACGACAGCAAGCGAATAGGATCCCCCCACATATCTGCATTATGCATTGCTCGAAACGCATGAGAAACAAGCAGCAAGTTGGAATCAAAAGCGGCATCATCTCTCCTTTATGTGACCCATTTAAATCCAAGGCATTGTCTCGGTTTAGGAGGGAGAGAAAAAAATCCACGCTTCCCCATCGTTCAAACGCGTCAACATCTGCAACTAAGCAACGCCTGTGAAAGAACTCCGCACAGACCCCTTATTCGCTCTTGTTTTTATTTCATTCTTTAATATTCTCTCATTAGATCTGTCAAGATGGCGAACGAGACATTTGTTGACTACTACACGGTCCTGGAGGTCTCTCCCGATGCGGACCAAGCCGTCATTCGGGCGAGCTACATGCGGCTCGCCAGGCTGAGGCACCCCGACCGGAACCTCGACAACCCCGAAGCAACTCTTCTTTTCCAGCTTGTACGGCTGTTTTAACTCTCCCCCGTCTTACTTAGTGTATTTGTGGAATGATAGCTAATGCCCAGCCCAATCGATATAGCTTCAGCAAGCGTACTCCATCCTAGGCGATCCCAACAGTCGCCAGATCTTCGACCGCGAGCGCCGGCGCCAGACCTTTTTCGGTGGTCGAATGGGCGCCAGGGGCAGAAGTGGCAGAAATCATGCCACGTTCGGCTTCGGACAGACCTCATTCCGACAAAGCAACTTGAACCCAACCTTCCCGTTCCACGAGACGGCCGAGGAGGAGGAACAGAACAGGCAGCGTCTTAGGGAGGAGATGGCAAAGAGGAGGCAGGAAGAGACCGCCAGACGCGCTGCTGCTGAGCAGGAGAGGTTGGCCGCTGAGGCCAATCGCGTCCGTACACCACAGGAGGAAGCTGCTCGAAGGCGTAGGTTGGAAAGGGAGGCAAGAATGAAAGAGTCCGGCCAGAGGATTCGGGAGGCTGCGATGCGTGTCAGAGAATCGGCGTTGAGGTTTAAGGAGGAGAGAAATAGGAAGGCTCAAGAGGAAGCACTTTGGAATGCGGAAAGAAATGCCTTTGTTGAGGCTGAGATCAGGGTCATGGATCTTGATTAATCGACGATTACTCAAGGTGGCTGGGATGTTATGAGTTAATGGAATGGGGTTTGGAGAGAGTTTGTATTTCTTGCCTCTGTGTTTGTTTGATACTAGTCTGATACTCGCGGTCACGCGCACGACTATACCAGCAATTCAGCCATTGAGCATGACTATACTGTATCAAGATTCGCTCCTGGACGATACATTACTTTGAGAGACCTCAATATTAGAAGCATATTCTTGATAGAGCATGCGAGTGTAAATCGTAACTAGCATCGATATTGTTCGTCCTAGAGGTGAACTACTTCGATTAGGTATTGTGCTACAAACATTGTCGAGTAGCATCGAAGATATTGCACTCTTCTTGGTTTCTTTCGTGATGAGAGCGATGAGGAATTCTCCTAAAAAAACCCCTCTGAAGACTTATCTAATAAATTGCAAGATGAGTAGACCATGGGTTAAAATATATCACAATCAACGCTTATAAGCGAAGAGCACCAGAAAATGAAACTCGTTGGCAACCATGACTTGTTGAATTTCCAAATCACCACGGAGAGATACTTAAGAATAGTCTATGGGGGCACACGTGTTATTTGGAACCGACTAGCCTTATGCTTGTTTCATCTATTGATACGAACAATTCGATTTGCGTAAACCGGCCATACTAACTCTCTCTTAATCAAGCTCTCTCAAGTTCATCTCCTTGAGGCTCATTTCTTAGCATAGGCAGCCGTGGCTCCAGTGTCCTAAAGAAAAGAATAAGTTAGTCCGAATCTCGAAACCCTTCTAATTCTCTCAAAAAATTACTCACTAAGTATACTTGGTAGAAAGACATCCTCCATTTGCCGTCTGAGGGTGATTTAACAACCTGAGCTCTTGCCGCCCAGTCGACTTCTGCCTCAGCACCATTCTTCAAGCCCAACGCAACCGAGCCATAGAGCATGAACTCATTGGTCCCATTTCCGAAAGGGAAGATCTTGGGGATGGTGTGTTTTCTGGAGGTGACAGCAGTCCACATGCCATGCCTTGTCGTTGTGATTTCTACATGATGCTTAGTGATATTTCCATCTGAGCGGGACGGAATTTTCTACCATCATGCCCGACACTGCGCTTAGAGGCTAGTACGAAATTTGCGTCCTTTGTGAAGAGGTCAACATATTTGTCGTGGGCGCCAGGTGTGTCAGAGGTCTTGTAAAAGTCCTCGAAGAACTGGACAATCTCAGGATCTGTAGTCAGATCTGAAGGGTAATCAGACTTGTATGTGTGTGACATTCTTTTTGTGATATCAAGATGTAACTATTAGATGATAGATAGAGTAGAGAGACGAACGGTATCAATGGGATCGTGTCCCAAACCATATAGATCTTCCAACTAAACCCCGCCTTGCAAATGGTACAGTATCCGCACAGTCTAAAAACAGTATTTCTGCAATTGCCGCCACCTGAACGTGTGTCTCCACATAAGCCAATCGCACTGTGAGAGAGGGAAGTGATGATTTGTGGCGCCTGTTTGAACTTTCAACAGACTTGTGGCTCGTGCGGCGCAGAAACAGGAATCATTTCCTCCTTTGAGTTAATTTCTGCCAAGCAAATAGCTAGCTATGCGTACCGAGAATCCTTCCGTGCTTGCAATGGACTTCTGAGTGGTGCGAGCGTTAGCACAAGCTTTTATGCCCCGCAGGAAGGTCAAGCATCGTAATTCAAGACTGATCTTGAAACATTAGTTGTATTAGGTACCTATTTGCCGTCGCCTACTGCAGGATTATCGCGATTGCGAGTCAAATCCTTCATGGGAATATTCCCTGGGCTTTGGTAGTAGGAGGGATGATATGTTTCCTCCGCAGTCTGCAACAGAGAATCAGGGCTTGGCCAGCGCTGACCCGAATTCCTCGAATTCTCGGCTCTTCTTCTCTTCTGTTTGTTCAAGCTCATGATGATGGAAATGAGGTACGCGATGAAGCACGTGCTCGCGATGACCGAGTAGCTTATAACCCATGAGCCACCAGCCTGGCCAGCAAGTTGTAGGCCCAATCCACCGTTTACCACACCAAGAATCATGAGCGCCCGGCCGTACCAGATGTGGATGTGGCCTACCAAGCCGATGGATTGATGCTTGGAAAAATATCGGTGATGTAAGTAGCCGAGGACGGGTTGGAAACTAAGAAGGATGACCACGATCAGACCCAGTCGCGTATGGGTTTGCTTCCCGAACTAGATGTGCCGTCACTGGTTAGCCGGTCCGAATTGGATACAAGTCGATATTGTGAGGAGAATTGGACTTACGAGTGAAGTTTGCCTAGAGTATGTTACTCCCAAGGCGACACCAACCCACATAAGGATATACGCAACCAGCTGTGACGCCGAATGGAGGAACCATTTGTTGAATACTGGCATGAGGAGGGCACCCAAGGGATAAATGCCGACGAATACTGTGGTCATGATAATGCCGTGCGCAAGGCGAATGGGACTGAATTCGTCCGTGTCCACGATCCCATAGTCTGAATCGGACGCAAGATTCGCCTGGTCAGCCTCAGAAAACGAGTCAGTGTCGGAGCCGATGCTCGCTTTGCTCAAGTCCACGGTGAAGATCCTCTTATCGTCATGATGCTTGATCATCGCTCCCGTGCTTTTGTCATTCACCGCATCCCCGGCCGACCAAGCTGCCACCCAACTACTCTGTCCTGTCAGGTCGAGATCTTGACAGTCCCCGCACCGTACCTTGGCCACCATCCTCCCATCAGCCGCTCTCGATCCAGATATCAGCTCGACCTTCGGTCGGTCGACGTATGTCGGCATAATATGGTTCTGGCCCTGTCTCGTGCTGAGTGTGACGTTGCCCTCGCCGTCCTGGTACACGAGGAAGATCTTGGCGGTCATCATGTTCTCGCCGATGCCAAGGGCGACCCACGAGTAGGTGTCGGGCGCGTCGAGCTGGAGATAGACATTTCCGGATCCAGACGTGGCTGCCTCTTCGGGAACACCCCAGTTGAATCGAATGTCACGGCTTTGGCCGGCTCTGAACGATGCCTGCGCAGAGGCTGCTATCTGTCAGCTCAAGTGTCGGGTGGGAGGATGGCAGGCAAGGCCCACGAACTGAGGTCAATTGCGAGGCCGGCAATGCTGGCCAAGATGTGCAGCGCCCGCATCATCTCTGCCCAGTCGTCCCCGGGAGAACTCGTAGGGCTACTCGTAGGGCTGGCTGTAAGTGGCCCGGGAAGTAAGAAATCCACCTGCGGAAGGCGATTGTCGGAGGCTGGATCAATGCATCACTCTCGGGAGGGAATGGCCAGCTGCGAATGACGACAAGATTGAAAGTCGTACAAAAGGACGAGGAGATGTAACACTAGAGGATCAAATAATCTTACCCATCCCATCCTAATAGGAGGGAGGGCTCCGTGCTAATTCATGCAGTCAGCATCCAGCCCTGCCCAGAGACACCACCAAGCGCTCTACCCCCTGTCTGGCAGTCCACGTACCGCGTCAGCCCACCGGAATCGTGCAGGCTCCGGGCTTGATTGGATTCAATGGCACTGGGCAGCATTAATAAAACGCACTACCATGTCGGCACATCTGCTACCCACAGCGCGAGCGCGAGTACCACCTGCGAGATGATCCTTCTCCTAAACAGGATAGCAGCCACCTCAAGAATCGTCCAAGTGTGCTTGTTTCCCAAATCCATTCCCCACAATCAACCGCATCTCATTGGCTCGTTGCTTTGGACCACGTCATGAGGTCTGAGAGGCAACTCAACCCTTGCACTTGTGTGATGTATCACCGCCAGCGAGTGAAGCTTGCTGTGACTAAAGCAAGCCACTCACAGCCGCACAAGAACTCCGAAACCCCTGAGACGAACAAAAAAGAAAAAAATTACTCGTTTTATTAGATATTATGTCTTGTGTTTTGGCTTTTCTTTTTGACAAGTGTTAGCTTGACCTGTTCTTCACCTTCAAAGAGGCGGTGTCAGCACATGTAAGACACGTGAGGCAACAACATGCCAGTATTGCTCTTTTCCCACCATTCACAACTTCTATCACCTCTCAGATAACTATTTTGCGATAGGCTTGATAAGAGCGTATTGAGAATTATGTATGTATCAAAATGTGACGATTCACTTGGGATATCGATAGCCAGCTACGGCTGAGTGGGTGTTGAGACATTGTTATCAGAGCGCCATGTTAACATCAGTTCAGCCTTGGGGAGAAGATACTGAGCTATCCCTGTCAACGGTGGGCTTCTACCCATGAGATTGGGCTCCAAGGATACCACAACCGGAATTCATTTCTAATTTGTCCTGCCTTGGTCGTATCCGTGACAATTGAGTCAGAGCCCCTTTGAGTGGAACAAACCATCCACAGTATGTACACGCAAAATTCGGGCAAGACAAACCCCATTAAAGTGGATCAAGGGCTGACAGAAGCGTTCTGATTTTGTGAATCATCTCTTCGCCCAGACTTCAGAACAGTGCTCGCTTTGTGCCAGGTTCACAATAGTGTCCAGGCCACCAAAGTCTGCCTTGCCTGTCGGAGCAGTCACCAATAGTGCTAATTTGCCCGGCTGTATCCCCCGAACGATGGATCCATGGACAGCTTACCTTCACCCATTTTCACGGAAGACCTACAACAAGTATCTACCAGTATGTTTCCATAATGATGTCAACGTACAGTCTACACAGAAACACACGTACAACATGAATGGAATGCTTATGCTTCACTCATCTGCTCTAGGCTAGGTTTGAGCTAGGCATTTACTTGTCTTAACTAAAGTGCAGTCTTTATAGACAACCAATTTATTCAGACTCATTGATCGCACTCACTGGGTATGTTAAGTAATTGAATTTGAACATAAGATTGGAGAAAAATACGCACTCTTAGTATCATAGAGCCCAGTTTTTAGGCCTAGATATTTTGGGATGAGGAATATGTGCTTCATAGCGAGTAATTCCCTAAATGTGACTAGGTAAGAAATAAGATAGGGAAACTACCACTCATTTTGCGTGTTCCTTCCCACAAGTCCTACGTTTTGGTAGTATTTAAAGGGTGTGAAGCAATAATAAACGTGAACTCGCCAAGTCTGAGGGAAGTAGGCAGGTGTTCAAGAAACTCAATCGTGAGAATTAGGGGAATTTATCTCGACCAGGGCTTCATATATAGCTTCACATGCAGTCAGTCACTGGTAAGGATTCTCAATGTCGCTAATGCATTTTCATTCACTAGCTAGGAATTATCTACTACGGGCTGTTGAACATGTGCCTTGTTCTATACTTGGAAAGAAACGGCGTTGAAGTTGACGTTTCCAGTCGAAGGGCAGGCGTCCGTGATAGATGGGCCGGTGGCTGAAAGGCCGTTGAAGGAGACTGTGACATCTCCGGTACGGCCGTTGAGAGGAACCTTGTAGTGATAAGCCTTGCCGATTTGGTTGATGGCAGAGGCGGTGGTTGTAACCCCGCCAACAGTGATGTCGACAGTCCCGGCATCGTTGCGCAAAGCGATGACAGACACAACATCTTCTGTGCCCAGAGTTGCGGACTGAGAGCCGCCTTGGCCCCATACGGTACCTAATTTGGGTTCAACATTAGCCAGTGTTCTTTAGCTGTACCCAGCATAATGTGGGCGGATAAGAGAAGACTGTAGTAACTTACCACCGTCACCGCAGACGCTCTTGGGAGTTGTGCGGTACCAGACAACCGCGCCCTCGGAATCGATGTTGATACCATCAGTAGTTCCAGCTTTGTAAGAGTTGATGAAGTAGGGCAGAACAAAGCGGAGAGCTGTATGGTCGTGGCCGTTGACGTATGCCTCGGCGCCGGAGACAATCTGGTGAGCGACAGGGGCCTTAAGGTAACTCGATTCGCTGTAGTCGTTCCAGGTGATGATCTGGATCAGACTTGGCATAACCTCTTGGGTCATCTTGAGACGGTCGAACCAGAGAGAGTCGCTAGATGAATACCAGTTTTTACCCCAGTTAGGCAGGTCTGTAAAGTTTCAGTCAGAAGTGGTTCTTTGACAAATTCCTCGCCGATATTGGGTCATCAAGTAGATGTGTGTGCTTACCAACGTAGAAGTAGGGGCTGACACCCATCATGTACGCCTTGTCGCCCAAGACTTGTTGATAATCCCGGTCCTCATTTGGGAACATGATCTGTCCGTTGGCCTTGGGCCACGAATTCCAGCTAACTGAACAGGGGAAACAGAATTAACCTCAAACTCTTTATTATTGCCGCCTCCCGTCCCCGGGAGCCAAAGTGACAACGGGAGAAAGGCAAGGTCAGGGGAAGATATGAAGTTAGGATGAGACACTTACAAGCTCCATCAATCTTGTCCAACTGGTTGGCAACGCCGGCTGGGCCTATGGAAGCCCATTCGGGGACAAGGAAGATGCCACCAGTGCCAGAGCGAACTGCAGCCCAGTTATCGGCCCAGCCAGGGCCTCCAAAGGTAGACACAAACGGAAGCCCATCGACACTGAAGTAACTTGAGCGTCCCTTCCAAGAGTTAATCCAACTAGTGACCTGATCAACCGACCAATTGTATTGGTCGCCCATATCGAAAGAGATGAAGAGTTTGAAACCCGCAGCGTCGGCAGCGTTGAAAGCATTCGCCAGCTGATCAGCATTCCAAGCATCGTCCGGACCGGCGTTCAAGGCGAAGCCGTCTATTCCAGATCCCTTGGCGTCGTTGATCTCGGTTTGCCATTCTTCGTAGCTCTGGCCGCTGGTGAGGCCAAGCATGTAGTGGGCGAAAACCGAACGAGGGACGTTGGCTCTAGTCTTGAGAGTTGAGGCAGGTTGAGCGGTGACATCTGTAGGCATGGCAGATGCCAGGCCTGTCAACGCCACGAAAGCGACCGCAATAGATTTGAGGAGCATTGTGGCCAATATCCGGTGTACTGAAATGGAGTGGTCCAGAACTCTTGTGTAGGATGGCTGCGTGAAGAGAGCAGGTGTTTATATACGAGAATTGAGGGTCTTAATTACATATAAGGCGGCATAGGGCGGCAGGGTATCAGCCAGGATGCCGGTCCGTCCACGTTCCTTTCACGAGACTTGCCATGGCCCACGTGAACTACCGCAAGCTAGCATGCAGGAACCGATCTACTTTAACTATCTTGGGATGCATTGCATGGTTTCAGGTGTAGACGACGGTGAGATACCCAGTTATTGTGGCCCCGTCAGCGAATTGCCAAGCGAGGAGCAGGGCTATTAATAATAAAATTAATGTCTGCCAAACTTGCACAAAATGCGCTGAATGCATCCTTTCTCGGAATGAAGCCAATAAGGCCCCATCAACGCCCAGCCGGATACCCTGCTGATTGCCTGACTCGTACACATGCGATGTCAGGGTACGGCTCCCGAGAGTCACTTCTAGTGTGAATCGATGGGCAGCGTCTGTCAACATCGAAGTCAAGTCCTGAGGCTACCCGTTGCCGTTAAGGCGAGGGCGGAATAGCAACCATGCCAGGCGAATGCTACCTTTGACTGCTTTCAATAGGTGATATGGCTAACACGTTCCAAATGGTTGGGTACACTAGGTAGTGCCAGGGTGCTTGTGGAGTGATTTTACTCGGGGTTTAAACGAACGGTGGCCTTCAAGCATTTGGTTCCCTGTTCTGGATGGATGGATTGCTCTCGACCAACCGACGCCATCTCCTTTCGATCCTCTCGGCATTCGATATTCGCTTGAGGTAGTTATTGGCTCGATAAGCGACTTCATTTCGAATTCCGCTTACATCATACCTGCATGGAGAGATATTGCTTCTTGGTTATTGGGGAAGATATTTGTCAGATAGCAGCACGAATAAGTGCTCGCTTAAGAAACTGTAAGCACATTTAAGATTTGACTCTCGAATGCTCACCATGAGCTGGATATATTGCTGTCAGCAAACGTAAGGCAAACTCGAGTCAGCGAGGAGCTTCTAGCTAGGAGAACGCGCCAGGGACAGGGATTGGAAAAATACATGACATCCATCTTGATCAGTCGTAGATAATCACTTGGTTATTTTATGGATACCCATCGGGGGCAAATATACGCGGAGGAGAATGCGAACCTTATGATCCTCTCTAGGTAATGTGTGATCGTCATTGGACGGAGGAACGAAGATCATCTATGAAGATAGAGGTTCTCGGCTAGAATAAGTGCGATCTATTCTCTTAATGCTATCAAATTAGAGCCAACATCTACCATTTCAAGGACAGTACGATCCTCTTCGTCCTGAGAACCCCATATTTAGTTCACATTGAGTCTCTTGGGGACAATTCCCTACTCCTTTGGTTTACAGCGCGGCCTAACTGGTGTCCGAATAATTTCGTACCAATATACTCACAGGATCATTTATCGAGGAAACCACCATGCTCGCCAATCATGCGGAATGCAGTTGCTTACCGCCTCTGGGGGCGGTGTGTTTTCATTGAGATTATGATGGAACATTTGACAATTTCTACAGGCCAACTCTCGTTAAGATGATTAGTGAACAGCTTGGCGAAAATTAGCGAAGATACGAGTGCTGCTAATGGTGATATTTGGAGTTTCGGAAGAGAGGCTGAATGTGTACATTAACACTAGTTGGTGGGGTTGCTGGAGATGAGAGTAAGCACACCTGAAATCAGCTTACAGGACAGGAACAAATCGGGTATTGATCCGAATACGACCTCACTTCTCTTCGCTTCTTGCAATATCTCGGCACTTGGACAAATTTGCCAGTGCGTTGGAGCATATTGCCCCGTCGTCCACATCCACCCCTGCTCACTCCCGATTGCACGTATCAGAGCATCTTTGAACACAAACGAATGGCGAAACTTGAGGGGCTCTTCAAAGAATTGTGACCAAATGGGAGGCATAAATATACGAAATCAGTAAATTATTCCCACGCCATTTATGTCCGATTTTCAGCACCACACACTTGTCAGGAGAGAGAGTCCTATTGAGTATCTCTAGGGAAAGGTCGTTAATATAAGCGGCGAATAAGCGCTCACGATTACTCCTCTTATTAATCATATATTTGCGACCCAGAGCAATCGCCCCGGGCGAAGCAAAACATTTGCTCGTATGAGCCCAATATCCAAGTCTCAAACCCTCGATAGGCCTCCTCCGTGTACTCTTCCTTTCGTTCTTCATCCCTTTGCTCTGTATCTGAATAACCGCCGTCCAATGGGGATGGTTCCGGCCTTTCCGCTTTGTTGGGGCTACCAGATAAATCTTCCAAGATAGATTCTAACTCGCTCTCTGTCGTTCGAATACCGGAAAATAGAAATCTCGTCGTTAATTTCATCTCTTCGCAGGCTAACGAAGCCTCCGAAGGACTGGATCCTTCAGAACTGATTGATGGGGAAGTCTGGAAATCATCCTGGCTGAGAAGGTGTAGATGGCTCCAGTTCACCTCAGACCGTCTTTCTCTGTTGGCATTGTGGGTTGATGTATGAAGAACACAAGATCCGCTGAGGGCAGATTCTCCAGCTCTGCAATCTGCACACCGCTTTCTCCGGCTGCTCCGCCTCTTAACGCTTGGGCCGGGAGCCGTCATGAGGCCGTCCATATTCCAGACATGTGTATGGACAACAGCGATGCTCTTCTGCTGCGGAAGCGACATTTTGGGATGCGTGAAGGAAGGACAACGTGCGGTCTATCTCATGAGAGGTAGCAATTAGAGCCCCTGAATCCGGACCAATCTGATTTGGAGAGTGGGATGAGATTTGAAAGAAAGTGGGATTGGGGAGAGTGTGGATTTTCCCCGCATAACCACAAGATTTCCTGGAGTTACGGAGGTAGATTTGCGTGGCTCAGCCGGAATACGACGTCATTAACTGCCCCTGACTCGCGTTAGCTCCGTTGGTCGGCTGTAAGCAAAATGGGATAACCGATTCGGGTGAAAATGAAAAAGCCGAGGCTTGTGCCGGAAGTGACATTTCGGGAAAGGGATAACCTATACACGGGAGTAGGTATATTAAACGCGCTTCACATCAATTGCTTTCAGATCATTGAAAGAAATATATCTAAAAAAAACAATCCATCAAGAGCTGCGCTGCGCTGGGTATCTTTTGGTCTCCCTTTTTTTTTATCTTTGAAACCGTTGCATCCAACAAGTTGAATCAAAAATGGTGTTTCACCCTCCCGTGTGGGTTCCTCCCCTTCCAGGTAAGTTTCCATCGATGCAGATAATGAATCTATACTTTCTCATTCTTAATTGCTTGTGCAGAGATCCCGGACTCAATCACGGTTGCAGAATTCATCAGCAGCGACAAATATGGCAGACACCCAACCAAGGCATCTCGGCGGCCCTTTACCTGTGGTATGACTGGTCGGTCGTATACAATAGAGGAGGTGAATGAGAGAGTTAATGCTCTTGCAAAATCTTTGCATGCGAAACTCAAATTTGATATTGAAGGTGGAACGGAATGGGATCGCGTTGTGGCAATATACTCTCTTAATACAGTAAGGCACCCCGTTGGTTATGATTATATCAGAACTTTAACTAGACTCTAGATTGACTACATCCCAGCAACACATGCAGTCCACCGTCTCTCTGGAATAGTCACTCCTGCAAGCCTGACGCACTCGGCCAAAGAGTTGGAACACCAGCTTCGATCATCAGGTGCCAAAGCGCTCTTCACTTGCATCCCGTTCTTGCAGAATGCAATCAAGGCATGCGAGGCCGTTGGCATCTCCCAAGAACATATCTTTATCCTGCCAATCCCAGGTGTGCTTGAACAAGTTCCATTTAAATCCATAGAGGATTTAATCTTGGAGGGGAGAAACCTTCCACCACCACTGCTCCCTGCGTGGATTGAGGGACAAGGCGCGAGACAAGTAGCATATCTCTGCTACTCGAGCGGTACTTCGGGACATCCGGTGAGCAGACTATACCAAATTGTTCGAAACCTTTTGTGCTTATAAGATCTAGAAAGCGGTGATGGTAACCCATCGCAACATCATTGCCAATACAATGCAGACTACGCTTTTTGATTCCACCGGGCGTCGACAGGGCGGAGTACGCACACAAGTCTCGGTAGGAGTGTTGCCATTCAGTCATATTTACGGCTTGACTGTCATTTGCCATGTTGCAATGTACCGTGGAGACGAAATCATCGTCCTTCCCAAGTACGAGTTCCAGTCATTTCTGAGCTCGGTCCAGAAATTCAAGATCGAACAACTGCATATAGTGCCACCCATTTTGATTTCGATGATTAGCAATTCAGACAAGTGTAAGAAGTATGATCTCAGCAGCGTGCGCCTCGTGTTTAGCGGCGCAGCGCCCCTCGGTAGTGAGACAATGGCAAAGGTATCACAGTTATATCCAAGTTGGAAACTAGGCCAAGGTTACGGTAAGCGCGGAAATGCAAGTAACAATATCTTCAAGTTCAATCTGACTTATATGTCTCTTTCATTCTAGGGTTAACTGAAGCATCGCCGAGTATTACATCGACAAGTGAGCATGACATCTTCCCAGGCTCGGCCGGATCGATCATTCCAGGGACCAAGGTCAAGATTCTCGATGCCGAGGGCAATGAGGTGACCGAACACGAGATGCGTGGAGAACTTCTGGTTCAATCTGACTCCGTTACTCTCGGTTATTTGAACAACGAACAAGAGAATGCCCAAACGTATGTTTGGCACCATGATGGGCGATGGCTGAAAACTGGCGACGAAGTCCTTGTACGCAAATCGCCACAAGGCCACGAGCATGTTTTCATTGTCGACAGAATCAAGGAACTAATAAAAGTTAAGGTAAGCACCATCACGAAATAGAGTATGTTGTCAGGATGCACTTACTGACTAGACCATAGGGGCATCAAGTAGCACCGGCCGAGCTCGAAGCCCATTTATTAGATCACCACTTAGTGTCAGATTGTGCCGTGATTGGCATTGAGGATGAAAGAGCAGGGCAGCTTCCAAAAGCCTACGTTGTCAAATCTGCCGAGGCGAAAAAGCAATCCCTAGCTGATCAGGATGTAATCAAGGCAATCAACTCGCACGTGGAGGGTCACAAGGCTCGCCACAAATGGCTCAAAGGGGGCATTCAATTTATTGACAGCATACCGAAGAGTCCAAGTGGAAAGATCTTGAGGAGACTTCTAAAAGAACAAGATGGAAAAGCGCAGATTTCTGCCAAGATTTGAGAAACGCTCTACCGCTCGTGAAATTTGTCTTCAAAAGGCAGATTTGTCACTGAGTGTTGATCATCTTGTCCAGCGACCCGGCTATCAATGAGAAGTTTGATTGAACTTGAGTTGCTTGAGCAACAAAATTTACCAATTAGTTCTAATCCAATGGTTGATACTTAATGATCAATCAAATCTACTACATCCATCATCATCATACACAACAGAAAGTCGCTGCGCCCTGCGTAGTTGCCATGCTGGTCTTCATCATCGTTTGATTAATGCTTGTTCACGTTGCCTGCACTACCTTGATCATTATAAGTATCAATTATCCTAGTTGCTCTCATCTTAATTATCCCAATAGGAATAACTTCCATCATTATCCTCTTCTTCTACCTCCTCATCCTCCCCTATTTCCTCCTCTTCCTCTCCCCCTTCTTCATAATCCCCATATTCTTCAATATCTCTAACTTCCTCCTCTTCCTCCTCTTCCTCCTCTCCCTCTTCTTCCTCTTCTTCCTCTTCTTCCTCTTCTTCCTCTTCTTCCTCTTCTTCCTCTTCTTCCTCTTCTTCCTCTTCTTCATATCTTTCAACCTCTTCAACTTCCTCATCCTCCTCTATTTCTACCTCCTCCTCCTCCTCCTCTTCATCTTCTTCGACTTCTTCCTCCTCCTCTTCAATTTCCTGTTCTTCTTCCTCCTCTTCAACTTCTTCGACTTCTTCCTCCTCCTCTTCAATTTCCTGTTCTTCTTCCTCCTCTTCAACCTCCTCCTCCCCCTCTGTATCCTCTTCTTCCTCCTCATACCCCTCAACTTCTTCTTCCTCTTCTATTTCCTCTTCCTCCTCATGAAGCCCAAATCCCTCCTCAGATTCAGACTCCTCGTAAATTTCAGAACCATCATTTCCAAGATATTCATCATCATTTGGCCCGGAGTCCTCGTTTTCCTCAAAATCATTCTGCTGCTCGAGATATTCGAGATTAGAATTGTTATCTTCGCCATCGTCTTGATAACCTTGCTGCTCAAAGTGATCTTGCTCCTCCCCATCGCTCTGCCAGCCATCGCTGGGATTATTCCTCCAGGCGCTGAATTCATCGCCAGTATCATCCCCCACATCCTCGTTGTCACTACCAGAGTGAGAATTTTCATTTTCATTGTAATCGGTATGCCAAACATTAGTGGAATTGTCGTTCTCATAGGGCTGTTCATCATAAGTCTCTTCATCAATGTTGTCGGGATCCCCACGACCGTCTTCAATATCGGCTGAAGTACGATTCTCATCCCAAATCTCACCATTTCCACTCTCACTCTCCTGATTTTCGTATGTATCGTCCAGTTTCTGATCATCTTCATTGTCCTCACTGTCTCGAGTCACTTCACTGTATCGATCAAAATGTGGATTTGCCTCATCATCAAGCCACGTCTCCTCGCCATGAGCTTCGGTTTCGTCGATGTACTGATTGCCATCCCAAGAACCTTGAGAAGATCCCGATGCGTCGATACAGATATTATTGTTGCCTGAAAATCGATTGTAATCGTAGAAGGTTTCTGTTTCATCGCCGAAAGACCCAGGAGTATACCCGTCTCTGCAGTGCAGAGCCTGCTCATTGTCCGCACCATTGGATGATACATCGCCCCAGCCTTGCCCGTTGTACAGATTTTCAACGTTAGATTCCTCCATCATATGAGAGTGGCCGTAAACGGAGCCATTGTCTGCCGTGTCCCCATGATAGTCGCCTGACTGATCAAATTGCTCAGCAGTCATCGCCTGAACATCGTGTTCTTGTTGCCATGGCAAATAATCGTTGTCAAAGGCTGCTGCTAGCCCGAGACTCGCTAAGCTAACACCACTAACAGCGCCAAGCGCAAGAGCAGCATTGGATGAGTGCTCCTTTTTCTTCGAATTCGAGTCGCCTTTTTTCTGTATCTGTTCCGGGTCGGTGTGTTGGGGATCTGTACCGTTGTCTGAGTTAACAGGGACTAACGATGGATCATATACCATGGTAGGGTTATTTGGATGTGAAGCTGGGTGAGTGCCGGGCCAATCTTTAGACTCTGGATATGCTTGATCTATGTTTGGCTCTGAATTGGACGTGAGGCCACCGTATTGTGATTGAGATCCAAGTAGGTCGGATACTTGGTTGGGACCTTGTTGATTGTCTCTAGATTTTGTTTCAAGGCTCCCTTGTGCTTCAGCCGCAGGCGATGATTGCTGGAGCGCGTCGGTGGCCGAACTTGTAACGCCGGCGTATGAGTCTTCAGCAGTAGGCCAGGGGCCAGCCTCGGTATGGGAAAAGGGAGCTTGGAAAGAGTCAGGCCCGGAGACTTGACCGCCCGGGTTAGATTCTCGAGACCAGCCCTTGTGAGACATATGCAAACCGACATCAACCTCGCCTGGTCTAGTTTCTTCATCGAAAGCGCTTTGAGGCTCGACCGAGGAAGATTGAGAGGTCTTAGACTCGCCATAGTCGAAGTTTGGTTCCTCTGGAGATAACAACCCATAGCGTGATCCTGGGAGGTCTATGGCGCCGGAACCCAAAAGCTCAGACTCTGCAGTGATGGGTTGTTCAGCTACAGGAGAAGAGTGTCCACCCATGTCATGAGGACTTTGCTGGCTCGAATCAAGGCCTGAACGTTCTTCCAGCCAGACGTCGTTGGTGTTATTGACATTATTAATATTGTTGATGGTGTTAATGATGATGTTGTTTTTGTTGTTGTTCATCGTGACGTTGCTTAGGGAGGTACTGCGCGTAGATGGAAAGTTGGCTTCTTCGTCCTCTCTCTCGGGAGGCTCATTTTCCGGTGTGCTCATTTCCTCATCCCGGAAACCTTCGAAGCGTCTCGCTTCGGCATACATTGGTGATCTTAATTCAGAATATGCATCCGCATCTTCGTCGATGTTACCATCGCTGTCAGGTGCATCCCCATTGCCCTCATCTGAAGATGTATCATGATAGTCGTCGTCAGAGACCCAGTCAGAAGAAATAGAATCCGCATCAGTAGTATTAGGGGACAAATTGGCATCTGACTCGTGCGCATGATCTCCCTCGTACATGACGTTTTGTTGTGTCAAATGGTTAACAGCGGTGCTGGTTTGTTGTGTCGAAAGGTTGTTATTGATAACATATGTCATGAAACCTGCTCCCACCGCTCCCACCGCCGCTCCTGCGATTACTTTCCCACCGAGATTGGAATGTTCGCCGTGTGACTTCTTGGATGGCTTATTTCCTTTGTCATGGCTCTTGTCGCCACGTGTCGCCTTGGATAGCGACTTGTCTCCCTTCCCGTGCTTTGCTTTCGACTTGACGCGGTCGCGGAATGTCGCGTCTAGCCTCTTATTCAAACTGCGGTCTGTCCCTAAAACTCTAACCGAGTCATCCAGTTTCTTCTTTTCTTTTTTGTCGGATAATTTGTCCTTTGGCTGACTGCGAATCCTAGCGCCCTTCATGTCCAACGTATCCTTGCCAACCCCCTTCGTCTTCTCAGCAGGTGATCTTACTTGCTGGCCAACTTTGTGTCTCGGAGGTTGACCTTTTGCAACCTCTCTCTCCGTTTGCTTTATTCCACAGGAAATCTTCCTGGTATCCTGGGAGGGTTCTTGGTGGGAAGGTTGTGGAGGCGGCTGTTTGGAAATTGGGCCAAGACTTCGTTGAGAATTCTTCTGAGAAGGGTGCAAAATAGGCTTCTGGGGAGTCTGCTTGCCGTTCGGCCCAATGCTCTGTGGGCCAGACTGCTGTATATTCCATCGGCTAAACTGTTGGGGAGTCCCTTGAGAATTTTGTTCTCCGTGTGCTTTCGGACCAGAAGATCTAGGCGTTATCAGGCGTGTGCCTTCGGGGCTCGGGACTCCCCTTGAAGCCTGCTTAGAAGCCTGCTTAGAAGGCTGTGGGAGATCCTGTCGGAGAGCTCGTGTGGAGGGTTGATGGAAGTTCTGTTGAGCATTGTCTCCTATGTGCTGTTGGAAGTTCTGCTGCTGACTGTTCTGCTGATGGAAGCTTTGTTGAACATTGTGCCGGATAATTTGTGGTTGTATTTTTTGTGGTTGGATGTTCTGCGGCTGGATGGTTTGTTTCTGGAAGCCTTGTTGAACGTTGTTCTGGATGTTCTGCTGCTGGATATCTTGGTGAATATTCTGATGGACGTTCTGGTGGATATTTTGGATGAAACTTTGCTGGGTAATGGCTTGTATTGTGTGCTGGACAGACTGTTTGCTCTTTGCTTCTGGATCTGAAGAGCTAGTGTTCACTTGACGTTGAAGACCAGCGTCCAAAACCCTTTGGTCACCGCTGGAGATCTGTTGAAGACCAGGTTGAGAAGACTTTTGAACAACCTTTTGGTTTTTTGACTTTAAGCTTGAGGAACCGGCAGCTTTCTCCCGTTGGCTTCCGGCCATCCTGGACGTCTGTTGCTGTTGGACAATTGGCTGTTTCTTTGCCGTTGGGGCTGCCGAACCTGATGTTGCCTGGATTCGACTTCCAGCTTCTATCGTCCCATGGAAATTTTGCTGCGAACTCTGTTGAACAGTCTGATTGACCGTCTGATTGAAATTCTGTTGAGAAGCTTGTTGCGTCGTAGCCTCTAAAAGTGAGGAAAAAGGTTTGACTGGGTGCTTCTTGCCCGCTTCCAAGGCCCCTTTGACAAGGACTCGTTCAACGCCCTCCGCTGCTGTCTCCTCCGACACGAAACGCGGTTGCTTTACTGGGGCGATGCCGGGGGCACTGGTTGTGTGCGACTCAAAACTACGATCGACAGACACTTGCCTCACCACACGAGAGTCTTGGCCGCGGCTTATCTTCAAATCTAGACGCCCAGAGTCATTCTCTAATGGATTTGCGGCTCTCTGCGTATAGGGAGCGTAGTCTGGAGCGGTCACGGGCTCGTCAAGGGAGAGGGGGTCATGGGGGGACCAACTGCTCGTAATCGGTCTTGCTATGGGCAACTTTTTCTTGGGCAGTTGGGGGGCAGTTGCTCTATTGCGAGAGACTGGATTGTGACCAGACTGATTGGTAGTGATTTGCCTCGGTGATTTGGCTTTCGCCGCAGCAGACCCGTGATTCTCGAGTGTAGACAGAGGGGTGCTTGATCCGACGACGAGAGACTTCACATGACTAGGCTTGGTAGATGACACACCATGACCTGCGTTGACATCAGATGTATACGACTGGGTGATAGAAGTGCTGTGTGTTGACGCGAGCGTCCTTGATATAGAGGCCGAGGTAGCAGATGACGTGCTCACGACTCTTCGCGACGAGGAACCAGCTACCATGTCCTTGTAGGCAGATCCTCTAAGAGACAATGATTCAGGACTAGTGGAGATTAATGACGGAGTATTGCTTCGGTTTTGGGCTGGGACGTACTTGGGGCTCTTCGCTAGCGCGGTCGCCTTCTCGGTCGATGTTGTGGATTGAGCTGTGGTCGATGTGCTCTTCTGCGACTTCAAAGGTCTGGGTGCCATGGAAGTAGCGGAGGTTTCATCACTGCCGAGTATGAAATGTTAGTGGACAATGTACCATTGATACACCTCATGTTTTTCGTTCAATCATACCTTGCTTCCGGTAATGTCTTGGAGCTTGACGGATCAACATAAGCTTTGATGGGCTTACGCTTGACCTCTTTCGTTTTTGGAGGACCAGGAACAAGAGAGCCAGGATATTCTAAACTAACAGGTTGTCCTTGGGGCGCGGCCGTCGGGTTGGTGGGCTGAGATTGCGGGAGAAACGAAGAGCCTGATTGCGGTGGTGAAGGGGTAAACGAAAGTGAAGTATGCGAGCTTTGAGAAATGAACAGTTCATCGACAAAAACACTTGAAGAGACTGATCGCGTAGTGGAAGAGTGAACAGTAGTATCTGTGGGAAGGTTGGGATTGGGAGAGGACTTCATGTCGGGCTGAAGGTGTCCTGGGGTGCTAGCACTACGCCCATCAGGCTGTCTCACTGGGCCCGGAGGCCGTGCAAGCGGATGAGAAGGTCCCTGCGGCGATGGGATAATGGGATTTGGACTATGGGAAACCTTCGGTTTGGGCACTTTCGACTTTCCTGCAGCCATAAACGGGACTCCGAACTTCTGGACGATAATTGCGTCCAGCTTAGCAGCCTTCTCTGCATGGTGTGACCACGGCCTCTTGGCCAGATGGAGCTGGTCAATGTAGAACGGCCTTCGCTGCGCATCAATCCATCCCCAAGCCTGCTCGGCTCCAGGGAGCTTCGGAATAGCAACAGTCGAAGGCTGAGCTCTGAGAGTAGAAGAGATTGCTCCGGGAGACGGACTAAAGAAGCCCTCCGCGCCAGCCTGGAAAAATGGAGGGTAATTGACTGAAGACGCAGGGCCAGCGAGCCAATTATCCTTCTTGCGCGTCGAGGCATCAAGTGAGCAGGCCTCGGCAATGATGGACCAAAAAACATAGCCGTCGGGCGTGGCTTGGGACAAGCAGTTCACGCAAAACCTGCAGGTCTCCAGAACGCTGACACAGACCTGCGAATGGCGAGTTTGAGACTGATGGAAGAATCCAAGGACGGCTGGATATTTCTGGTCGCTGCCTTCAAGGGACGGCCGATATTTCGGAAAGTGATTGCAACCGAGGGCACGACGACCAAGTTGGAGGGCAACAAACTCGGCAGATCCAGGAGCTGCACCACCCGCCAGCGGTGGACTAGTTGCTGAGTTAGAGAAGCTACGCATAGTTTCCCGTACTCTAGGTAAGGCTTTGTAGACAGAGGCAAAGAAAAGAAGGACGGGGCTGTGAGTTGACAAGTGCTGTAAGAAAGATGGCCAAAAGGATTACTGAAGCATAACCACTCTCACTGGGAAGCTCTACTTGGGCTAGATGGCCAAATATTAATCTGCGTAGAGATGATGGCCAACAGGTCAGAAGAGAAAGGCCAGACACACCCTTCGGCTACTTATCTCGGCTCTACCTCGCCTTGCCGTAGCCTTACACATGTCGGCTACACACCAGAATCACCCTCCAGCACTTCACGAAAGTTAATTTTAGCTTCCTTGCCACGTATGGTAGGGGGTGTGTGTTCACAGCCTTCGTGGATCACGAATGCTAAATCAGTACCGTACCGCCAGAGGAGGAGCGGAGGATATAATAAAATGAAAGTATTGGTTGAGCTATTGCTTGAAACCTGCGACCTGCGGGCTCGCTATCTACCTGCTGGCCTATGAAATGGCGGCTAATGCAACCATTACATGTGGCGTCTGCAAGACCGAGGGATATAACTCACGGGCTGCAACTACGTGGTAAGGATGCCTAGTGCTGACAAGGCAACTCACATAGAAACAAGGCTCGACCCCTTGTCATGGTGGCATTGTCTCACCTAGTATCCGCCCAGAACAAGGCCGATCATCAAGCGACTAGACGCCTCTCGAGTAGGTTGCAGAGAATCTGGATTCCTCCGACACTATTGTCCATGTATGAGTCAGATGATTCTTCCTAGTCATGGCCGGACAAGGCATGATGATAGGAGGGTAAAGATGCACTACCGGCGATAACAGAGCTGAAATAGAATTTTACAATGTGCAACAATCCCCCTGAACATTGCATGAGCCCAGCCTTGTTCACTTGGGCCGGGCCAGACAGCTTGTGGGAGTGTTTTTCCAGCCGTTCGCTTGGTCGAAAAGATGGTAACCTGGCTCTCCCCCACACTCGTTGTTTATATTCCGTTGATACTAGAGCTTTGTCAGTTAGACGGATGTCGTCCTTGCCCACGATGCCTCCATCTAGCAGAACCTCGTCTACCAGATCTGCAACATTCTCCCTCAACCGAGCAGACTCCAACCTTGCCCAACGCCTCTCCTTCCTACAGTTCGATAGCAAAGCCGCTGAGCCCACTGCCAATGACTTCCAACGGGCCCACGAGCTAATGCTCCAAACCCGCCCATCCACAAAACGATCCTCAACACTGGACTACAAAGATGCCAACCAAGCTCTTTCTATAGTAGCTCAAGGTCGCGTGCCCAATGCCACCCCGGGGATGGTCAACGCCCTCGTCAAGAGCGGTGCGGACGTCAGCGTTGCCCGACGCAAAAGCGACAACATCCTCAAGATGTTCAAGGGCGAGAATCAAGAGGAGGTTCGCAGCGACGTCCTGCCTGTCGCAACGCGGAACTGCTCAGACGATGTCGTATTCGCTCTGGCCCTGCACGCCGATAAAATATCCCTCAACCAGGCGCTTCCTGTTGCCATTACTGCCAACAGCCATGTCAAAGCGTCTATCCTTCTTGCTAGGGGTGCTGACGCTTCGTCACTGTGCACTGCTTTCCTCGATGTCGTGGCCAGAGATGACCACGAGATGGCAGAGATTCTCCTCAAGGAGATTAACGGTGCTTGTCAGAGCTGCCGCAACAAGGGACTGGTGCACACGGCGAAGATGCGCTTCCCCGTTACTGCGCAGAAACTATTAGCTCGTGGGGCAGATGTCAAATTCGACAACGGTGCTGCCCTTCGAGCAGCAATACACTCCGGTGCCGACGATATCGCCTTCCAGATTGCCTCTCATCCATCCATCATGGGCCAAGCTGTCCTTCTCGACGCCGCCGTCAGCGATGCGTACAATTACAAGAAGTATTCACTACTTCCAGTGCTGTTCCAATCTGGAGCTAAGGGAAATACCACGGACGAGATGGTCATCAATGCTGTCAACTCGCAGCAGCTAGATCTGATCAAAGACCTTGTTCAGCAAGGGGCGCTATCGGCGTTGTCCGGCAAGGCAGTTGGAACCTGCTTGCGGTCATCTATCAACGTCTCGAGGCTCGACATCCTCCAAGCGCTCCTTGCTGGAAGACTGTCGCCAGAGGTAATGGCCGAAGCACTGAGCCAGACACATTCCATCTCCAAATTGGAATATGTGTACCAGGTGGTTGACCTTCTGCTTCGCTCCGGCCTGGCAGGGCATGGATCCGTCAGTGATGCGCTTCTGCACACTATCAACAGAACCGTCTCGTCTTCTGATGAGCGGGTCCATTTGAATCTCGTCCACTTGCTTCTCGCTAGCGGTGCTGCAGACGTCAATGTCCATGGAGGCAAAGCCATCGTAGACACCGTCTCCCGAGCACAGGTGAACATCCTCTCCCTCCTCTTACAGGCCAAATATCGTGTGTCGACAGATTCTCTTGCTGCAGCGTTGGCTTCCGCGATCGGCGTGAAGCCAGACGATGTCAAGATTCGCGTCACCGAGATGCTTCTTGGGAAAACGAGTACCGCTGGTCCGACGGGAGCGACAGTCACTCCCCAGGATAGGCAGCGCCTCATCAGCGTCGCTATGTCTGCAGCTACGCAGTACCTTGACATGAAAGTTCTCCAGCTCCTTGCTAGCCTGACCACGTCCGCCGATCCCTTCAGTACTGCCGTCACCACTTTAGTTCACAAGACAAACGGCTGGTCTTCCATCCAGGGCCTCGTTTTCATGCACTTCCTGTTAGAGCACGGGGCATCAGGCCAAGGTGTTGAGGATGCCTACCTCAAGGCTGCTCTAGCCCACACATATGAGGCTGTCAATTTATTAGAGCCCGTGGTCAACCTCAGCATACGGACGAAAGCCCTCGGTCGTCTTACGAGCTCCTCCCCGAAGTGGATCGAGCAGAAGAATCTGTGGCTTCTGCAACTCCTGTGCGATGGAGGATGCCAAGGCGACTCAATCGACGCCGCACTGCTCCAGGCAGTTGCAATTGTATCCAAGGGAGACGGGTCCATTGCGGCCTTGCACGTTCTCCTTGATTCGTCCGCAAATGTCAACTACCAGAATGGCGATCCTCTCCGTATCGCTGCCACAAACGGAGCTGTCGAAGCCCTTGAGATCATGCTGCGACATGGTGCAAGCAGTAGCTCGATCGCAAATGCCATCTACAATACCATTTCGGCACCGCTTACAGAGAAGAGGGCCTTGAAGGTGATTGACACTCTTGTCTACGAGATGGAGGCCAAGAAGCTCGGTGTCAAACTTGACTTGAGGAGTACCAGACAGGGCCAGGCTCCAATACTCATGGCTTGCCTGTCTGTCCACCGCAAATCTGCACTGCTGGTCAAGCGACTAGGAGAGCTCGGATGCGATGCCGACGAGCAGTTCACAGCGACCATCCACGAGTACCAGAACGTGGGACAGGAAGTGACGAGTGTCCTGACTTGGGCTCTCAGTCCAGTGTCGGCAGGACAGATATCTTCCGAAGTCATCGTTGCCCTCATTGAGTCGAAAGGTATGAATCCAAATGCTGCTTTCCTTTACACACAAATGCTAATTGAGATCAACAGCGAACGTCAACTATGCCACGTCTAATTCCAAGACCACGCCCCTCATCCTGGCTGCAAGGTACGGTCGCCATGATATCGTGAAGAAGCTCCTCATCGCCAAGGCCCGTCCCACTGCTCGCGACTCCTTCAATTGCACTGCCCTCTACTACGCAGCGCAACTAGGCCATCTTGAGGTCGTGAAGCTACTGGTCAAGGCCAAATCCCTCGTCAACGACGGTAGCCTTCATGAGGCTGCCAGGAACCTCCACAGCGACGTAGTGGCCGCCCTGATATCTGGAGGCCACGACCCCAACTTTCGCAGTAGTAGGCCCGAGCACAAAGGGCGCAACGTGCTCGAGGAAGTTTGCCTCTTGGCCGATGGCTCGAGGAATCGGGCCCGTCTGGAGGAAACAATGATGGGAATCGCAGACGGCAAGGCCAAGGTCCTTACACCAAACGGCGACAGGAACTGTCTTTTCCTTGCCTTTGACAATACCCGTCCCATCCCAGTGACCAGCATCGTCCTGGACAGAATCATGTGGCGTGATCTCAACGACGAGAAGAACGTCTTTATCCGAGAAGTCCGTGAGACAGGTACCAAGATCTTTTACTCGCCGTCCATGTTCCTCCGCAAGGGCCTCGCGGCCTGCGATCCCAGCCACATCAATCATTTGTTGAAGCTCCTCCACGACAAACAGTGCATCGACAGGTACTACGCGGAATTCGGCCCTGGAGACGGCGGTATGTTCCAACCGGAGGATGCAGTGGGCGTACCTGTGGCGATTGCCAGGGAAGAAAAGAAACGCCGGGCTGACGCTGAGAAGCGCCGGGCAGAGGCGGAAGAGCATCAGCGTAAGCTGCAACGACAGCAGCAGGAGGCGGAACACAAGGTACAGGTGGACGGATGGGTGCAGCAGCAAAAGAGGACACAGGCAAACCTCGCCCATCAGAGTAAGATGCAGCAACAGGAACAGATTAAAAACCAGCAGATTCGAGCGATGCAGCAAAAGCAGGCCATGAAGAAGAGCAAGTAATGTTGAGCAGAACAGGCTGATCACAACATCGAGTATGAAGTTTTTTAGTATTTCATCGTCTTAGTTAACTCGACCGATTATTGAATACACAAAGAGATAAAGAAACTTTTGTTATACCAACCGTGAGACCTTGACCGACTCATAAATACGGTAGTCGTAGGTTTGATGGAAATCAAGGGGAAAAGAATCACCCTGCTAGTTTTTAACCCACCCTCTCCCATAACTCTTATTTATCACACAGTAAAGGAATCAACATCTGAAGGATATGAGTCAAGCCTGAGAGAAATTGAGAAGCGTTTTCTTGCTTATCTAAATTAGACACCGCAACAACCTTCCCAAAGTCTTGCTCTTCAGTAAACCCTCTACCACGAACGACATATAACACATTTTTGTCATTCTGGGATCGGCCAAAAGCAAGTGAAGCACAATCAGCCAAGATGGTTTCGTTGAAGCCCCCTGAAACGATTTTATTCTCCCCGCTCCTGGTGTTGATGTAACCAAGGGCATTCGTAGGAGCGTTGGACGTAAAGTAGATGTTTCCAGCTCGATCAAAAATGAAATCGTCGATTCCAGAGAAGTTTTCAGAAACGTCCACAACAAGCTCTGCCTTGGCGCCAGGGATCTTGGAACCTTTCCAGTCAACACGTAGGCGATAAATGAATGTGGATGCAGAAGCAAAATAAAGATAGCCATCGCGAAACTTGGCGGCAACAGCCCCCATTCCAAGCGGAGAATTTGGGAGCACAGCCATCTCGGGCTCCGCGAAGGCATCCATCTCCCATTTCTTCTCAACAACGTTCAGACGACCCATTGTTCCTCTCCCAGAATCTGCGATTAGGACAGATCCAGGGCTTCCAGGAATTGGGGTGAGGCCATTCAACAGGACCGTTTCTCGCCCTAGATCCCCGATTTGCTCAACTTTTGCTACTCCACGCTTTGGAAAGGAGAGTCGGAAAGCCTGCCATGAACCAACAGCCGGCTTCAAGGGTGCAAGAGACGTAACGTTGCCACCGACAAAAACGTAAGTCTCTACTCCGTTAATTGGAGGGATTTCAGTGATTCCCCAGAGCGATTGGACTCCATATACGCTTGCTATCTCCTCAACAAAGGGGTTGCGAGACGAGGGCCCCTTCACAATGTAAACCTTGGGGTCACCCATGGCAGAAGTTGCGAGAATGTCGCCGTTTGGGCGAATGATGGTACTTTCCAAAAAGGATCCTGCCGGCGTCTCTGCAATGACCTTGGTGGAAACCAAACGATGTTCGCTCTCAAGAACAGGACTTCCCGAAATAGGAGCCGCCAGGGCAGCATAGTGCAACAGAGGTCGTAAAGAGACCATTTCGATTTTTTCCTCAAAAGCCTGCTTGCTCTTCAATATTTAGGATAAAGTAGATGGTTGATGGGGTTTTAAAATCTTTAGGATTGATCAAATCGACCTACGATCACCAGGAAGTCAAGGTGATTTAAATATCGACGCCGAAAAGCATCTTCCAGTGTCCAGAACCGTCCCATATGGCATTATGAAATCATGACCAAGCTCGGGCAAGTATGAAGTATATTGAGTGTAGAAAGGGCTTACAAACAATGCTAATGCGACGACCCAGTCCGACCTCTATTCTCGGGACAACGGGTGTACCGAATGAGTGTTCTCTGAGCTGGGGATCTTGGTAGAAACCGATATCTCCAATCTTTACGGAGATAATAGTATTAGCCCCGTGTAAACTATTCAGTGTAACGGAGACTTTCAATAAAATCAATCATTCCAACTTACAAATCGGGTCAATAAGCTCGGCAAAAGTTGCTAGGAGAGGGGTGAAGCTAGGACCATGTGTTATCCTGAATTTCTATTTCGAGGTCCCACTCAGCTCCGAGATTTTGTGTAGGGTTATAATAAACAAGCGCGGCAAAAAACTTCTCTCACTCTTCTAATGCACAACTTCTGTAGTATTGGGAGCAGTGTTATTGAGCAAAAACATACCAGGGCAAATCTAACAATATTGCGTGTTATGCTTCGATTACCTATTCTCAGGCTAAGCGAAAGAAAATCGAAGATATGTTTTACACGAATTGAATATGCTCGCTATTTGATTACCAGCAGCAGAACTGTACTTATTGGCACCGTTGTGGTTGGTGCAGTCTTTTCTTCTATTATGAAACCAATTGGTGAATAAAGGACCCAACAATACTTTATTCTGCCCATTTGATATCAGTAGGCCTAGGGAGCCTTCTTAAAAGTCTTACGCAGATTGTTCGTACACGTACAAGCTGGATCAAGAACGGTAGTACAATAGTTGACGACGGTGGTGATTAGACAGAGCTGACAAGAATTACTGTCTCCCGCTTGGTTTTGTTCATATGCTGCACAGATCCTACATTTGCAAATTTTGCTTAGTTTTCACTTGAATTGGATGGCATTGAGCCTACAACTGATCATTGCAGAAATATTGGTGGGACAGCAATTGCCTGTATAGGGTGGGAAGCTGGGGGTGGTCAAACTGCCATAGTCCAAATGTTGTCTCGAGAGCAGCCATCAACAAGCTTCCATGGCTGAGTTGGTTACAGCGTCGGTCTCATACAGTTGTCTGTGTGATCCTCTCCAAAGAGTGGGTTATCCGAAGGTCGTGAGTTCGAGCCTCACTGGGAGCATTCGATGATTTATTTTTGATTTTGCTGGTTGTGTCCTCCTAGCGGCGAGTCCTCCCCGCTTTTCATTGAAGAATTTTTGCAGGTGGAGACTCTCGTCGGTGGGATTCTTACCAGTGGGTGGTTCCCTCGGACCAAAAGACCCCCTCCAAGCTCCTCTCAGGATGACATTATTTTCCCCCTTTGGATGGCTCGACTGACACGCTGACTCGTAGACCCTTAGCTAACTTACAGCGATAATCGCGCCGTATGTGTGGAACTTGCAAGGTGAGGGATTCTCATGCATTGGTCGTCTTCCCTCTCTCGAGCATCTCTAGAAAGCACTAGACTAACTGCTGAGGAATATATGCATTTTTTGGCCATTGGGCTCACGATTGAAACTGCTTTACCAGCGGAGTAGCAGATTTTCTATGGCTTTGGAACCTGCATACCAAAGAGAGTCGGTGGACTCAAGGCTGGTATATAGGAAAGCCAATTCACAAAAGTAGTCTGATGCCCATGTCTATTTACCGCCGCTTAAGAAAGAAAAGGCTAAATCATCTCTTTCATCCATGGGAATTTGTACGAGCAATTGGTCAAGAAACCGGTCATCTGCTGGCTTCCCGCTCATACTTTTCCTCAAGAGTGATGACAAACTTCTGAAAGCAGATAAACATTATGCAAAAGTTATCGCATATTAACTTTCTGATAAGAGTGATTGTTTTTGAAATGCGGTACTTCGAAACTACATGGCGGTGCCTTGATGCCTCACTTCATATTGTAATATCACAGACGTGCGACTGAGCAGTGAAGGGAGACTTTAGTCGCGCAGCGCCTTTGCCTCTCTATCGGGTACTTTCCTCCAGCATAACGGGTTGGAAGAATATATTATCGTTATTTTGTGCTAATTTCAGACGAAGTAGAATGCCCAGGTCTCTAATTTCCGGGAGAATATAACTGGCTCCTAATATTAGCTGACCCGGCTCGTGTTACGGGACTACATGTTTTTATCCTTTGTAGAGCGGACAGCCAGCGAGACCTGAAGACTCCGCACTGCTGAAGGTGATCCGTCGGAAATGTAACTCTTCACCTTGTTTTCGATTATCCTCTCCGTTTGGAATTCGGGTTGGGTAATACGGGAGAATCCTATCGTGCTCAAACGCATTACATTCTCAATCACTCATTATTCTGTTTATTCAGCCACGCCTCTTAGCGGAGGTATATGCCGTGACTAGGTGTGCAAGTGGCATCGGCCTTGCTACGGCGAAGCTCATCTCAGAACGCGCGGGAACGGCTTGCATCGCCGACGTTAACAATACTGCACTGGAAGAAGTCGAGGCTTACTCGAATTCAAAATCGCCAAAACCTTTGTTCTCAGTTAACCAAGTCGATGTGTCTAAGAAGGATCAAGTACAAAGCTGGATTGCCGCCATCAAAACCCAGTTCGGTTGGCTAGATGGGGCAACAAAAATTGTCGGCATCATTGGAGAAAGTCATGGAGACCAGCCTCTTACGGAGCTTGAAGACGATGAGTGGTTCGAAATCCTGAATGTCAATCTAACTGGTATGACGTATTGCCTTCATTCGGAATTGTAATGAGGATGGCGGATCAGTCTTCAACATGGCATCTATACATGCCACAACTGGTAAGCTTCCTTCTCGTTTCCCGAATCAAGGTGGCAACACCGCTACAGGATCAAGGGTGCGTTGAATGCGCAACCCTTTCAAAGAACTTCTAACCATCAATAGGGGTAGCAAACCGTGCTGTTTACGCCACAAGTAAGCACGGGGTCATGCCTTACTCGCGTCGCCGCCAAAGAAAATGGCCATCTAGAAGTACGCGTCAATGCAGTGGCTCCGGGGCCAGTTTATACTCCTTTGATTCAAGGGCATTGGGGCCGCACAGCAAGGCCGGCCGATGCTCCCTTTGACGAGCCCATCGCGTTTCAACGCCAGGGGACGGCTGATGAGGTAGCAAAAGTAGTTGTCTTCTTACTTGGATCATATATCAGTTTTGTCGGCGGCAGCTGTTATTCGGCTGATGGGGCCTGAATATAGCTTTATTCCAAAAGAGGAACTGGCTAGATAGCCGTTGACGATTATTGACGCCACAGACGATGGCATTATTTAGCTCACTATGACATTCCCTCGCTAAGCCACTACATCAATGTTGTAAAATGAACTGTGCAACTCCTTATTCAGACATCACTGCGTATAGCCAAGTTTCCATTAGTTCCATCACGGCTTCCTTGCTAGGAGCCATGATGCTTGATCGAGTAGAAGACCCTGCATGAAATCAGTTTTGTGATATCGACTATTACTAAACTTCTTCTATGCTACTCAAACTGAGCTCTAGGAGTACCATAAATAGAAAAGAAACAGCCTGTGGATTGTTTAGAGCCACTTTCTTCGAAATCTACAGATTTTCGAACTCGTGGCGCAACGATATTCCCTCAGAGGCAGGGATCCTTCCTGGAAACTCGAGGTCTCCTCGGTCCCAATGCCGCATGTACACGCCCATGAACGCGCCGGAGCCTTTAATATCTTGCAACAGTAGCTGTAGATCTTCGGGCGTTTGATCCACCACCGTAGTACGTCGTCCACCATTAAGTTCTGTGAAGACATTCACCAAATCTTTGCCGGAAGGGTGGAACGTAACTGCGGAAAAGCTTTTACCCACAACATCGGCTGGGTCTCGAGCCAGTAGGGTTGCAAGCGCGGAACCTAGGTGTTCCATGGTTCTAGAGGGTTAAGTTGGGCGTGTGAGCGAGTTTTCAGCTGATATTTTTGAATGAACTTGAGAACTAGATTGTTGATTACTTACGTGATAGGAGTCCAGTTCTTTAACTGGTTGGCACTTGCCACGATCTTATTCTCTTGTAAATTGGTTCCCAACCATCTGCCATCAGCGTCAGCCATAAATCACTTTGACAGACTGCGTAAGATGAACCTAAAATTTCTCGATTCGATCTTATGGAATTAGGGATACTCACCCAAACTTAAAAGACATGATGAAAGACCCAGTCCATACGTGGGTGATACCCACACCGAGCTCCTTAGCAATTCGCTCGGTCTCCAGAAAAGGTTCCATGAATGGAAGGTGAGGATAATCATCAGCACTTAAGGGAATGCTGAACCTTGCAGGGATGAAGGTAATGAATCCAGGGGTCTTGGACAAAGCCCGCACAAAGTTTATTTGCAAATGAATGGCTGATATGGGAAGAGCCGAGCTTCGTTTTATCAGCATCACGGCACAAATACCACTGAAAACATATAAGGGAAAGTATGATAAGCTTACATTGCGGCATTCACCGCACGGACGGCCGCTTGAATATTTTCGATGGAGCCCTCGAGATCAATCTCACGTACTTCTACGCCTGAGCCTAAGTCAAGGTCTTTTGGTGGGCTGCCTGGACGATGTAGAACAACCAAAATCAGCTTGCCTGTCTTGTGTGCAGGAAATAAGTGTTTGAGAGTCGCTGAACCGACATTTCCGTTGGGCGCCAGGAGGGCAACAGTGTGAACCATTGTGAGATATTCGTATGAAGTGGCAAGTGAGAAAAGATAACAGGATGGCTTGGAGGAAAAGGTCATCGAAGATCATGAGATACACCACAATATATACCATGAATCTGATGGCAATCACATGAGTCAAATCCTAAGAAATGTAGTCTAGGTCTCTTAACGTATGATGTGACTGCTTATCAATGCACTTTGAAGGCTACAGTCTCAGCAAACCCTGCTGAAATAAACTGAGCCCATCAAAATATCACGCAACTACGGATAAACTGAAAAGTAAATGATCTAGAGAGTAAATAACACTGCATGGCAGGGGCTTCTTCTTGCCATTTCAGGGAATGTCAAATTAGAGCACAGATGATACTCCGTAGGTGGAGCATCTATTCATGGAACCATGCTAGTGCTCAGCTGTAGGACAGGGATCTCTTTTTCCCATTTTCGGCAATGGTTGGCTTTTAGCGTGAGGGCGGCCAAACGGTGACAACCTCTGAACAGCCGAGGCTTACAAATACGTACCTACTGAGGGTGCTATGTTATGTCTGATTACAACAGCTGTCGTTTCTTCATCGGATAAGGATTTGAGGGTGGGGAAGGAGGCAACGGTGAAGATAATATGTGGCTGCGGTATAGTGCGCCCTAAATTTGATCAGGTATAATATTTCCTCTCGCAGCGTTGAAACTTAAAACCCCAACTTCTGAGGGAAAGATTCGATCAGCAAAGATTATCTTTCTTGCCAATTCCAATATTTTTTCAGAACCCTTAACTCCAAGTTCCTCGGCTAACTTGTCGATGTATGAGACATATGCTCTCATATGCGCTGAGTCTATCAAGGCTACATAAACCACACACCAAAGCTCAAGGTCTGGGAACTCAGACCCAGAGTGGGAACAGAGGAGCATTCTGAATCTCTCCTGAAGATAAATGAGCTCGTCACTCGGAAATGAGAAGGTTTGTTTGAGCCGCGCCAGAATAACCAACAAGGCAATCCGGGCCATTTCTAGCGAGTAGTCACCGGAGCCACCATAATTTCTGCCAATTACTCCCCTTGGCTTTGGCATTGATAATAGTGAATGTGTAATAGGAGTTATCAAAGATGCTCCTTGCGATGAACTGTTCCAAACCTTATCATTGTGAGCTTTGTGGCCCATAAAGTCCACAAGGATTCCAAAACTCTTGAGAGCTCCAGCGATCTCATGGTTCCCAGATCGTGTTAGCCTCTCGACAATTCTAGTCAATGGGTAGGATATTGTCCCCTCGGGTGGCGATTCTGCCATCAGATGTGGAGGAATGGCGTATCTGGGGATAGAATCTCGTGAGGATGATTCGAGAACATCGAACCTTGATAAGTTAGATAATGTAGAGTGGTAGGGGCCAAATTCAAGTTTGTTACCAAAATATAAGCAGTGAGATCATTTGATCAAGACTTCCAAGCCCTCCGCGGGCCTTCACAGCTCTTTCGAGACCATATAGGTGAACGGCCCGACGATCCCAATTCCCCAAATGCGTCTTCAGATGTTTAGCATTAAGTCCATGTCAATGAGGTCCAGCGGGAAAGGTCACATACCTCATGGCAGGCAAGCCCTAACATAGTGTACATCAAGCCAGGGCTAATTCGAGGAGCCTCCTTTTCTAGTCTTGTGATAACCTGGCTCAAACATACACCAAGATACTTACTCGACTCTTGGTTGCTTTCCTTCTGTGTAAGATGGTTCTGTAGAAAGGCTGCATTTGCCAGGTAAAGGTAGAACGCAGCGGGGTCGGCAGTAGCCAATAAGTATGATTCATGTCGAAATGGTATGAAATGAAGGTTGCCCGCAACCTGCACTACTGATAATCAGCATCAAAGTCCGAGACATGTGCGCAGAAGAGTATACTAAAATGAATAAGTTGGCGGGCCCTGGTGCTCGTTTCGACGGGATATGTACCCAAAAACGCAATATGAGGTGCTATTTGCTGCTGTGGGCGTTGAGATAAAGATGGTTGATTTTGACCGAAGATAGTGGTTGTGTTTGGATGGACATCAACGGATACAGTCGGGTTTCGGCGCGGCTTCAGTCGTAACTGGCCTGCCGCTCCCATGGCATGACGACGAATCTTGTTTTGAGTCTCCTTGTCCTTAAATCCATTAAGATGGGATATATGAACGAAAGAAAAAGTTTCTCGACGATGCTTCTTCCTCCTGACCATAGTGAAGAGCTATCCTCGCTGTTCTGATTGTGAGAGCATGCATGAAAAGGAGAGGAAATTCTGATTTGTCATTTGGAAATGCAGCGATACCCGTAATAGGCTTAAAGCACCCATGCATGAAATCCGGGCCCGCAAAGGGTAAGCGTGCGTAAGCAGTCTGGCTCTCTATGTATATAAACTTATTCACAGCTACATATTCCCCGCCCCCTCATCTCTCTCTTCTTCCTTCTTCAGGATTACATATAATATCGTTTATCTCTCTGTAAGCTGTAGAATCTAGCCGACCCTGTTTGTCGACCTTGCTCAGCCACGCTAGAGACTGTCATTGGTTCCTTTATTATCTTCTGCCACTCTTACATTCATCCCCGAGGCTTACAGGTGCAACAAGATGCCAGAGATCAACTTCTACGATCCTGTTTGCCCTGTGCCCGAGGCTCGTCAGAAAGAAGCAACTAAAGCGCTAAACAAGGCCGTGGATCAAGCTGATCTCGAAAGATACCCTTACATTGACATTGCGTATGCCTCTCCCGCGACTCTTTATGGAGTTGGTGCTGACCGTAACTCTCTTCTAGTTTCGGTGATGGCGGTTTATTCACTTACCGCTGTTACTCTGATCCGGAGAAGAAGATCGGCCAGCAGGGTCCTTCAGGCGCGTGCAAGATTTAATAGGTAGCCCAGCTTTCAGCGGTCTAGTTGCAATAATGTTATACCCTCTGGGCTGCCGATAAAACCCTGTGCTTTGCTTTGCTTGATATGGTGAATTAATAAGGGTATTACAACGCAATATTTTACCACTCTAGGAATCTGACGGAGCTAACAAATAGAACGAACTATTCCAGCTCGGGATTTTTTTCGGAGAAACTCTGTTCATTCATAGAAGTTAGAACTAATACCTATATAGGTCAAGTTTGAGAGCCTTTTGTTGGTTCCTCATCGATTCATTCATTCACCATGGAGTACGCGCCATCAACCCAGAAATCGTATCTCCACCGCATGGCCCCCGAGCTGATTTGCGCTATATTATGCAGTGTAGAAGGCCTTGATGGGTTACTCTGCGCTATCTTGAGTTGTCATTTGTTCTATAGTGTATTCTCTAGGACGCCGTCCGCCATTATACATCAAGTCTTTTTCAACGAGCTGAATACGCACCATGTGCGCCGTGAAGCAATCGCTACGCTCTACGCCTCGAAACTAGCCCTAGTCAACCCGACGATTTCGATAATCCGGGTCTTCTTCCAAGACCATTTCCAGCAGAGGAAGGAATTCGACACCCAGCTCACAATCGAAGAGGCAGCTGGGGCCTCGAGACTACACGCTGTGGTATCCAGCTTGGCCGAGGACTTCTCCAAGACGACATTCCCAGAACTTGCTGCGGCCTGTGGGCACGCTTCTGATACTCTAGAACTTCTAGCTTCTGAGAAGGCACGGATAATGCGTGCGCTGTACATGGCTGAGACCTTCTTCAACCTCTTCCGCACCACCTCCAGCAACATAACAGAGGCCGTACAACGTCAGTGCATGAACGAATTCCTTGTTCATTTCGCACCCTTGGAGATTGAGCAGCTTGCCTGTATCCATGATTTTCTCTTCCGCAAAGTTTCTCCAGGTAAGATAGCAATCCCGCGGGTCTACAAAAGCTAACCGATCTACCACTATTTCACAGTTTTCAATGATGTGGCAGCTCATGATGTTCTTTGGGGAGAGTTCCAGGTAGAGCCTGCTCTGTGGCTCGGCTCGCCTGAGCTGCAATTCTTTCTCTTCAAGGGCTTAGGTGCCATAAGGAGGATAGCGGCAGCAAAGACGTATGCGGAACAACAAAAGCTCTTCAACGGCATTCCAGGTACCCGACACCTCAATCTTCATAGAGCACTGAAAGACTTCAGCTACAAGGAGTCCACCACAGAAGACGATTCGATTCCCAGCTTCGCAACGTCGGAGGACTATGACCAAGGCCCGTTTTTAATATGGAAGCGGGCCCAGAAACTAGGAACTCTAACGAACCGAGCGATGCTACGGAGTTTGGGATATGTGATGTGGAACCAGGAGCGTCTCGACAATTTGGGCATCTTGCAGGAGCAAGAATGGCAGCTGCAGCGCCTGGTCAGAGATTCTTTACCCAACGATAGTCCGGTTCATGAGGTCACCGATGAGAGATGGCTGGCGTCATGGCGAGAGAGGTCGCGCATACACGAGCAAGGGGGCACAGGGTGGTGGGATTTTGATGATGAGTCACAGGTTGTATGGCCGGAACGGAAGAGGAGATCAACTACCGACAACACGCCAACATCGTTGGACGAGGCCAAAAGAGCTATCCTTGCGTTGAAACGGGTTTGACTTTGTACTTATCCACGAACTCAATGTATCTGTTGGATTAATTTCCGTTTTCCCATGACGCTTGGATGTTGGTTGAGTGTTAAGTTATGATAATAATCAAAGCTAATACACAGTAAGCATAAATCACTTAGTATAACTAATAGGGAATCATGTTGCCCTGTAAAAGAATAGGTTAAACTCCAGCCTTTGGACAGTTGATGAGTTCCAAGATGTGTGTACATGATCTTCAAGAGTATGAAACAACTTTAACTAATGCGCAACGAAAATAGAGCTGGATCAATTGATACTAAGAGACACCCCTTTGACGGCCTCTTTCACTCTTTTAATTAAGTCTTGTGAAAGAATTTCTGATTCGGGTAGAAATGGAATTATCCAGAAGCAATGTGGCAAGCCATCAAAGTGTTTTGTATCCACAGCAACTCCAGAAGCGGAGAGAGCACTACTCAATATCTTCCCATCATCCCGCAGGGGATCATTCTCGCAGGTAACGATATGGGTTGATGGAAACCTTTTCAAGCTCTCGGGATCTAAAACCGGGTAGTAGTTCTTGTCATTAGGCTGGAGGCCAGCACAATTGTACATCTCTAGTAGGCATGCTTTGTCGATTATGGGCACTCTTTCCTTGTGCTCTTCGAATGAAGTGTATAGACTCTTGTACTCCGTAGGAACATTCGAAGGATGGATAACCAACGGGCAGAGGGCGAATATGCCTTTCACTGTGTCTGCGGGAATGGTAGACTGGCCAAGGACAATCTTTCGAGTAACCGCCAGTGCTAATGCTCCGCCGGCGGAGGTACCAATGGTGAACATTCGTGAGGAACATACTCCGATTCTCTTCGCGTTTTTGTATATCTATATTGTGCATACTAGGTTAGGATTTGGTTTCACCTCCTCGAATATAGGATTCGGGTGTAACTCACCCACTCAAAGTTGGCCAGGGCATCTTCGAGTTGCGCAGGCGCTTTATGCTCGGGAGACAGCCGATAGTGGACACTGGTAACTGCAATATTCGCGTCGGCAGAGACTGTGCGACAAAAATCGTCTTCAGAATCCAAATCACCCACGACAAAGCCGCCTGAGTGGTAGAAGACCCCCACAGGGGCATACTCTCCCTCGAAAGAGTTTGGGATATAGATTCGGATCACGATGCCGTTGATATTTTCGTCTTTTACATTGAGATTGTCCCAAGTTCGAGTTCTTTGTGTTGCGAGAAAAGAAATTAGCCCAGAGAATTGGGTTCGCATCTCCTCAGCCGTGCCTTTCAAGACAGGCCGAACGCCCCCAATACTCTCCTCAAACTAGCAGTTGTGTTAGTCTCTCCAGGTTATTCGTCTCAGGCAACTCTATAGGTATTTACTCACTTTGTGCCAAGAGTCCAAGTAGACAGTCATTGTTGGGAAACGATCAGTTGCTTTGTCTTTTGTGTTTTTCTGTTTTATGAGCCGGCTTTCAGATCACCAATATGATTTGGAATGAACATGATTTAGAAGGAGGCTATTTAGACCTAATCTGCTTCTTCCATCGCCATCATCGTAGTCTGCCGATGCCGTCTTTCCACCGGGATCTAGGCTAAATATGGTTGATAGCCCAACTGCATCCGAAAACCCACACGTGGTACCCTTCATCCGCCGGTATCCGATGGCATTCCGGCCAGTGGGATGCCAACAAATTACGTTTCCTGAGATTTCGGATGTCATCATGAGACTAAGACCTGTTAAGCATTGCATTTTGTTGTTTCAGCTCGGATTCGCAAGTGGGTTCTCCTTATACCCGGTAGAGTTGGATCCCACTTCTATCGGCATATTGTCGTAGTGCCGGGAAGCAAGCGTTGATCCTGGTGACCTCGTGGCGTGAGGAACACCCCAGCAGCGGCGCATTGGTTGTGTTTCGTGGAGGAAAAGGGAACCGCCGATTTTCAATGGCATCCTCCACGGAGCATGCTATGATCTGGATGTCATAAGAACGGTATGCTGCGCAATTGGGAGTGTAACAAATTAACACTTGATCACCTGCAGTTTACATTGCATATCATTTGCTTCTTATCCTGAAATTGAACCTATCAGTCTCCCCAGAGTTGGTTCTATCACATCAATACTATGGCCCCTATTCCTAAAGAAACCGTGCTTGACGCTCTCATCGTGGGAGCCGGCTGTGGAGGGGTCTACCAACTGAAACACCTTCGTGATGTTGGATACAAGGTCAAACTAGTTGACATTGCTAGCGACTACGCCGATGTTTGGTATTGGAATCGTTATCCGGGCGCCCGTGTCGACAGTGCCGTCCCTCTCCACCAGTTTTCAGACCCAGGCCTCTGGAAGGAGTGGAACTGGTCACAGAGGTTTCCGGGAAGTAAAGAACTACGCGATTACTTCACTTTTGTTGCCGACAAATGGGATCTTCGCAAAGACACAGAGTTTAACGTCTACATTTCAAAAGCTACTTGGGACGATGAGACAGCAACCTGGACGATCGAAAGCGGGGGAGGGAATATTTACCGCGCGAAGTATTTCCTTCTTAACACCGGGTTTGCGGCTAAACGATATACCCCCGACTGGAAAGGCATTGACAAGTTCCCTGCATCTGCATGGGTCCATCCCTCGTACTGGCCCAAGGAGGAGCCCGACTTGACAGGGAAGAGGGTCGCTGTGATTGGAACCGGCTCAACGGGTGTTCAGCTGGCCCAGGAGCTCAGCCAAGTAACAAATCAGTTTATTTTGTTCCAGAGAACGCCAAATATGGCCCTTCCTATGAAACAAGTCGACTATACGAAGCCTCTGACGAAGGAGAAATACCCCAAGGTATTTGACGGTCGTTATGAGAGCTTTGGGGGTTTTGACTTTAGTTTTCTTCCTCGAGGCACTTTCGACGATACACCTGCAGAAAGGGAGACGGTGTATGAAGGGTTGTGGAGCCAGGGCGACTTTCAATTCTGGCTTGCTACATATAATGATATGTTGTTTTAGGAGGATGCAAATAAGGAGGCCTATGACTTTTGGAAGAAGAAAGTCAGAGCGCGAATTCAAGACCCACGCCTACAAGAGATATTAGCACCAGAAACACAACCCTACAGCTTTGGCTGTAAGCGGATATTTCTGGAGAATGGATTTTATGAGATATTCAACCAATCTAACGTCTCACTTGTTGACGTCAACTCTACACCTATCGTCGAGGTTACAGAGCGAGGAATCAAGACAACAGAGAAAGAATGGGAATTCGACTACGTTGTCTGCGCAACAGGATTTGACGCGATTACAGGTGGTTTGATGAACATCGATATCCAGGGCCAGGGGGGACAGAACATCGCCGAAAAGTGGAAGTCAGGGGCCAGGACATACCTCGGTATGGCTACGGCTGGCTTCCCTAATATGTTCTTCACGTACGGGCCCCAAGCGCCTACAGCCCTATGCAACGGTCCCACATGTGCGGAAGCACAAGGGAGCTTCGTCCTCAAGGTAATGGACCATATGAAAGAGAGGAAACTGCAAAGAGTAGAGGCAGGAAAGACTGCAGAGGCAACCTGGGGCGATGACGTTCGCAAATTTGCTAATATGTCTCTACTCCCATCCACAAAATCGGTAAGTAGCTGTCATGCATCTATTTCACTCGTCGAAGTTGAGATCTGAATCTAATAACACCTGCAGTGGTATATGGGTGATAACATCCCAGGAAAGACCTAGGTAGGTACTCCAAAAGAGACCACTACCTGCTACGTAAGGCCGATATACCGGTACTGAGAGGGGTCCTCTTCAAAGTATGTTCCCAGCTTGATATCGCATGGCTTCAAGGCTTTCTGATAGTAAACTGCCTCCATGGCGGCTTTTTCCATAATAAGGCGAATTAGCTTTTTGTTCTTGGGTCCATGAACTACACTCACTACCGCCTTGATATACTCTCTCGTCTTCATTATCAGTTGTTCGTTCATTTCCACGTCTTCGCCGTATCTTATTGTTCGGCAGGCGAAACTTGCTCTCACAGTGCAGCAACTGCGGATGTTATGCTCGACAGCGATTAGATCGAGTGTGCCTGGATCGAGTTTGTCGAGCTCCTTGCGGACTTGCGACATGATGACATCAACACTCTCTAAAACCCTTCGTTCCTCTTGTCTGCGGATTGGCTTGAAAGGTGTGTCGTGAAGATCTTCGTAAAGGGGAAGGAAGGGTGGAGGGCCATTTGGATGGATCTTTTGCCCCAGCATCGGATGTTTGGGCTTGGCGTCGGCCAGTTTCTCGGTTTGTTTGCCGAATCGCAACCAGGAAGGAAGGCACCACTGTATGCCGGTCTCATTGGAAGTCCCCATTCTCGTTGAGGCGGCGCCGCTGTTCGTGTCGATGACGTGCTTATCAGTTGTGTTCTTGTGCGGATGGAAGGAGCGAAGAAAACGAGGCGGGATAGGTTGAGGGACCACGCCCACCAACCATATGAGCGAGGCGTAAGGTGCTTTATGGACCTGTGGAAAAGCACAAGTTTATCATGGTTTGCGCAGCAGTCTTCGAAGGTAGCCGCTAATTGTGCATGTCTCTTTGACTTAGGCGGTCAAGGTTCAAGCCTTGTGCCTTGGTTATATGTTTGTGGCGCATGGAACACTCGCTAAGAAGAGCATCTGCCTCGCTCCCAAGTTCAAAGCCCAAGGTAAGGTGCCTAGGTAATTCTAGGTGGGTACGTAGGCACTTTGGTTCTGGCACAGTTGAGGCAGTTGTGCGGGTTGGATGCGTATCTCCAGAGGCAAGAAGCAGGTGTGGATCCTCGTACGAGTCACCAGACCTCAGATCAATGCGCCTTCCCTCCTCGATGTTTGTACCTGAGGCAGCCAAAGACACTACAGAAACTTGAAGGTAGGAGAGATGGCCCACCAGATCACATGGCGGCCCTCTTTCTCTGCTCTACTGGTGATTCTGTATTTCCCCCTCGCTCTCTTCCATTTGCCCCTTCATCACGCTGTCTTCGCATCAGTCTCTTCTCATTCAAGTTCCGAGAGTCATCAAGTAGACTTCGCCTTTGTCATACGCATCCCTCGTCAATGCCAATCTTCTCATTGCTACGATATCCATCATGAAAGCGTTTGCCGCGCCTTTCCCCAGCCATGGCAGTTTTTCAAAGCGCCCTTTCAGTCATTCGATGAGCTCGATCCGCCGTTGCATCTCTCTAGGCGTTCACACACACACTTCCATTTGAGCATCAGAGACTCGATCACCATAATTCTACAAGCATATCTCTCGCCCTGCGTGCTCCACCGCTCAACAGAGCCAAGCCTGCCCTTCCTGACGATGGTGAGCTGAACGGAAACACCCTCCAGTAGCTGCCCGGCGAAATGCGCAAGAACACTTTTCCCAAAGCACTGCGAATAGCAAGCTATTTCGGCCTGTCGCAGATGCTCAAGTTGCATTGCCTTGAGCAAAACCAGTCCACCTTTTGCTACACGTGGTGTTGTAACCGCAGTTATCTAAAGTGGCTGAAGTATGTTGTGTTTCTCCAATGATCCTAGCCTTTCATTACAAATTCTGACTTTCTGGAGGCATTTTGGCTTTGATTTGGCCCGTATCTCGCATCTCGCCAGTCGATTCTCGTCTCTCGTCTGTCATTTCTGATCTCTCGTCCATGGTCTCTCCTCTCTCCTCTCTCCTCTCTCGTCCGTCGTCTTTCGTCTTTCGTCTCTTGTCTTTCGTCTCCACCTCTCAGCTCTCGTCCACGGCTCTGCCCAGTCGGCTATCGCTCATCGCTCATCAACGGTTCCTTGTTGCTCACCCACGCCTCTGCTAAGTCACTTGTCGCTCATCGTTCATATTCAGCTGCTTGTTGTTCGTCCATGCCTCTGCTCAGTTGCTTATCGCCCATCGCCCATCGTCGGTTGCTCGTTTTTCGCCCCATACTTCTTCTTCTTCTGCAGATAAGTAAAATCTTTGTCAGTGTGTGTCTGTGTGTCTGCGTGCTGTGTCAAGTGTGTGGTAAGTGTGCGTGCTTCGACCATGCTGTTCTCTCTTGTGTGGCGCATTTATTCTTCTACTTCTACTTCTACGTCTACTTCCTCTTCAACTTCTACTGCGTCAAGTTCTACTCCTGCGTCAAATTCTACTCCTACGTCAAATTCTACTCCTACGTCAACTTCGGCACGAATACCATCATCGAGACCAACGGCAAATTCTACATTTCCGCTCTGAGACATCTCTCTTTGGGACCTCTGCTGTTGGACGGCCACTCAGTGCCAAAACGACCAGGAGCGTCTCACCTTCCTCCAATTCATTCAAAGAACAATCTTCTCGCGGGGAACGGCCAATGCGCAAGGCACTGCAAAATCTTTCCAGTCTCCCTATGGGGCAAGATTGTGCATTTCCGCATTTTGCATCACGGCTCACTTCTTGAGCTCCAAGACTCAAACTTCTTCCCGGACCGCTGCTGATACCTTCGCCCAGCGAGTACTTTCCAGGATGATCAAGGAACTTGCATCACGGAGCTCGCCGTCCTCTACGGCACTTTCCATTATCATGCCATTTATAGCTACGAACAAACCAACGGACGACAGCTTCATACCAACTCGCAAGATCTGGTGACTCATGCGCTGCCCACTTCGAGGTCGACTTGATATCACCTAACCAAATACTCGGACGTGGGGTTATTGTACACCTTATCGGACAAGTTCCTATTTCCCTACCAAAGAGAGTTTGAGTGTGAAGTTGAACAGCAATGGAAGATGCCAGAGCAGGCCATCTCAACACAATGAATAGTTCCTACTTTATTCCGTTTGCAGTGACCAGGTACCCCGCCGTCAATACCTTGGAGCACAACAACGAAGTAGATTTGGCTTCCCCAAGCCAGCTTTCAGGCCTTCCCTCTATGTCAATTCCACCGCAGGGCTCCATGCCGAGGCCAACTACGAACTCAGGAAAACTCGTGATTCTTGTGACGGAACAGGGCGAATGTGAGAGAGTATGGAAATGGTCGCACACAAGCAAGATGAAACTTGACAGTCTGTTGATGTGGTGGCAGAACTAAAAGATGCTGTCTGGCAAAGAAAAGAGACACAATGCGCACGACAACCCACATTTTTATCAAACTCAGTTGGTTGGGTCAATTCCAGAGAGTTTGATGGCCCAATGACCAAAAATTTAGAGAGACCGGTTGGTTCATCTACCAAAGCATGCAATACAATTGGAGGGAGGGTTGAACATTATAATTTCACTCCGCGAGAGACGAAGCTGTATCTAGGTCTCTAAATTCGACCCAATGTTTATGAATACATATCGAAAGTGTATTGACATGAGACTGTGTATGAAGGTGCCGCCAACGTTTTGCTACTACGGGCAAGTAGATCACGGTATTGTCATGTTAAGCGTTCCTCCACATCGAGCCATGATGACCCGTTCGTGTATGCTCACATGAACACATGAATGATCTTCGAATGCATAACCCTACATATCACTTATGAGTGCAAAGCATTTTTAACCTGGTAAGGCTGTATGCTACCAGCACAGTCAATCTCGAACCCCTGGCATATATTCTGGTTATATGGTTAGCCTTGATACCTCGTGGGTTTATGAAGGGGGGGGAGAGGATTTTCTGCCTCACTGCTGAATACAGGCCTCCAGCCAATCATCTTGGTGATGCTTTGGTCGCTACTCGGAGCCCTTGGTATTTATCAGTTTCACAGAGGCTTAGATTCCTCAGATTATTATCTTAAATTAGATAAGGTAGTAATAAGTGGTATTTAGTAAGTGAAGTAAAATACGGAACACCCAACAAATCCAGACGGTCCAAACTATGAACACCATGCTTCCATTAAGGGGATAGTGTTGCAGAAACGGATTCATGTACCACTTTTCATTACAGGCTTCAATGGTGTTTCAATTATTAACGATAAAGTATACATGTCTGACGTGCCAGCGGTGCTTAAACTCGAGAGCTCTTCTCCTAGATTCAAAAGCTGAGGGTGGGAAAACAAGGCCAACAGAGCCTCGTCACTAATTTCATCACCCCAGGATGCTATCTGTGCTTTCATTATCCCTGTGCGCTCGAGTCTTCTCCGGCTTTTGCATGTTAATATTCACAGCCATCCCGTCGGCGTCCAAGCTTTTGTTCTGAGAATTTTCGTTCCCTATGCTGTGGAGCTTGTAACCGCGGCCATGGCTCTTTCGCGACCAGTGTCCCGTCGAGATGTCGTGACCAGGGGTGTTGGATGCGCTCCCTGATGAGAGCCCCAGTATGGTGAGGAGCTTGGGTAAGTAGGCCCGGAGGAAAGGCTTCATGCGCATCAAGTTGCTGCACAGGATACCGAGGTTGAGCTCGACCAGTGACCAGACACCAGCCTCGGCTTGCCTTCGAGAAAAGTTTGGGTCGGTGGCCATGATTTTGACGTATGGGGCTCGAGCGACGGAGGCGAGTAGGACCCTGTACAGAGATGTGAATCAGCATGTTTGAAGATACGCGAGGATATTTCGTTGGAAGTACATACGCAGAACCGAGGCTCAAGATAGCTCCAGCAACAATCTTCTTCCGGAAAGGCATCTGAAGCTTGTAGAGCGTTGGAATGGGCAGTATGATAATGGACAGGTCTGTCGCGATATTGAGCACGACCTGAGAAATTGCCAGATTGTTGAGGCACGTGCCACCACCGACATTCTTGGGATTGCAAGGACCTGACAGAAGGCCAGTGAATGTTATGGTATATATAAGAAGCATCCCAGACACGATATACACGCCGAGGCGGAAGTGTTGTACCGAGCTTATTCGCCAAAGTACGCTTAAAATAGAGAGTTTGCTAAGAGTCGGACTCCACATGTAGGTTAACGTTGTCGGCAGCAAGTACTGTATTTCTAGAGTCAGAAAATTAAGACAATTTCTCGATTATTTCATGATTTACTTACGTTGTAGTACCCTGTGAGGTCGTTGATGCTGATATCCCATGCGTCCGATCCCCAACCATATTTCATTGCGAAACAGACCGAGATGAAATATCCCATAGAACAACCCCATGCTAATGTAATGAGAACTAGATTTCCACTGCTGTTAGCACAGCATGTCACTTGGAGCTCAGAGCAGCATTTCGCTTTCCACGTACCGACATCGACCTCCAGGGCCCGGACCACCGCAACGCTCGTGACATATCGAATGGCCAAAGACGCAGTCGCAAAGAAGTAAGTAACGCTGAACACTATTATAGTGGCCAATTGGACCGATGAGAGAGGTCGACTAAAGTCCGAGGTCACTCCGTCCGGCGGTTGTAACACTGGGGTCGTGTATATATCGATTTCGGGGCTCAGGGCTTGCATTGTATCGGTAGGTCTCCCTATTTGGCGCCAAACATCTCAGAGACAGACTTGAAAATTGACATCGATTCCACAATTTAGCTACCGAATGCGTAGCAGCATACATATATATTCGTATGTGTTCAAACAAGTAGACAAGGTTCCTCCTCGTCAACATGTCTCCTTAGCCACAGGGATCCCATGGTATATACTGTGTGAAAGTGGCGGATCAAAGCCGGCCCTTAACTGGAGACTGAAAAGCTCTTCCCTGAATGTGGATGTTCGACCTCCTGACTTGGGTGTAAGCCGCGGAACCCGTAGCTCTTAGCCCCTACATACCGAGTACGACAACTCCACGGCATTGTGGCATCAATTGGAAAATCACGAAACAAAACTTGACCCTCCGTTTGGCCACTTTTCAATAATCCAACTGGATTAAAGCCTGCTTACAGAGTACGGCGTACCGGCATTCGCCATCACCAAAATTCTCTCTGTTGGTTGTATGAGAGCCTATCACATCAACCAATCACGTTCCAAATTTCCAAGAGCAGGGTACGCACGCCTTATACATATTACGTGGAGCAGTTTGATTATTGGCAACCCAGGGGCAAATATTTATCTCATAGTATTCATTATTAGCAACGGTTCGTTTTCAAACAGCCCCTGGCAACCTGGCCCGGTCAGCTTATCACACCCTTCCCCTGCTGTGTTTGTTAAAATGGCGGGCAATCTTGCCACATAAGGAAGGTCAAACGTTAAGATTCGCCGTTTAAGTGTAGCTCTCCCTTCTTTTAGCCTGGATGCGGCTCCGGCGTCGGCAGTTGTGGTTCAACGGGTCTGTTTCGCCTTGGGTCGCGTACGCCCTCAGATGAGAAGAAAGCTACTCCCCCTGAGTGGGTGCCGGCAACGAAGCTCTCTCCACATGCTGGAGCCCATCGCGTATAGTATCACCGCTACTTGTAGCCCAGTCCAACTTGCTACTGGACAAACGTACCCTGGCCGCATTTTGTCGCCCCTGTTGGTCGACATCCGCGCTATTGGTGACCTTCATGCGGGTCACAAAGTCGTATGTTATCTATCGGGGTTCGCCCGGCACCCTGGCAGTGAAGCTGTACCGCAGGCTATTACAAATTTCATCGGTTCAAAAGGAGTAATAAATCGTCATCTCCCCTTGTGTTGCAGGACCTCGGCCAACTCTGGCAACTCGATCCAACCCAAAGCCATCAAGATGCTCAACACATTGGCCAAAACCACTAAGGCTCCTCGGAGCATTTTCAACTCTGAGAAGGCGTTCCCTATGACGCCAGAAGAAATTACCTCGGAGTGGCTCTCTGAAGCATTGGGCGTGCCTGTCAAGAGCTTTAAGATCACGAATGCTATCCATGGCACGGCTTCCAAAATCTTTCTCGATCTGGAATTCCAGGATGAGGACTCAGCCCGGGGAATTCCCAGCAAGGTTTGCGTCAAGGGCGGATTTAACCCTGTCATTCTCCAAACTGTCCCCGAGATGTGGGCTACTTATCGTCGCGAGGCGGAGTTCTACCACTACATTGCACCACAGACCAACATGTTACTTCCCAAGACTTGGTTCACAGGCACGGATAAAGTCAATGGCCAGGGCATCGTCATCATGTCGAACATGTCAGAGGAATGCAAGTTCGGCATGCCTTTGGAACCTTGGACTCCGAAGCTTGTTGAGCGGGCCCTGAAGCAGCTGGCGAGCCTTCATGGAAAGACTTGGAATAGGAGTGAAGAGGAATACCCTTGGTTGTTTGGCAAAGATGGAGTCAAATTAGAGAACCCAGTCCGTAAAATCGTGCTCGCGCTTCTTCATCCTGCACCATGGGGTGCCCGGTTCGATGAGAAATGCCGTCCTCCCGTGGCTGAGTCTCTGCTTGATCGAGAGCGCATCCAGCGAGGCTTCGAGGCCTTATGGAAGCACGCCGATGCTGATCTCAAGTTCTTTTCCCTCATCCACGGCGACGACCACATCGGAAACACCTTTATTACAAACGATGAGACACCCGGTTTCATTGATTGGCAAGGTCTGCAGTACGGCCCTGCTATCTTAGACCTTGTCTACTTCCTTGTCGGGGCAATGTCTGTCAAAGATCGCCGAGCACATGAGGGTCATCTCATTGATAGCTACCTAGAGGCACTACATACAGAGGGAGGACCCAAAATGACGCGAGAGGATATATGGGATGAGTATCGTCGGTATGCCATGCAGGGTTTTCTCTGGGCCATGACGCCTCAAACAATGCAGCCCGACGATGTTGTTTTTGCTATGAGCGAACGGTACTCTGCGGCGCTGGTTGATCATCAGACGCTCGAGCTTTTGGGAGTTTAAAGGAGACATTTTGGAACATCATGAGTAGTGAGATATATCCATCAAATAGCCAATTCCTGCTGGAGCTTTTCATAGTTTGAACAACGCTGTTCACTTGGTGCTAAAATCCTCATAAAATCATTAATACTCCACATCGCATCGTTAATTACCTTGATGTTTCGTTGATGATAATGTTAACTATTACATTATGTTGGAACTAGCTAATAGTAGCCTTTGTCGTGGCGTGTTTTCTATACTGCAGCGGCACTTCAGCGATTTATTGTGATGGTGGTAGCAATATGAATTGCACCATATCTTCCTAATTCATGAAGCTATCGCATTGTCATCCACTGAAAATAGAAGCCTACGTAGGAACTTTAGCATTGAATTCTTCATGAGATTAAGCCTTCAAGTGCAAAGGTTTGTTCCCTAACCTTGCAGAAAGTTTATGAATTCTATCCTAGGCAGTTCCTGAGAAAAGTAATATATAGTTAAGTTTTGCCCGGCTTCCGTGAGCGTACAGTACAATATGACATGAAGAAGGTTTGCGGCGCAACCTCTAAATGACAGACAAGTAAACTCCATTTTGACAACTCTTCTCCCGTATGGCTTGAAATTTACTCGGGAATTCTTTCCTCTGTTCATTTTCTTCCTTACACAATCTCTTCAGTTATCTCTACCATATCATTTCTCAACAACTGTTGACATTCTTTTGGATCTCTTGGGAAGAATTTTCTTGAAAAGTATTGCCAACTACTCTTCCCAAAAAGAAAAACGATTATATTCCACTATCTCTTAGGTTTCTCTCGACCACTTTCCTGAACTTGCCATGTCTTCGGCTGTTTCCCCCAGGGCCGCCCGGCGGGCTACCATTCTGGGAGGTCCCAACACGGTTGTTGGAGCCAGACTTGACGGCAAGGGAGATTTCCATGGGCAGGTAGGATCTCCTCTCACGGATCAATCGCCTTGTTCCAATAGCGCATCAAGTCTCGAGGATGGTTCCGGGTTGCCTCTGGTAGCAAACACGTTTTCCATCCCTAGCGACAAACACCGGACATGCCACTGGGCCGAGACGGCGTTCCTGATGATGGCTGAGTTCGTAGGTTTTGCCATTCTCAGTTTTCCTCATGCTTACGCGACTATGGGTTGGGTTCTTGGAATTGCTGCCACGCTCTTCGTGGGCCTTGGATACTTGTACACCTCGCTCGTTCTCTGGGACCTTTGCCTCCGACACCCCGAGAGTAAGAGTATCTGTGATATCGGCAAGATATTATGCGGAAAGTACGGTGCCATCGGATTTTGGTTCACCGCATGTATGTTTGTCTGCAACAATATTGTGAGTTGATATTCTAATACCTTTTGCATTTGCTGATCGCTAATATCTTGACGTAACAGTGGGTTCAGGTTCGTGTCTCCCCCCCCTTGATATCGCACTCTATCTAAGTCAATTAACCTTCTCTTTCAGGGCATTCATGTTAATCTCGGCGGAAACTTCTTTCAAAACGTGGTATTAAACGGAAAGTCTGTGGGCATCTCTGCTCGGATCCTCGGCGGCCTCGTTGCAACTTTTCTCTGCCTCCTTTGCTCCTTACCTCGAACCCTCAAAGTATTGTCCCGTTTCGCCATGGCCGCTGTCGCTTCCACGGTCACTTGTGTCGTCCTTGCCATGATTTTCATTGTGAATCAGGGTGGCCCTGTTGACTCCTCCTCAGGACAGGCCGAAGGCAGTGCAGATACCGTTATCGCAAAGGGAAGTATGATCGTGTTCTCTGCCTGGCCTTCACCTGAAGCAACCTTTAAGGATATCATGGTGGCTTTCTTAGGCATTGCATTTGCATTCATCGGCCAGATTACACTCCCCAGCTTCATCGCTGAAATGAAGGACCCAAGGTTTGTTAATTTTCTGTTCTTGCGAATATCTTTCACGACTAATATGTTTTACGCAGAGATTTCCCCAAGGCATTATACCTCTCCTCATTCGTGCAGTACTCGCTTTTCATCACATTTGCCCTCTTTATGTATAAGAACATCGGGCTTCGTGATATGACAACCATCACGATCGGAAGCCTTGAAAGGACTCAACTCATTATCTGTTTCTGCTTCCTTCTACCTTCTTTGATTATACTTGGATCCCTCTACGCCACAGTTGCCGGTCTATTCATCTTGAATTCAGTTGAATCACATATCTCAAAGAAACGTACCAAGAATATTGTCTGGGTTGTCATTATCGGTATGCTCCACTCACTCTGCGCAAACCTCAGTCGATGTTTCAAGTCTAACCAATTCTACTTCAGCTCTTCTTTGGGGCCTAGCCTTCACCATCAGCCAAGTTATTCCTCAATTCGATGCTTGTAAGTTTCTTGCGTCATCTATATTACATTCTTTTTGCTCCGCCCTCTAACCTTCTCTCGTAGTGCTCGCCATTGTCGGCGCCATCTTTGACGGTTTCTTTGGGTGGATTTATTGGGGTGTCGCCTGGTTCCGTATGCGGCAAGCTGATATTCATAGGAAGGTGCCCCGCGTATGGGGGCCAAGGATGGATGTTGCGTTGGGTGTCGTCAACTTTTCGCTCATTCTTATCGGCATGGGGCTTTTCCTTAGTGTTGGCTCGTGGGCTTCTTTTGCTTACCTTCGAGATCTTGAGCACAACAAAAACTAAAAGGAAAGACCCGAGCTATTAGACTTCAATCATTAGCGCCTAGCCTAAGCTTGATAGACATGGTTTCGCAACTGTATTCGTCGGGAGGAGCACCAACTTCAACAATGGAGTATCAATCTATCGTTCAATCAATGTGATCAGGCGAGCAAGATATCAATAGGGTTTAGTGATCAAGTCTAGATCCTGATAGAGGCTTCTTAGCCCGGTTAGGCTCGACGAAGTTATTTGAGGTATCATAAAAGTCCAGATCAATGGGTATCAAGGCTCAAGAGAAGCGACGTGGAAGGATTCATAGCCATGTTTTTAGTATTATCAACACGTTCTATTCATGAGGATTCAGGGGTTGGTTTTTTCTCTCCTTCTGAAGGTTGTCCGCCTTGGTTCCACTCCAGTGGCCGAACGCGCATAAACTCGTCCAGCACGGCATCTGTGATGGTGGCGCGACGCTCCTGGTATGCCTTGATAAACTCCTGAAGCTTGACGATACACTTCTTTTTCAGCTGGCCAGTGAGCAATCGACCCGCGATATAGTCTTGGCGAATCTCCTCAAGCTCATCGTCGTCCTCCGAAAAGAAGCTCAGGTACTGGAACGCAACATCAACGTCGGGGTTGCCACCCAGTCTGCGCTGTTCTTCCATTGTCTCTTGACCACCCGAGAAGGCGTACTTGTTGATCTTCTTCTCACTATCATTCCAGCATCGACCAGTCAGCAGTTATTCATGAGGGGCCATAAATAGGGAACAGTATATGACGATGATACGATGCTTACATTTGCTTCATTGTGTCATTCATAAAGATGGCACTCGAGTCAATCGAGGCGCTCATCTTGGAACCGGGACCCTGGAGCGCGGGGAAAAATTTTGAGTGGATAAGGCAGGGCTTTGGGTACCCAAGCTTGGGGGCGACGTCGCGGCAGACGCGGAAGTAGGGGTCTTGGTCGATGGCGCACGGAATCAGCGATGGGATCTTGGCTACTTTCTTCGTGTCGGTGCCAAATATATGCGGGAAAGTGGTAGCGAAAGCCGTGGCCGACTGGACAGAGACATAGTGGTATTTACCAACGCTATCACTAGGGGGGTGTCAGTAAAAGGAGGCGGCCATTGAGGGTTCATCATATCCCACCTGTCAGTAAATCCGAACACCGCCTTGCTGGTGTTCTGTGTGATTTGACGGGAAATCTTGACTACATTCTGGTAAAAGGCGCCGCCCATGAAGTCAAAGTCGCTGAAGAGGAAGGTCTTTTTGACGTCGAAGCCAACGGCAAGAATGTCAGTGGCATTGCCGCGGACAAAGCCTCTCATTTCCTCCAGACTGAACACCTTCTTGCCGAAGATCATCTTCTCATCATCCGTCATCATAATGACCAAAGGGACATCAAATACGTCCTGAAGCCATCTACGGGCACCATGTTAGCAGCGATTCCAGCCCTCCAAGAGACGGATCAAGAACCAACTTGGTGAAGGTAAAGGGCACCATGTGGCCCAGATGCATACTGTCGCTGCTGGGGCCGCGGCCCGTGTATAGAAAGAACGGCTCACGTTTCTCATGGCGTGTCAGAATCCAATCGAGGTCGCGATGGGAGAAAACCAGTTGGCGGCGGAGGAACGGATGCAACTTGTGGCCGGTGACTCGCTCAAAGCGCTCCAGAAGCGCCTTGTCAATGGGCTTCGTGCCAAAGGTGTCGACCAGGCGATTGTAGTCGATGGCCTTGACCTTGCCGTCGACGATCTCGCCGCTGACGCTCCACGGATTCACATCCTGGGCAGTCGCTGCGTTGCTGACCGAAAGGTCGGCCATAGCTGAATTGACGGTATCCCCCATGCCGCGATTGATGAGTGCTGGTGATGCGAAGCCGCTAAGAGTATCAACAAGCAATCAGATGTGTTGTGCAGAGAAGCATCGCGGGAAATGTAGAGTTGAGTCACGTTTGCCCTCATCCTGAGGTCCCACATATCCTCTGGTTTGAGCCTCTGATTGGCCTGCCTCAACACTACCCCTCCAGCCCACTATGATACTGAAAAGTGCCGCCATCAGTTGAAGTTAGGTCCCGGGGCACGTGATGACCCCTCCATCATCAGCCACAGCAATCAGCCACCCTCCGCCACACGCCGCGCGGAGTATATCGCCTGGGTCTTTCACCTTCCAGTCTACATTTGCTTCAATCACAAGTAGGCTATAGGCAATAATATTCGTCGCTTTGATGATGTTTGAGTGCTCAATAGTGCTCAATATCCCCTGTGTCTTCCATATTGCGTATGTGAATACCGTTGTAACCAACTCAGGTATACCATTACAGGATCGAAATATGCATGTATACCGACCTAAATATATATTTTATTATCATTGAGCCTAGGTTCTGGTTCAAGCATTCCGCTTTGAAACCCATACAGAATATGGGCCTGGCATAAAACTGCTTTGGGAAATACACACCCGATGTTCCCTTATACAATCGAGCAAAAGCATCCAAATGCCCCATATGGAAACATTGCAGTAGAATCTTGAGCTTCCGATGTTCTTGATGGCCGATTCGGCTCCTCTGTGATAGATCGTACAATGACCAATATGCGTGCAGCGCGCGTACCCAACGGGAGGTTTCGCGATCCTACGCAAATAAGCCAGAGATATATGAGTGGCGGGTCTCTTTCCTAAATCCGCTACAACCCCAGAGACAAGATTTAAGTAAAAAGTAGACTAGTAGACTTGGCACATACTGCAGCTTGTTACGGAACTACCAAACCTGGTGCCTCCTCTCAGAGCGTCAACAGAGTCGAGGGAAGGCTGTGTAAGAGTTATTCGTCATGTTATACCCTCTACTGACTCTCGGGCATTTAAATAGTACGGCGATACGCCGCTACGCACATTAGGTGCTACTTTTAGAGAGGCAGTCAGGCAGTGGTTTTACGCGACCCTGGAGAACTACGTCATTTCATAGAAGTGTCCTCTCCCTACAAATATAAAGCGCAATCCAAATAAGTAGGCTCTTGGAATCACAAGTCAATGCCAGGTTACGACTCAAAGACTACAGTGGAAAGGAAAGACAGTTCAATATAATAGCATCAAGTAAACTTCTCTTTCCATTGAGAAAGCTTTTGGGTTGAATCTAGCAGCGGTAGGGACGTAATCTTGGAATTCTTCTTTTGCAGCTTCATCTAGTCATGATTTATGGGCACCTGCCTAACTAAAATAGTGTGAAACCAGCGGCATGATCAGCCATGTAAAGGATCTTCGTAGCAAATATCGAATTGGCAGGCAGGGGTGTGATTCCCAGCAAGCCTTATTTGGAGTTCCGTGCTCCTGGGATCGACAATAAAACGGCCCTGTTTTAGCTAAATATGTCAGACGTTGGGCCACAGCCACCACCCAGTGCGTCACCTCACTCTATTGTGTCGTGGAGCTGATCGGAAAAGACGGCTCCAGACCCAAGAGCTAGCAATGATTAAGAACGAGATCAACATGCAGTTAATAATTATCCGCCCCCTGGCCGTTTCCCATCGGCAGAAGAGGGATAACTATGTAGTTATTAGTGTTAAGCGCCAGATTTATGCTTCTCCTCCAATTCAGCATCATCCAAATGGAAGTCGAAATAAGTATTGATGCGGCACTTAGCGACTATAGATCCGGTCACAGGGCTAGCCGGGTCTGCTGCCCTGTGTGCGGTATGGACCCATTGGCAATCTAGCCGCAGAGATGAGCCCTGGGCTGAGCTCATCTGCTGGATCTTGCTGCCGATATTATGCAAGGCTATCACCCTGCCCATCAATCGACTTGATACAGAAAAGGTAAACGAGTCACGGATATCACCTGGCCCGTGGTTATGGTTATTTGCAATATGCGTAGCAACCCAAGCAGTATGCGAAGGAGAACAGGGGAGCAACTGGCTTCTTGTACGTGTAACGGACTAGATCTGGACTCTAAGCCTCCTTGGCTAACCTTTCATAGCCGCTATTGATGCCTCTCTTATTGGTCGTCGAGCAGTACCTTGGGAGGGACCTATCATCGCCAGCCTCGCTTTGTCCCAATTTTATTTTCCTGATTTCGAACACACTATTGGGCACAACCTCGATAACTCTCTTCGGGATTTTCACTCTGGTTGATTTCAACTTGATTCGCCTTGCATTGTCGATAACATCAGCGATGGCTTCCTTCACAATATACCTAACACTTCTAAACAAAGGACCCAACCGCTCTCGACATATTCCTCACGTCGATATTCGAGAGGATATAGAGCCTCTTTCTTTTCGGGTGACTTTTACTCTAGTCGTTGTTTTGACCTTGAAGACCATCACACTTGGTTGTGCGGTCCCTCAAATGCTTCCCACCATGACGCTGGGCATCTCCAAGGCTTTCACCTGGTTCTTCTTCATTCAAACTGTACGTCTCTTTGCCTCATGACAGTCATGACAGTCAACAAAGCGTTATATCTGCTAACAAAGGCTATCAGGCTCATTATACTACATGGCGGATCGCAGTACCAATCACAACCTTCAGCATCTTATCAACAACTGACCCATATTCTCAAACATGGGATATCGATTCCTTCTTTGTATTGGTCGGCTCAGTCCTGTTTCTATCCCAGATCATCGGAACAATTCCTAAACATCCAAAGACTCTCTGGGTACTGTCCCTTATCCCCATAATCCCATACTTTCTCAGTCTCCAAGCCATCATGTCGAGTCAACGTATGGCAAGGATAAGCTTCCATAACCACCAGATGCATCCCGTGGAGGAAGCGATACATGCCGCGCAAGGTGAACTCAACTCCCTCATCCACCGACAGTCCAAAACCTACACCGCCGCGCGGGATGAGTACAAACGCCGGTATGGCCTTGAACCTCCCCCAGGCTTTGAAGAATGGTATGAATTCGCGAAAACGAATCAGTCACCAATCATCGACGACTTTGACACCATCCAAAGATCCATCGCTCCCTTACTAAAGCTAAGTGGCCGCAAAGTTCTGGAAGCCATGAGCGAGGTATATTCACGGCCAGGTAGCGAAGTATGGTCTTGTGAATATTCATCACAGAAGTCTGAGACACGCTGCAGCCATCCCGGGCGTACATTCGACAGACATATATCACTCTTGTTTAACAGGCTGATGAAAGATGTCCCTAGCGGCACTCATTCCCTCAGGCTTCTTGTAAATCATTTCGACGAGCCAAGGGTCTTGACACCATCCAAGGCCCTTGGAAATCAACTACCGGATCGACAGGGGAGAAACGGCGATGAGTTCCCAAGCCAAATTTGGGATATGATCAGCCAGAACTGCAACTTTCAAGACCTCGAATCAGGCCAGTCTGAGAACTGGTCAACTTCACCCGACATAGGCCTCGTCCGAAACCACAGCCAACAAGTTGAAATCTGCCAACATCCAGAATACCAACACATTCACGGCCTCCTCACAAACCCAGTAACCTTTCGTCCAATCGAAGATCCCGTCCCCGTGCTCTCGACGGGCTCGCTCTCCCCCATGGGCGACATCCTCCTACCCAGCCCAGCCTACCTCGAAGAAGAGTTCCAATACGACGAGTCACAGGACACGGACTGGACCAGCAAACACAACAAGCTATACTGGGCGGGATCCACGTCGGGCGGGTACGCAAACGGAAGCCACTGGAGAGCCTTCCACCGGCACAGGTTCGTAAACATGGTTCACAACCCGGCGCGAGACCAGACATACTGGTACCTACAGCAGCAGAAGAACGGACTAGTCGAGCGCGCTCCCTCGTCATTCCTCAACCGCCGATTATACAACGTCGCCTTCACCCGAGTCTTCCAGTGCGAGCCGGCCGCCTGCCACGACCAGCGCGCACACTTCAACGTCAGACCGTGGGCGCACAAGGACGAGGCGCTCGGGTACCGGCTCGCGTTCGACCTAGACGGCAACGGCATCAGCGGGCGCTTCTACAAGCTGCTCGCGTCCAGGTCTGTCCCCCTGAAGCAGACCATCATGCAGGAGTGGCACGACGACAGGCTCGTGCCCTGGGTCCACTACATCCCCGTGAGCCAGGACATGAGAGAGCTGCCGGAGTTGATCACCTACCTGACATCGACCAAGTCTGGGCAGGAGCAAGCAAGGAAGATTGCTGAGCAGGGGCGGGATTGGTATTCAAAGGCATTTCGTGAAGTCGACATGACGATCTACATATATCGGCTTTTGCTAGAATTAGCGAGGCTTCAAGATCCGACCAGAGAGGGAGCTCAAGAGGCTGAATGATAGTATACCTATTGATCTTTAGCCCTAGATGATAGGGTTCTTGATGAAGTAAATGAGGCCAGTATTCAGTATGCTGTGAATTGACGTTGCTTTCTGATCAGGTGTGCGAGCTTCAAGACCAAAGAATAATAAATGCGTTTACCTCAAGCCATTCTATATACGAGCACTCACTCTGGAGATAGCACCCGCAGCCTTGTGGACTCGTTCAAAAATGTGCAGATATATTGGTTGCAAGTAAAATGCTCACTGTAGATAGCATACAGGTCACGGTATCCCTAATCCTTGCTCCTGGTATCATCAATATAATCTTTGGCTTCCAACTGCCCACTCTCGTTCATACTCTTAATAGCTCTCCATTCATTAGACTAATTTAAACGGCCATTATTAGAATTAGAAAATTCAGAAGAGGAACCAATAGTCATAGCCCTCATTGGGTTTCTCGTAGTCGCACCGACGATTTCATGCGCGCCTGCGAACCAAAATCCATCTACAACCTCGCTTAGACCTTCTCGACAGGGCTGGCCTCAGCAGCTTCTGCGCTCTGGACGGGCTGGAGGTTCTTCTCCTTCTCGCCGTACTTGGCCTCCAAGTCACCAGCCTCAGCTCTTCTAGTAGCCGAAGTGGCCACCTTTGTCTTCCAAGCTGGTGTGCCGATGTATGGGATTCCGTTGGGATCTTCGAAGATGCTGCTGACCTCCTCGAGAGTATGGCCACTTGTCTCTGGGAAGAGGAAGAATACATGGACCCACCTAGAGAGTACGTTCAGCTATGTGTTGCATCGAGATGAATTCATGGTGGTTCAGGAAATAGTACTCACATTGCAACGTTGAAGATGCCGAAGATGAGGTATGTCTTCCACTTGATGTTGGCAAAGGCCTCGGGAACGAACAGGCCCAAGGCGGTGTTGAAAGCCCAGTTACCAGAGGTCGACATGGCAACACCCTTTCCACGAAGATGGAGGGGGAATAGCTCCGGGGGGTATGTCCATGATGCCGGACCCCAGGTGGGGGCGAAGCTGGCGACGAAGAGGTAGACGGAGGCAATAAGTGCCTTCGCAGGAGCTCCGGAGACTTCCATAGATTGTGCCGCGACACCTCCAATGCCTCCAGGAATCACCCTTCCGTAGTTGGCGAGAATTCCAGCGCCGACGAACATCCAAATTCCCATGAAGGTTGCACCAACCAGCATAGTGTTTCGTCGACCCCATCTGTCCATCCTATTGAAATATATTAGACGTTGCTCTCCTTCTTTCATTTGCCGAAGAATATAAGAACCTACCAGAGCAGTGCCGGGATCGTCATAAAGACGTTAATGACGTACTGAATACTGGAAGCAAGCAGAACAGCATTTCCCGTGTATCCAGCCATAGTGAAGATATTTGCAATGTAGTACACTAGAGAGGGTTAGAAGGATGTGGAGGCCTGGGTCAGCGTTGAAATTACTCACTCATGACATTCATACCAGTCAGCTGTGACCAGATCTGCGTAAAGAGGGCAGTGAGTGTGCGATGAATCATGCGTGGCTTGAAGAGATCGAAATACGTGGCATCTGAGTGCTGGCGCTCGAACTCGCACATTTCCTTGATCTCCTGAAGTTCTTGATTGACGAATGGGTGGTTGGGGTCACCATTGCCGTGGACAAGGGTCAAGACGCTGTGGCAGTCCTCCCAGCGGTCCTTGCGAGCCAACCAACGAGGAGATTCAGGGAGGAGCATCATCATGAAGAAGAGGAATACGGCGGGGAGCATCTGCAGACCCCAGGGGATACGCCAGGATGCTGTCTTGTAGGTGTCGTAGTCACCGCCTCCAATGAAGGAGCAGCCGTAGGAGATGTAGTACATGATGAGGATGCCCCATGTGATGGCCCATTGCTGGAATCCGATCAGACGGCCTCTCAAGGAAGGCTTTGCGATTTCTGCAATGTAGACGGGGACCTGAGCTGACTCGATTCCGACACAGAATCCATTGATCATGCGACCGATTGCGAGCTGGGGGATGTTCTGGGACGAGCAAATGATGGCGGAGCCGATCATCCTGGTTCGCTGTTAGTCAATGGACTGGATCAATTGGCCCAAACATCGATGGTTTAAGAATATTGAATCACAACGCGAGTCACTGTTTGCTTATTGGATTGCCAAGGGAGGCAGACGGGACCTAAATCTGCAAGTCCACGAGGAAGTGAAACAGACGGCCGCCATCTGGACTCCAGGCTTTGGCTGCCCTCTCCGCAGACTGTGCCAGGTGCCTCCATCTCAAGCCAAAGCAGAAAGAGGAATTGCGACTTACCAAATAACACAGCCAGTCATGATGGCATACTTTCTGCCGAGCCAATCAGACAGGAAACCAGAAACCAATGCGCCGGCCCAAGAACCAGCCGACATGGCGGCAGTGATACCACCCTGGACAAGCGATTCGGGGCCACTGCACTTCTTCTCGTCATTGGCCTCGAACTCTGGTGGCGGGCCGTTGGGGCCCTGGTTGAAATAGCACAGGTAGCTCTGCATGGCCAGCTGGGCGCTCAGAGACGAGATATCGAATCCGAACAGGGCGCCGCCGACGACGGCCACGCCCGAGATGACATAGATGTTGCCAATCGCCATGACGGGCAGCTGAGGAGGATGGGATTGCGCTCTCTCTTTCTGGGAGCTGTCTCCTCTCTTTTCTACCAAGAAAGAGGGAGAAGGAATTGAAGAACAAGTATTCGCAGTATGTAAGGTGGTTTATCGAGATCTTTCCCTAGCCGAGTAGTGTCTCAGGATCTCGAGGGGTGTGTGTTGTGTGTGTGTGGACAGCTCGGGGCCATTTATATATGCATGCACAGACGCAGACACCGCATGGCTGCTGCCCTCCATCGAAGCACAGCCCAGACTTTCCTACTGTGGCACTTCCAATGACACGAAGAAGGATAATGAGAACTGATGGCTTGGTCCCCCGGCTGGGTGGGAATGGCGATCCCTGCCTGTTTGCTGGCCGTGACCTGGTTCCCCCGAGCAAAGCATCCCACCATCCCCATCATGATACATGCTTTACTCTACCGACCGGCGATGGGATTGGGGAAGGTCAGAAGTGGAGCTCTATCCCTCCATTGTTCCTTCCAGTGGCGCATAGTCAGGATTCTCGGTTTCAATTGCCATCTTGCTGCACCAGCTGTACGTCAATCAGGCCAGAGGAGCTTAGCCTCGTCTCAGTCTTGCCGAGGAGCTGAAGTTTTTCCAACTGTCGCGGACGGACGATATGCCCGTCCAAGCGTAAGCTAAATCTAACCTGCGTGCTTGATGACCCAATTGAGATATGATTGAATTAGATGGGGTATGACAATACACGGCCATGTATTGCCTGTCCCATTACAATGAGAAGACACGAAAAACAGCATCCATCCGAAGTCAGAGAGAATCCTCGGTTTCTCACATTTGCCAACATGGATTGTCTCCAGGGACCGTCATCCCCGCACATTGTAGCACATTTCAATCCTTTCGGTCGGTCATGCGAAAGTGAACCTCGTGCCGTGAAGAAAAAAGCAATAATCGAAACGGCCCTGCTGCCTTGCCACGCGCATGGTCAGATCCCAGCAACGGAGTGTTCACCAATTGGTAGTGTGCTGCTGGCCAAGCTCAACCATTCGCTTACCGCTGCTTTGTGGGACCGGGGATGATCGTCGGACAGGTTGCTATGTACATACAGCTGCAGCAAGGACTGTGTTCAAGGCCGAGCATTTGGCCGTCTGGCTCGCGGGACGCTCTTCATGCCCGATGACGATGGCGGTTCCGTTTCAAGCAAGCCGGGTGCTGGCATGGGAAGTTGCAGCTCCCATTCAAGTCGATTCTTGTGGACGGGATTCACAGGCTGGAAGGAGGATATCGATTTTTACTGTCTCACTTCTCGATAAAGCAAGCCACTGCATGCAGATCTGTGATCAATAGATCCAGCGTTGCTATCATCATCGCAATGACATACAAATCCACAGCCAGAACGACAGTAGAAGGTATTATACCACACCTCCTCTGCCTAGCCAAACTCCAGTCTGGGGAACGAAACAGAGTATATGGATGGTAGATCAGCTAGAGGTGGATGAGCACATCCACTTCCCCAGTCCCCAGGTCTTCGCATTGTTAGACTTAATTCCGTGGTTGAATTACGGGCTCTGACGACGAGCAGCCAATTAACTCGGAATTCGGCCATCCAGGGAGAGCTCGAGCCTGATCAACGCCAGAGCTTCTCTATGCCGACGCTGCCGTGCCTCCCACTTGCCCCCTGTCCCACACAACACCTCCCCCTCCTCTGCGCGTATCAATTGTCCATGCGTACAGTAGAACGGCGGTGCACCATCTGGTCTTGCTTCACAACCTCGACAGCCTGCAGGTAGCTTTCACGGCCTACGACAGCCAAGTCTGGCCCCAGTCATCCCGCCCATCGCCATAGCCCAGGATCAGCAGCCAATGACGTCTATCCCCGTCCGGGGCATGGACCTTCTACTACCGGATGGATACCTGTCAGATATTCTCCCACAGCTAGAAGCTTTCGGTGAATTCCATCCAAACCTGGGGGCGGGGCTGGACACGAGGAAACGAGATGGTGTGGTGTGTGCATCCACGAGCATGAATTCAGAAACAGAATAGCATGGGATTTAGCCAACCAAACGTGAAGCTCTCCCATTCCGCCGTACGCGTTGGATGCTACTTGATCCCAGAGGACGGTGGGCCGGGTATAGCTCTGATTGGGGGCAGCATCGAGCAGAGCAGAGCTGCCTGCCATGTCATGTCATCCAATGCCCACCCATCTGCCGACATGGCGGACCCATGCTGTAAAATCCCCGCCAATACAGGGCTATTTGGACGTCTGGTGATTGTCCCCTTGGTCGAATTGAGTTGTCGTTTGGCATTCCAAGACAGCGGCCGCCCGGACTCTACCGGGCCACGGCGACGGACGATGGGTCAGGAGGCATCAGCATCAGCATCACCGTCCAGCACTTTTCCTCCACAGTAGGTCCGATGAGACACCGGC